AGAACATGTATATCTGTGCCAGGCCCGTCCTGGTATCCCGGACACATATCAACATGAAAAGTGATGCCTTGTAGCAAGACATGAAAAGTGATGCCTTGTAGTATCCGGAATTCATATGTTGCAGGTTTTCATTATTTATGACTTGATTTCCTTCCTGCAGGATTTGAATGCTACATACAGCAGAGAAGCACTTTTCACATCCCGCCCAACATTTTGTATAAGCAGAGCTTCCTCTGTGAATGATGAATCCAGGGCCTCAGCTTCCTGTTGTGTTCCCAATTTGTGTTTTTTCTTTCACCTATCCCAGCCACGCCAGGGTCCACAAAGCCGGATCCTATCCCCTTATCCTGTGTAAACACTGTGAATCCTTTAAGTATAAGTGTCCTGCTCCCTCCGGTACATAAAGGATTAAACATTAACCCTTGCAGTGCTGAGATTGATTCCAATCTCGATATTACACCTACACATTTTACATCCACGATATTCTAAACATGGGAATCCATGGAAATTACTTCCAAATGGGAACAACTTGAAAAGCCTGGGGGTTGGAACAGAAGATCAGAGGCGACTTCAAGTCCAATTAAAACCTAGCGACTGCTAACAGAAACTGTAATTCAGGGTGTTACAACCAATTTATGGTTTATTTGTTCAAGTGATAATGACATCTCTATGTAGAGGTTGACACATGTTTGTGAACACATCAACATTTTTATTGTGTCCTATTAGTTTGTAATGCAATATGATTATACATGAATTTTACGTTTATAAAATCTGTATATATATATGTGGCTTTATTTGTGTAAATATATGTTTAGTATAGATTACAGCTTCTAGGGTTTTGTTTTTGTGTTGTTTACATTAAATGCCTTTTTTTAAATGATGTTGTTGTCTTTATCACATTTAAAATTTTCTAAATGTTTGAAAAATGTAACTTTTTCTGATAATGATTTTCCAAACGCTAAACAGCAGGTATCCAAACCAGAAACACAGATCGAACTAGCAGAGTCGGATTCTGAGGCTGGCAGTTTAGGTAAATGGCATCACGTCAAACAGGCGTATTTGCTAGCCAGATTTCCCTCTTGTCCTTTTGATTTGGGGGTTTAAGCCAGTCAATAGTGAATCTGGATTTGGTACAGAAAATAACAAATCTGGTTGGTGTGTAAATGAATCCCCTTTTAGGTGATGTTGCCAACTGCTAAATCTTTATAAACTATATTTTACTCTGCTGGGAGTAGAAAATGCTTTGTTGGAACTATATTGATTTACAAAACCTTTTGTGGAGAATAATACATTATGGCATCAAATCAATGGCCTTAAAGTGTTAATGAGCAGCAGAGCTCCTGGGCCAAGTTAAAGGAACACTACAGTGTTAGGAATACAAGTATGCTTTTCTAACGCTATAACTAGGAGATCGGGCCAGCATTACCTTTTCTCCTGCAGTGCTGGTCTCCTTCGTGATGCTCTGCCTCCTTGGCAGAGATAATCAATGTTGATGACCTCAGCTAATCCAATGCTTTTCCATAGGACAGCATTGGGAGGCTAGTGTGCATGCGTGGCAAAACACCCCGTTCCTGAGACCATCTGATAGACGTAGCAGAGTTTTACTATGCTATTTTTATACAGTGTCTCTAGTGGCTGTCACGCTGCAACAAAAACATTGATATTCCTGCAGAATGGCAACATTTTGAGCTGCCAGGTTAAAATGGGGAGCACATGGCACCCAGACCACTTTGTTGAGATGAAGTGTTTGGGTGCCTATAATGTTCCTTTAAGAACATTTGGCACAATTGTTTTTGATCTGCATTACATCATGTGGCCACTGGGGGCTATGACAGGAATTTCCATTTGAAATATGTTTCTGTACAGTGCATTCTTTAAACAGCTAGAGGTCTTTATTAAATCAGCAATTCAAACATTCATTAATAATTCCACCCTCTTCCACAATGTTACTGTATGTGTATTCCCAATAGCCACAAAATATTACTTGATGATAACTTGATGATTGCTACAATGATCATTCTATCCCCTGGGTATGGAGCACAGCTTTCTCAAGAGACAGGTGTAACTTTGAAAATCCAAATTACAGACACAGCAGGGGTTGTGCGTAAAAGACCAGCTCAGCGTGTAAGTGCTAAAATAGAGTGATTGCCAAGGAGACCAGTGAAAAGACACACAGACCTGCAGCAAATCAATTAACTGATCTCTAGCTTATCAAAAGTGCTCATTATAATTATCACACGTTTTCTTATGATTGTCACATGGCAACCTGACAGCAGCTGGAGTATACCGTCAGGGTGAACTCACTTAGAGGGTATTTTTTAAGGTGATTTAGGCGAAACTGTCAATTAGCTTTGGCCCTAACGATGGCCACTGACTGAGTTAAAGTCTCCATAAGCTTGCTTAAATGGATTGACAACTTATTCTAGGAGGGCGCACTGCAATCCTGGCACCATAATTACTACCGCGTACTACAGTGGTTATTGTGCTTATAGTGTTCCACACTACACATAGACATTAGGCATAGCAGAAATGACCGCACTCCAAGGACTTGATAGAGATTTTCAAATAAAATTTAACTTTTATTCAATGCATTTAAAAAGTCAACGTTTCAGCTCCCACATGGAGCTTTCATCAGGACAAAACATTTTTACACATAGACATTACATGTGCACTCACACACAGACTGCATGTGAAGTCACATATGTATTGTATGTGCACTAACACCCATACTGCATGAAAAGTCACGCATGTATTGTATGTGCACTCACACACAGACTGCATGTGAAGTCACGTATGTATTGTATGTGCATTCACACAGACAGACTGCATGTGAAGTCACGTATGTATTGTATGTGCATTCACACCTATAATACATACGTATTAAATACATGTATGCCCAGTCATGCACACGTTTTAACAATTACACAGTAATATAAGCTGCAAAAGACTCAAGTCCATTAAGCTCAATTCTTACACATCTCTGTTTGACTTGATCCAAAACAGGCAAAATTCTCAATTTCAACCAGTTTCCAAATGTGCCAGAAATGTGTGGGAAAAAAACCCTTCTTAACTCTAAAATCCAGTCTGATTTTTCTTGGATTGACAAACTGTTATCTCACAAGTCTGTTAACTATTCTATCTGTCAATATTCTGGTTAAAAATAAACAAACAAAAAAAATGATCCAGAATCTGAGAAAACAATCTGTGTAGGCAGAGTTCCACATCTTTATTGTTCTCATTGTAAGCCCTTTGCTCTACTTTACATGAGCAGTCACAGACACACAAACGTAGTTACATACACATAGCACATGTACAGTCACAGTCACACACACACATGTAGTTACATACACATAGCACATGTATAGTCACACACACACAAACGTAGTAACATACACATAGCACATGTACAGTCACACTCACACACACATGTAGTTACATACACATAGCACATGAGCAGACACACACACACAAACGTAGTAACATACACATAGCACATGTATAGTCACACACACACAAATGTAGTAACATACACATAGCACATGTACAGTCACACACACACAAACGTAGTAACATACACATAGCACATGTATAGTCACAGTCACACACACATATGTAGTTACATACACATAGCACATGTACAGTCACAGTCACACACACACACATGTAGTTACATACACATAGCACATGTATAGTCACACACACACATGTAGTTACATACACATAGCACATGTACAGTCACAGTCACACACACACACATGTAGTTACATACACATAGCACATGTATAGTCACACACACAAATGTAGTTACATACACATAGCACATGTACAGTCACACACACACAAACGTAGTAACATACACATAGCACATGTATAGTCACAGTCACACACACAAATGTAGTTACATACACATAGCACATGTGCAGTCACAGTCACACACACAAAGTTAGTTACATACACATAGCACATGTGCAGTCACACACACACAAAGTTAGTTACATACACATAGCACATGTGCAGTCACAGACACACAAACTTAGTTACATACACATAGCACATGTGCAGTCACAGACACACAAAGTTAGTTACATACACATAGTACATGTGAGTCACAGACACACACAAAGTTAGTTACATACACATAGTACATGTGCAGTCACAGACACACAAACTTAGTCACACATGTTCCACATGTGCAGTCACGTAAACTCAAACTTAGTTACATACACATAGCACATCTGCAGTTAGTCACAGACTCACTAATTTCTTTTACACATGTGCAGTTATTTATATGCAAAGTGAGCCACACGTTACATATGCCAGCATACATATGCACACCAGTCACATACACATCCCATGGACAATAACAACCACATATAATCATATATACACATTAACTATTTACATGCAGCCACACACATACTACATATAAGCGGCAAGCAGTGTGTCTAACTGCCAACATGATGAAACATTGGGGTCAGTAAGGGTTACACACATTACCAAACTGTGTGTAGAACAGATGTGTTTATATGAATGTCTAATATTTGTGTGCGCATTGTAATAGATCCTTGTGTCGTTGTGTATGTTTAATGACTGTATGTTTGTATAATACTATGGCAGTTATAATTATTATATATTTAGCAGTATTGTGTATATGTGCAATAATATGAAATGTATACCAGCTGTGTGTGTACGTGTGTGTATAATAATGAATGTATCTAATTTCTCCGATACATGTTCTGCTAGTTATCTTTTGTCGTTGTTTCACTCTGTCGTTCCTTATTTCTGGTAGCATGATGTAGTATTATACCGGGATTTTTTCTGCCGCTGTATTTTACCTGACTATTTGCGCACAATTAAAACTGTTTTATTCACGTGCGTTTCTGTAATCCCTGCTGGAGTGCTAAGGTATTTATGTTTGGCTTGGTTAATTTCTCCACCCCCAGGATAAATCTATGTGAATAGTTTATAGAAACGATCAGGAGACAGGCTAAGGCTTCCCAGTGGAACCTCCCCATAGTGTGTGAGCAGCCATCGCCCCCAGCTAGGATCCTAAATCTGGTGTACAGTGCATTGTGCGTGGGGCTGGGAGTCATTAGAACGCCAGGATCATTTTCCAGGGAAGCACAGCAGAGGATTATTGAAGCCAGATTTGGGGGACTGAGCTGCTGTGTTGCAATGAAGTGGACCCTGGTGAAGCAGAACGAGGGGACAAGAGATACTCTCTGAGCTAACCACCCTCTACAGGGTACATGCAGCCTGGATTTACCACCTGGAGGGGCAGAATGAGGGGTACCTGACACAGGTATATTCCTGACTGTTAAAAACCCAAGGGCTACAAGAGGATAAGAAACGTCCCTTCTTGACAAGAGTTGAGGTAAGCATCTCTTGCCTTGCTGATAACGTATTAGTGCAGGAGCACTGATCTCCCCCCAAGCTGTCTTTATATTGCCCCTGTCGGAGGTATTTCAATGACAGATATCTTAATTCATGCATTCATTGCTACATTGTTACATAGTAATCTATGTTAACCTATTGCTATTTAGGTTCCTGAGATAGCATATACCGTATGTATATAAACTGTGTTTAGATTTTACAGCTATGACTAATTCGGATCTATCAGTGAGAAGTGGAAAAACCCTGAATGGTCTGGTTGGCAGTGCCAGTGTTTCCAGTGCTGGGCAGATGTGTGGAGTGCTGGGCATTAGGGGTGAAGATCTGTGTGGGTGCAGTTGGGTGAAGTTATGAGTTTCAGCAGTGGGAAGTTGGAGTGGTGTGCTGTGCAGTTGTGATGTAGTAGCGGTCAGCTGGGGGCAGTTATCGATAGCTGGTGTAGGGCTGAAAATGTGGGATACAATTTGGGGCATTTGTTATGCTGTGATTGGCATTTTGATCCAGTTTCAGGCAGTTAAAATGGAGTGCAGTGGTTGGCATTTTAATTCAGTGTTGGGCAATTAGAATGGAGTGCAGTGGTGGCAGTTGTTATGCAGTGACTGGCATTTTGATTCAGTATTGGGCAGTTAGAATGGAGTGCAGTGGTTGGCATTTTAATTCAGTGTTGGGCAGTTAGAATGGAGTGCAGTGGTGGCAGTTGTTATGCACTGACTGGCATTTTGATTCAGTATTGGGCAGTTAGAATGGAGTGCAGTGGTTGGCATTTTAATTCAGTGTTGGGCAATTAGAATGGAGTGCAGTGGTGGCAGTTGTTATGCAGTGACTGGCATTTTGATTCAGTATTGGGCAGTTAGAATGGAGTGCAGTGGTTGGCATTTTAATTCAGTGTTGGGCAGTTAGAATGGAGTGCAGTGGTGGCAGTTGTTATGCAGTGACTGGCATTTTGATTCAGTATTGGGCAGTTAGAATGGAGTGCAGTGGTTGGCATTTTAATTCAGTGTTGGGCAATTAGAATGGAGTGCAGTGGTGGCAGTTGTTATGCAGAGACTGGCATTTTGATTCAGTATTGGGCAGTTAGAATGGAGTGCAGTGGTTGGCATTTTAATTCAGTCTTGGGCAATTAGAATGGAGTGCAGTGGTGGCAGTTGTCATGCAGTGGCTGGCATTTTGATTTAATGTTGGGCAATTGGAATGGTTGCAGTGGTGGCAGTTGTTTTGCAATGGCTGGCATTTTGCTTTAGTATTGGGCAGTTAGAATGGAGTACAGTGGTGGCAGGTGGCATGCAGTGATTGGCATTTTGATTCGGTGTTGGGCAGTTGTAATGCAATGGCACAGATGTGGTGGCAGTTGGCATGCAGTGATTGGCATTTTGATTCGGTGTTGGGCAGTTGGAATGCAATGGCACAGATGTGGTGGCAGTTGGCATGAAGTGTTTGACATTTTAATTCAGCATTGGGCAATTGAAATAGAGTGCAGTGGTGGCAGATGGCATGCAGTGGTTGGCATTTTGATGCAGTGTTGGGCAGTTGGAATGGAGTGCAGTGGTGGTAGTTGGCATGCAGTGGTTGGCATTTTGATTCGTGTTGGGCAGTTGGAATTCAATGGCAGGGATGTGGTGTGTTGGTCAGTTGGAATGCAATGGCAGGGATGTGGTGTGTTGGTCAGTTGGAATGCAATGGCAGGGATGTGGTGTGTTGGTCAGTTGGAATGCAATGGCAGGGATGTGGCGTGTGTTGGTCAGTTGGAATGCAATGGCAGCTATGTGGTGTGTTGGTCAGTTGGAATGCAATGGCAGGGATGTGGTGTGTTGGTCAGTTGGAATGCAATGGCAGGGATGTGGTGTGTTGGGCAGTTGGAATGCAATGGCAGGGATGTGGTGTGTTGGTCAGTTGGAATGCAATGGCAGGGATGTGGTGTTGGGCAGTTGGAATGCAATGGTAGGGATGTGGTGTGTTGGTCAGTTGGAATGCAATGGCAGGGATGTGGTGTGTTGGTCAGTTGGAATGCAATGGCAGGGATGTGGTGTGTTGGTCAGTTGGAATGCAATGGTAGGGATGTGGTGTGTTGGTCAGTTTGAATGCAATGGCAGAGATGTGGTGTGTTGGTCAGTTGGAATGCAATGGCAGGGATGTGGTGTGTTGGGCAGTTGGAATGCAATGGCAGGGATGTGGTGTGTTGGTCAGTTGGAATGCAATGGCAGGGATGTGGTGTGTTGGGCAGTTGGAATGCAATGGCAGGGATGTGGTGTTGTTCTCACAGTCTTGGAAAGTGCTATAGAAAACAGAAGTTCTTTTGATCTTAAAACAGGATTTAGTGGAACCAACTTAGAGAATTTCCCTAAGGGTCACTCACATGGACTCACATTGGGAGAGACTTTGGGGTTTATTTATTAAACACTGAATTGTACTTAATCAAAGTGTGAAAAGTTAAGTAAGAATAGGCAAGATATGACTATGGCTGAATTGGAGAATTCTCCAAATCAGAGATTTTTGTCCAAACTTCAGCAATTCAGTTTTCAATTCATTAGAGCGCAGCGTTTACCTGAAACTTGTGATACAGATATTATTTAACCATTAAACAAGTCTTTCTTCTATATTAATGCAGCATGAACAATGACCCCTCATAGTATTCAGAGTTATATTAATGGAGCTATGATGAGGAATTATATAAATTATGTATCCTTTTATTTGGAATCACACCATCAGGGGTTAATTAAAACAAGACTTGTGTGGGATACAATGTGATTTCAAAGTGAATTCCAAATTTAAGACCAACGTAGGTGAACTATAAACATAACAAACTGGGTGAACTGTTCCACTTTACTGTTTTTGTTATAAATTTTAAATTCACTTCGAATTACCCACAATTCTTTTTTTTTTTGTTCTGGTAATTTATGTAAATAATATAAAATTTGCATCCCCTTTTTAAATGTTTGCAGTAAATCACTTTCTCCACTTTCATTTGAGAATAGTATCTCTATTATTTGTTTCTACATGTTCACAGATGTGATATTCTATAGAAAGACTATATATTTATCATCGGTGTGTGTGTGTATAATAGAAGCAGTTGGAATGAAAGGGTTAAAGGACAGTTTACCATATCTGTGAACATTTTGTGAAGCATTTCGTCTTATCAGTAGTTTTAGATCAATAGATATTATTTACAAGAAGTGATTATTTTTCTATACAGTACTCCAACAAATTCTGCAGTGCTATATAATTTAACCCCTTAGTGACCAATGACATTGCACATAGACTATGATTGATTTAACCCCTTAAGGACACATGACATGTGTGACATGTCATGATTCCCTTTTATTCCAGAAGTTTGGTCCTTAAGGGGTTAATGGGGTTTTGCCTAAACTCTGCAAGGTTTAATTTGACAGACAGACACAAACATATACAGGAGGTCTTGAGAGCCCGGCCCGCAAGCCTTACAGTCTAGAAGAAAATAAAGTTTGCCCTGGGGTGTAAGCCATTTAAATAGGAAGCCAATCAGAGAGCTCAGGTCCATTTGCTGAGTCTGCAAATCTCTCCCTTCTAGGCCCCTCGCATTGTGATTATCCTGTATTACACTCTCTCCGCTAGTATCCAGAATTACTCAGATAAACCCGAGTCTCTGAACAATGTCTCACTTACTGACATAAGCACATTTTACTATTATTTATGACGATATCTTGTTTTCATAAAGGGTTTCACAGTCTTCACAAAGAGCCTTCGACCCAAATTGCATGGTCCTCAAATGACCTCAGTTCTCGTCTAGCCATACCTATCCTTATGTTAAGATTTTCAATGCCTAAGGCGCTCTCGCATCTAACTATTTTATTTTATTTTTAACAGATGGATAATTAAAATTTTTTAAAAAATGCACTTTTATCTCACACTGGTGTGCTAAAGTTCCAAAATGTCTTAAGGCAAACATTAGTTTCATATCCAAATTGTAATATATGGGGGAGCTTCCGCACAATAAACTGGACCCTCATTATACCTGAAGGTTACTCCTGCTATGATGTCATCACGACGCTATTAGCTCCACAAATCACCAACATTAGCAAAGGTGGCAAATGCCATCAGAGCCCACTAATGTCTTTTCATGATAACATTTTTAAAAAGTCACCATTTTTGCAGACTCTGTTCAAGGAAAGAAGGGAAGAATCTAAATGGACAAATGGAATCTTACAATCTTGGATGTGACATCGTTTTAATACATTATGTATATAATGTATTAAATAATATGCAAAAAACAAAACCACAAAATAAAATTTAAAAATCAATATATAAAAAATGGCTTTTTAGTTACTGCAGTTGCTTCAAGTACACAGGCAAATGATGTCTGCCCAGACCAGAAAGAGAAATCACCAATCAGGAGCCTTCTCTTTCCATCCACTGGTTTCTGAATTGATATCATGTACTCCTGTCCAGCAATGATTTATTGGATTTATAGTTCAGCCCCTAATTTAGAAGATAAGTGGTGAATAGACTAAGAGCAGCCATACTCACAAACCTGCTTATTATAGTGCTTGGAGTGTCACTTTGTCTCCAGCTAAATCTATATTTCTGGTTTATTGTTTTTGTTTTGTTTTCTCACGGTTTGAACATTTGTTATATTTTCCAACCGTTGGACAAGGTTCTAAATATGCATCAGTCGGTCACCATTGAATCCCAAGTGCATCTTTTCCCCTGTGCAGTTTGTTGGGTTACTCTATTTGTGACGGATTTGCCACATTATAACAGCTATGAAATGGCTGTGAGGTATCAGCCAATCCTGGTCTTCCATGCAGCATGCATTAATAAATACCAAAGGAAAAATGTGAAACTCACAATGTCCCAGAACAATTCTTTATTAGAAACTTTGGGGGGAAAAAACCCTGTGTTTAGGCTGCAGCGTTGTTGGTGGGTTCCTAATAAAGGCCTCTTCCTTTTCTTGGGTATTTATTTATGCATTGTTTGAGTGTGCCACTCTGGATACTGCAGCACCACGATTCATATTGTGATGGCATAGTCTAGTTAGTATCATTTAGTTTCTTATACCTACAGCATGTGTTAATGACTATTCATTTGAGAACACTAAAAAACAATAGAGCCACGTGCTTTTTCTAATATCCCTGGAGGACTTGAAAGAGAACGAGGCCTGTGTACAGCCCAAAAACTTGGTTACACTGAATGACTTTGTCTGAATTTTTTTTTAGTTTGGGTAGTGTAATAATTATCAATGTGGCGGTTCAACCCGACCGAATATCGTCCATGCAAAAAATTTAAGCGAAAACGATTCGGATGAACAATGGGCCAATCAGTGTGCTGCAAAATAGAACACTTTTTTTCTGCTCCCTTCCCCCTCTATTAGTTATTCTTACTTGACCTGTGAATACAATCCACATCCAGTGACTGACACCGAATCAGCAATCTCTTTTTCCCCATTGATCATTTCTTTTTTTTGGGGCCATGGACAGACCTCTCCAAATTACGAATCAAACAAACATGTTCATCCATTGTGTTTGTCATTATGTGGTTATATGTCCATATGGCATTTCAGACTTACAGAATTTAGATGACTTGCCGATCGGACAAAATTTGTACAAATTGCGTTTTGTTTGAAACCGAATGCTCAAAATGGTCTAAATGGAACCAAATAATGAATGCATAAAAGCAGCAAACAAGTAGATATTTATTAATTAACTGTTCTTATATGGTGCTTATATTCAGATACATTCTAGATAAATCTATATGGCCCCGGTTATTTTAATGAACTGCCTCAGTATTTGTAGAATTGGAGACATTGCTAATTATTTAATAAGTGCATTGGAGTACAGTAGGACAGTAGCTGGATATGCGATATGTTGGAAAGACAGGACAGGACAGAACAGCAACAGCTGTGTGAAGTGGAAACCTTTCACCAAATTCTCTCCAGAATTGGTGATAATTCTCACTTGGCTGAGAACATGTGTTGGGTAATGGTGTTAGGAAGGAGTTTCGTGGATAATACATTGAGATTAGTTTTTTTCCCAACTGAGAGAGAAATGTAAATATAGGAAGAGATATGTGTCTCTTTAAAAGAGGTTTACCAGAAGACTCTGGAGGTCAGACCTGCACTAACACAATCTTCTTCTGCATCTCAGGATATTGGGGTAAGTGAGGATTTTATTTTTATTTCAAAAGCTGGAAAGAAAACTACTGCTTGACCACAGGTGTCTTATTTCATGGAATCGGAGTCCTAACATGGTAAATGTTGGATTTGAAATGTTTGATAGATCATTATTTAGGGTCCATTTGACAAATCTACAAGCCCATATCCCACCGTTCCTGGGTCTATTCCCTGATATGCTATTATGATATAATGAAACCTTATAGCTTTACAGAGTTATTTTGTAGCTGTAATAAAGCTGGTTTTGTTTGAAAGACCAGACATTGGAATTAAATATACAGAATTATATGAATTAAATCTTTTATTTGTTAATCCTTGTTATTATTCAATAAACATTAAATTTCATGGCATTAAATCAGAGGGCAAAATTGAGCCTAAATAGCTCATTTGGAAAATGTCTCCAACATATAGTCACAGATCCAATTCAGCAATTTGGGCTTAATTCTACTGGGTTTTGTGTTTAGTAAACAATTTATTATTAATTCCCTCCACCAGACCTTGTATTATGGGCTTCATGCGTTATGTAAGGACCAGTTCCTATATAGCTAGGGATGACCTCAGCCATTATAGGAATTCAATGGGAATGCGTTCATGTGTTCTCTCATTGCGTGTGAATGCACTCAGGTCATGTGTATCTCATTAAACTCAAAGAGAGGAACTGTAACCCCCCACGGAAGCTTTCCTGTATTTGCTGTGTTTTTACTTTCTATTGCAAAGTCTTAAAGGAACACTAGAGTCCCCTAGAGAAGTTCGGCTTTCTGAAGAGCTTTAGGGTTTCACAGCTCGCCCTTGCAGGTTTATTTTATAAAAGGGCTGATTTCAGGAGAAATTGTCACTTTTATAAATTTCCTTAGCAACACCCCTGGGCTGTCAAACAGATCCTGAGAGGTTTCATGCTAAATGCTTCTCAAGGCTTTGTTAGTGTGCCCCAGTGCTGCTATGAGAAGCATCTGATTGGGCACAAGTCATCAGTAATGGTGCCTTCACACCAGGAGAATCTAAGCATCGAGAGAGACACACTCCTAAAGAAAGACAATAGGGGTTACTATGTAACTGGTGCAAAGTTCTAAAGTAGATAAATTAACATGAAAAACAATGAAACCGTCTCGTCCTAAAAGTCTTGCAGCACTTTTAGAACTTTGTGCAAATGAATTCATTTTTTGTGTTAATGATTTAGGCAAACGAACAGTTGATTAACGTTGGTTATTTTTTTCGTAAAGTGGCATTTTTAAATATCTTCAAACTGGACATTACAGAAGAATATATATATATTTTTTTTTTCCTTGAAGTGGAAATGGAATTGTAACAAGATCATTTGCTGAGCATAGAATTGCTCATTGTCAATACGTGTTGCTTTTAGAGTTTGCATTCTGAACATCTGCCAGAACGTTAAAGATGAGCTGAGATCTTTGCTGGCTCTGGGAGGACAAAGCTCTAACTGATCACATCCTTTCCTAATAAACTGGAAAATGTTTCTGTTTTGGAAAAAAACACTAAACACATAAAATGTTTTATATTGTTTGTTAATGTGCATTTAACTATAATGAATCATTTAAAAACATCCACAGCCAAACGATAGACCTGCAACGGGTGTTAAAGTGATGTGGTTAATTATTAATTGTATTATTATTGATATTTATATTGCGCCAACTAATTCTGCAGCGATTTACAATATTATGAAGGGGGGGGGGAGAATTTACCTAAATGAGACAATTACACAGTGACACAGGAACAATAGGTAGATGAGGACTCTGCTCAAACGAGCTTACAGTCTAGAGGAGGTGGGGTACAAATACACAACAGGGTAGCAAGAGGGACAGCCACCAAACAAGGTGGAGAAGTAGCAGTGTGGAGGTGTGAGTGGAGTATGGCTCTTTAGGAGAGCAAGAGACACACTTGACTAAGTATAGATAAGTTACTCTGAGAGTCCATAAGCATTTCTGAACAGATGTGTTTTGAGGGACTTCTTAAACAATTGAAGACTAAGGGAGAGTCTGATAGGGGTAGGCAGGCTGTTCCAAAAGAAGGGAGCCGCCCACGAGAAGTCCTGCAAACGCGAGTTAGCAGTAGGGTGTGAGCAGCAGACAGGAGAATGTCACCAGCAGAGCGGAGAGACCGAGAAGGGGCATATCTAAGAATCAAGGAAGAAATGTAAGAGGGGCTAGAGTTGGTTAGAGCTTTTATAGGTAATTATCTTCAGCAAACCTCCTGCCATCTACATAATTACCTCTTTCATTGAATAGTTAAACACATCTCTAGTGAATGTCTTCCTCTGAAACAACCAAATTCTACTCTGTCATGTAACATTCAACATCCATAAAAACTTTGAACGTCATCAAGTACAGCTAATGGGGATGTATTGTATGCAATGTCTCCTTATGAGAAGCATATGATTGGATGTATGCATGGCACTCGCCTTGCAAGTGCATTTTGTCCCCAGTGCTCTTCAATAAAGAGCATTGGATTGGACAGTCAATGAGGAAGCAACAAGATGACATCGCGAGAGGAGGAGCCGGCGGCAGCATCGAGTGAGTCTCCTCACTGGAAAAAAGGTAAGTAAAACATTTTCTTAATTTATTACAGGTTAACACTTGGGGCCTTGCGTCTAAATATGGACTTTGACATAGTGTTACGACTACATGTTTATATTACTAACGCTAAGTTGTTACTTTAAAAAATATTCTAATAGAAATATAAACATGAGTGTTCTTGTACTTTAAATTATTGCCCCCCTGTACAAATAAAAAAATTAACTTTCTTCCAGCACTGGGATTGTCTCCTCTGCGTGGCCGCTCTATCTCCAGTGAAGTTATCAGTTCTAGTGAAGTTTGTTTAATCAAGAAGCCATGGGGACATAGGGTGCATGTGTAGTAATGCCATGCCCCGCCAATCCAGTGCTTCTCATAGAGTAATAATAAATCCAATGCTTCCCATAGAGTAATATTAAATCCAATGCTTCCCATAGAGTAGTATTAAATCCAATGCTTCCCATAGAGTAATATTAAATCCAATGCTTCTCATAGAGTAATATTAAATCCAATGCTTCTCATAGAGTAGTATTAAATCCAATGCTTCCCATAGAGTAATATTAAATCCAATGCGTGGCATAGAGTAGCATTACATCCAATACTTATCATAGAGTAATATTAAATCCAATGCTTCTCATAGAGTAGTATTAAATCCAATGCTTCCCATAGAGTAATATTAAATCCAATGCTTCTCATAGAGTAGTATTAAATCCAATGCTTCCCATAGAGTAGTATTACATCCAATGCTTCTCATAGAGTAGTATTAAATCCAATGTGTCTCATAGAGTAGTATTAAGTCCAATGTGTCTCATAAAGTAGTATTAAATCCAATGCTTCTCATAGAGTACTATTACATCCAATACTTCTCATAGAGAAGTATTAAATCCAATGCTTCCCATAGAGTAGTATTAAATCCAATGCTTCCCATAAAGTAATATTAAATCAAATGCTTCCCATAGAGTAGTATTGCATCCAATGCTTCTCATAGTGTAGTATTACATCAAATGCTTCTCATAGAGTAGTATTAAATCCAATGCTTCTCATAGAGTAGTATTAAATCTAATGCTTCTCATAGAGTAGTATTAAATCCAATGTGTCTCATACAGTAGTATTAAGTCCAATGTGTCTCATAGAGTAGTATTAAATCCAATAATTCTCATAGAGTAGTATTAAATTAAATGCTTCTCATATAGTAGTATTAAATCCAATACTTCTCATAGAGTATTAAATCCAATGTGTGGCATAGAGTAGCATTACATCCAATACTTATCATAGAGTAATATTAAATCCAATGCTTCTCATAGAGTAGTATTAAATACAATGTGTCTCATAGAGTAGTATTAAGTCCAATGTGTCTCATAGAGTAATATTAAATCCAATGCTTCTCATAAAGAAGTATTAAATACAATGCTTCCCATAGAGTAGTATTGCATCCAATGCTTCTCATAGTGTAGTATTACATCAAATGCTTCTCATAGAGTAGTATTAAATCCAATGCTTCTCATAGAGTAGTATTAAATCTAATGCTTCTCATAGAGTAGTATTAAATCCAATGTGTCTCATACAGTAGTATTAAGTCCAATGTGTCTCATAGAGTAGTATTAAATCCAATAATTCTCATAGAGTAGTATTAAATTAAATGCTTCTCATATAGTAGTATTAAATCCAATACTTCTCATAGAGTATTAAATCCAATGTGTGGCATAGAGTAGCATTACATCCAATAATTATCATAGAGTAATATTAAATCCAATGCTTCTCATAGAGTAGTATTAAATACAATGTGTCTCATAGAGTAGTATTAAGTCCAATGTGTCTCATAGAGTAATATTAAATCCAATGCTTCTCATAAAGAAGTATTAAATACAATGCTTCTCATAGAGTAGTATTAAATCCAATGTGTCTCACAGAGTAGTATTATAGCCAATAGTTCTCATAGAGAAGTATTAAATCCAATGTTTCTCATAGAGTAGTATTAAATCCAATGCTTCTCATAGAGTAGTAGTACATCCAATGCTTCTCAGAGAGTAGTATTAAAATCAGTGCTTCTCATAGAGTAGTATTAAATCCAAGGCTTCTCATAGAGTTGTATTAAATCCAGTGCTTCTCATGGAGTAGTAGTACATCCAATGCTTCTCAGAGAGTAGTATTAAAATCAATGCTTCTCATAGAGTAGTATTAAATCCAAAGCTTCTCATAGAGTTGTATTAAATCAAATGCTTCTCATAGAGTAGTAGTACATCCAATGCTTCTCAGAGAGTAGTATTAAATCCAAGGCTTCTGTAGGTTGAATTACTAAACTGAGAATTGTCAAGAAATCATAATGAATTCGAAGTGAATTTAAGGCCAATATATGTGAATTGTAAAAATTGTCCAAGTCAGTTAGGTTTACAGTTCAGCTATTTTGTTTTAAATCCACATTGAATTAAATTTGAATTCTTGGTAATTCTTACTTCAGTAAATAATGTTACATATGATCATGCTATACGTGATGACACGTAAAGTCCCGTGAAAGCTCGTCAATGATAAAACATATCTAGTGGCTGCCACTGTGAAGAATGGTTTAGACAAAATTCCCTGAAACGCAAAGGGACAGTGAATACACGCTAAAACCACTTCATTAAGAAGTGGTTTTGGTGCTACAAATGTCCCTTTAATTGAAATAATGCTTATTGGTATTGTCATTAAAATCTGTTCTTTTCTACACATGGGAAATCAGTGACCATTAAAGATGTATTTGTGTCTGTATTCCCTGCTACAATGTATTATATTAAAGTTTTTTAGGTATAGCATGGATTCATAATAAAACCATCTTCTGTCCACTTTATTGAATTTGTTCTCTCTTGCTGTTCTTAGGTTTGATTTGGGCATTTAGTTGCCAGAACGTATGTAGAAGAGCCATGTTTCCACCGTTACTCCTTGCCCTGTCTTTCGTATCTCAGTGGGGAACCCTATGAGACCACCCCAAACTTCCATTGCCCATGCCGGGCTCCGGAGGATGGGGAGCGGGGGCTCCACGAGTGGCACATCCAATTTATTGGTCACAGTCTGTACAAATCACAAGGGTGGAATTAACTGGCTGAGCTTGAGTCCAGATGGGCACCATCTGCTGACAGCGAGTGAGGACTGCAATGCTGGTCTTTGGACAACATCGGACAACCAGTGTATCCGGATGCTGCAAGGTGAGCCGTAACAATGTATACAATGCATTTCTACTAGTTGGACTTAAAGATTACAGGATTCCAGGGTCAGGGTATAAAATCACCTTATATTTAAAAAAAAATGTACCAGGATGAGATTCAACAGATGTGAATGGTATAAATAGGGAACTCCTTCGATTTTGCTGGAATTATGTTGGAGTATCATGACTGACAGCCTGATGAATAATTGTGAAGTGGAATTCTGATATCCCCAGCTTTAATGAACTTGCTGATTAGAGTCCATTTATTATTTGGAATGGACTTCTGCGGCATAGACCAAGAAGAGGATCTAACAATCCCAAAGGGCCGCTGTAGAGGGTGGATCATGCGAACATCTACATAATAGGACATTTCTTTTTTTATTTTGGTTATTATGACTTTAGTGTCACATTCTTCTTCAGAACTCACTGTTTGATGAACTTCCCAGGATTCCGACAACGATCTTCACACATATCTCAAAATTAAACTTGTCTAAATTATACACAAATCTAAAGCTAACTGAACGTTAGCCATGGGTTGTGTTTTTTTAAATGACAATTCTAATTATTATTTTATCATATGTTTTATATGCCAACTTGTCCTGGCCAGCATGCCATGGTGCCAGTACAAACACACATGTCACCATGCAAGGAATGGCAATCACGCATGTACCAATACAGAACTTTCTTAGTGGATGTCCCAGAACAGCACACATGGAGCATCATGCTGCAATGGGTTGCCCACACCTGGAAGTGTTGCATAGATAAGTAGGTTTTATCCTTACCCTTGTTCCCCCTCACCCCAGTAAGTTCTTCAGTAATGGGTAAAGGAATGAGAGAGTGTCAGAATGATATCATGAATTGAATCACATTCAGTGAATCAGGTTTTACAGCTGTGAGCTACACAGATCATACATAGAAGAGGTCATCAGTTTGTGGACCTCTAGTTGACCACAAATCCCATGATCCACTGACAAACGATGATTCTCTAGCTTTTGATGATACACAACTGCGGCAATAGACTTGACTAGTATCACTGGAGATTTAGTTCACCTACAGGTAATGAGGCAAGGGTTTTTTTTTTTCCCAACCCTGTGGTTGTTGGCATCGATTAAATTGTGTCCTTTTGCCAAAGAGGATTAACAAAGATGATAAAAATGCAATCATTATACAGAGTTTGGAATTTTCCACGTCGAATCCCTATAGGACCATTTTTTTTCTAAGCTTTCCAAAAATCTTCCAAAATCATGAGTAATTTTCCAAATTTGTAAAGCTTCCAAATTATACAACAAATTTCTATTTTTTTTTTTTTGCAAAGACGCAAAGTAGCATTTTTTTTTTTTATTGAAATACAATGCATCTTTTCAGTTGTATGAATTCCTAGAGGCCTTTTGTAGGTTTGGAAAGCTTTCAAAACGAAGAAATATACGTTTAACTAAAACAAACATATTTAATAGAGACAGACTGAATAACATACTTGGAGAAAGGCTTAGTGATACATAAGTCAAAACACTACTGTATGTGTCCTGATATGAAATATAAGAGGCATTTCTTAAACAATCAGCAGGCCCACATACAGACAAAATAGCCAAACTGCAACGATACCTGAACTGGAGAATTTCTCCAAATCAGCTTTTCATGCCTTCCTTTTGTGCTTTACATTTTAATTTGCTACAAGTCACAGTTTAGTGAATAGATCACTAGGACTACCATATGATGGAATAATTTCTGCATTGGATTGATGCTGAGTCCGGATGGACATTAAAGTGATTATATTAGGGGTGTATGTGGGGAGCAGAAATCAAATGCACCTAATGAGTATTCTTAACGGTTTATTTACTATAGTGAGAATTCAAAGTGATTTTGAAATTTAACACTATAGTCACCTAAATTACTTTAGCTAAATAAAGCAGTTTTAGTGTATAGATCATTCCCCTGCAATTTCACTGCTCAATTCACTGTCATTTAGGAGTTAAATCACTTTGTTTCTGTTTATGCAGCCCTAGCCACACCTCCCCTGGCTATGATTGACAGAGCCTGCATGAAAAAAAAAACTGGTTTCACTTTCAAACAGATGTAATTTACCTTAAATAATTGTATCTCAATCTCTAAATTGAACTTTAATCACATACAAGAGGCTCTTGCAGGGTCTAGCAAGCTATTAACATAGCAGGAGATAAGAAAATCTTAATTAAACAGAACTTGCAATAAAGAAAGCCTACATAGGGCTCTCTTTACAGGAAGTGTTTATGAAGGCTGTGCAAGTCACATGCAGGGAGGTGTGACTAGGGTTCATAAACAAAGGGATTTAACTCCTAAATGGCAGAAGATTGAGCAGTGAGGCTGCAGGGGCATGTTCTATACACCAAAACTGCTTCATTAAGCTAAAGTTGTTCAGGTGACTATAGTGTCCCTTTAAGATCAAAATAGCCGAACTGCAAAAATTCTCTAAGTAAGCTAAGCTTCTCGCTCAGCTAATCTGGTCTTAAATTTAAAATTTACTTTTGAATTCTTACTTTAGTCAATTATTATTATTTTATTATTTATATAGTGCCATCAGATTCCGTAGCGTAAATAAAGCATTTCGTTTTTTTTTCCTCTGGGAGAGTAGACAGGAGCAGTGAAAATGCTTCTCTTAATGCACTCATGATTTTTTATAAAGAAAAGGACAGGCCAGGACTTCTTGTATGTCCCTTTAACTTATGATTAAGTGCCACTAAGACTCAAAATGCTTAAAGTAGTGACGACTGCCAAACAGTAACAGTGGCTATGCAATAATAATTTTTTTAAATGGCTGAAAGATCCACAATTTCTGTGCCGTGTACCCTAATTGTACATTTACTGTTAAATATGAGGACTTGTGGGAGAATTTGGATGGTTGTAGCACAGACGAACACAAAATTAAGGTTAAAAAAAAAGACACTATTTATGGGAACTGTGTTGCAGTTTTGGGCTCAGATACTTTGATTTCAAGTAATTTGTCCATTTAACACAACTGTACTCTATGGGGTAATAGTTTACCATTGTTGACACACATGTGAGTGCACGATTTAGTAAATATATGCCATTGTTTTTAGGCCATGGGAGCTACATTACATACTGTCATCTGGAGAATGAGACTGCGTTCACCTGCAGCGCTGATCACACCGTCAGGAAATGGGAGGTCGCTACCGGTCTGTGTCTGGCTGTGTACACAGGACATACATCAATCGTTAACAGGTCGGTGAGAATTCATTTTACTGTGAATTGCTACATTTACACTGCTTGACACAAAGCTACAAAGAGTCACTCTGCTGGTAAATGTAAACACAACTCGTTATTATCGGGTGTGTTACAGTGGCAGGGTGCTGAGTGTGACTGAGTTAGGAGGGCGAGTGTGACAGGAAGTGTGGCAGGCTGAGGGGTGGTGTGTTACTGTGGCAGGGTGCTGAGTGTGACTGAGTTAGGAGGGCGAGTGTGACAGGAAGTGTGGCAGGCTGAGGGGTGGTGTGTTACTGTGGCAGGGTGCTGAGTGTGACTGAGTTAGGGAGTGAGTGTGACTGGAAGTGTGGCAGAGTGAGGGGTGGTGTGTTACAGTGGCAGGGTGCTGAGTGTGACTGGGTTAGGAGGGCGAGTGTGACAGGAAGTGTGGCAGAGTGAGAGGTGGTGTGTTACTGTGGCAGGGTGCTGAGTGTGACTGAGTTAGGGAGTGAGTGTGACAGGAAGTGTGGCAGGGTGAGAGGTGGTGTGTTACTGTGGCAGGGTGCTGAGTGTGACTGAGTTAGGGAGTGAGTGTGACAGGAAGTGTGGCAGGGTGAGAGGTGGTGTGTTACTGTGGCAGGGTGCTGAGTGTGACTGAGTTAGGGAGTGAGTGTGACAGGAAGTGTGGCAGGGTGAGAGGTGATGTGTTACTGTGGCAGGGTGCTGAGTGTGACTGAGTTAGGGAGTGAGTGTGACAGGAAGTGTGGCAGGGTGAGAGGTGGTGTGTTACTGTGGCAGGGTGCTGAGTGTGACTGAGTTAGGGAGTGAGTGTGACAGGAAGTGTGGCAGGGTGAGAGGTGGTGTGTTACTGTGGCAGGGTGCTGAGTGTGACTGAGTTAGGGAGTGAGTGTGTCAGGAAGTGTGGCAGGGTGAGGGGTGGTTTGTTACTGTGGCAGGGTGCTGAGTGTGACTGAGTTAGGGAGTGAGTGTGACAGGAAGTGTGGCAGGGTGAGGGGTGGTTTGTTACTGTGGCAGGGTGCTGAGTGTGACTGAGTTAGGGAGTGAGTGTGACAGGAAGTGTCGCAGAGTGAGAGGTGGTGTGTTACTGTGGCAGGATTAGGGGGGGGGGGGAGTGAGAGTTGGGGAAGGTGGCAGGGAAAACCACTGTGGGCTCAAAATAAACTAAAGAACTGTTTGAGTTTTAAGCAAAGTGTGTTAGCATTTGTCATGTTCAGGTGGTGGCACTTGGCAGGGTGCTGATTCTGAGTTTAGTGTGTGTGGCGTGGGGGGGTTGTACTGTGGGGGTGCTGAGTGTGACTGAGTTAGGGAGTGAGTGTGACAGGAAGTGTCGCAGAGTGAGAGGTGGTGTGTTACTGTGGCAGGATTAGGGGGGGGGGTGAGTGTAAGAGTTGGGGATGGGTGATTGGAGAAAACCACTCAAAGGGCTTCAAAATAAACTAAAGAACTGTTTAATTTTAAGCAAATGTGCTTTAGCATTTAGTCAATGTTTCAGACCACTGGCAGTATTGTAGAGAATTGATTCTTTAGTGTGTGTGCGTGGGGGGTTGGTACTGTGGGGATTGATTCTTTAGTGTGTGTGCGTGGGGGGCGGTACTGTGGGGATTGATTCTTTAGTGTTGGATTGGGCCTTAGTGGTGGGCTAGGGGCAGTATTGTGGGGGATTGGGGCTTTGGTGTGGGGGATAGAGGCAAATAAATGCCTGATAGCAATATTTTAGAGATTTTAGTGGAAACAGCGAAGCCCCTAATCCCTGACGTACGTTTTGCTAGATCAGCTCATCATTTCCACTAAAATCTCAAAAATATTGCTATGAGGCATTTGAGATTGAATACTTTAACATTTCGGCATGGCAATTTTCCTGTTCTACTGGCAATAAGGCTATTAAGGATCTAGCCATATTTCTGCTGAGGGGTGGTTGGGGTGAATAATATTGTTTTTCTGGCTAGGAACTTGTTTAGGGGTAAGGGGTGCCCACGAAGACACTATAGGGAAAGCACTGAAGGTTTAACTACCAAACCTTTACTTTTTCTAACCTCTTTACCCCTTATATTATTACATCTTGTACAGCACAAAATACCAGGTCTGTATCCTTGACTAGTGATGTCCCGAACGATTCGCTGGCGAATAGTTCCCGGCGAACATAGCGTGTTCGTGTTTGCCACGGACGGCGAACATATGCGCGGTTCGATCCGCCCCCTATTAATTTACTAATACTAAGTATAAATTACTTAGTATTAGTAAATTGTGCCCCTACTCGCAATACCGCGAGTAGGGGCATGTCTATTAAACAGTGAGCAGCCTGTGGCTGCTCACTGTTAAAAAAAAAAAAAAAAGGGTCCCCCCCCGGTGGGGGCCCTAAATACTAATAGGGGGGGACCTATTGTCCTCCCCCCGGCCCCCAACCCTGAGCGGTGCGTGGGGGCCCTAAAAATAACAATAAGGGGGGAACCTACTGAGCGGTGGGTGGGGGCCCTAAAATTAACAATAAGGGGGGGACCTACTGTCTCCCCCTGGCCCCCACCCCTGAGCGGTAGGTGGGGGCCCTAAAATTAACAATAAGGGGGGGACCTACTGTCCCCCCCCGGCCCCCACCCTTGAGCGGTGGGTGGGGGCCCTAAAATTAACAATAAGGGGAGGACCTAAAATTAACAATAAGGGGGGGACCTATTGTCCCCCCTGGCCCCCACCCCTGAGCGGTGGGTGGGGGCCCTAAATACAAAGGGGGGGACCCTAGTCACCCCTCCCCCCCAAAAAAAATTTTACTAAAAAGCTGTAAAAAAAAAGAATTAGATAAAAATAACTTACCATTTGATGTTTTCTTTCTTCTACAATCTTCTTTTTTCAGCCCCAAAAAAGGCCAAATAAAAAGCCATAAGAACCGACGCAATAAAAAAAACAAAAAAAAAACAAAACCCCCCCCCCAAAAAAAACGAGCACACAAAAAAATAATCCATCTTCACCCATGGAGGGCTCCGCGCAGACTGAGCTCTGCAGGGTGGGGGAAGGCTTATAAAGGCTAAGAACACTCTGATTGGCTGTTTTTTGTCATTTTACACAGCGTGGTAAAATTCAAAAGAACTTTAGGGCCCCCCTTATTGTTAATTTTAGGGCCCCCACCCACCGCTCAGGGGTGGGGGCTGGGGGGGGACAATAGGTCCCCCCCGTTGTTAATTTTAGGGCCCCCACCCACCGCTCAGGGGTGGGGGCCAGGGGGGACAATAGGTCCCCCCCTTATTGTTATTAGGGCACCCACCGCTCAGGGGTGGGGGCCGGGGGGGACAGTAGGTCCCCCCCTTATTGTTATTTTTAGGGCCCCCACCCGCTGCACAGGGGAGGGGGCCGGAGAGGGGGAGGACTGTAGGTCCCCCCCCTCATTATCATTATGGCCCCCACCCGCCGCCCAGGGGTGGGGGCCAGAGAGGGGGAGGACAGTAGGTCCCTGTGGGTTTTAAAATTCGCCTGCCTATTGAAGTCTATGGCGGTTCGCCAGGTTCGCGAACATTTGCGGAAGTTCGCGTTCGCGGTTCGCGAACCGAAAATGTTATGTTCGCGAAATCACTATCCTTGACATTACCAGGAGATCTAGCTGAATTTCCTAACTGTGTATGTTACTTATCATAATTTTTACATTCACATGTAGCCATGTAGCTATCTCTATAACAGATATCATTTTACTAACTATCCCAGAGTGAGCCTAATAGCAACTCTATACCACACACTCAGTGTAATAATGATTGATTGAGACTGTTTGGGATTACTGATCTGGTGGGTTTGCGATCTTACTTGACAATTACAGGGCATGTGCCTACGCATTTTCAGTACCACGGTGTATCTTAAGAGATTCTGATCTAACTCTGTGTATGTCTACTAAATAGCGATTCACAAAGATTATTAAGTCACACCCTTTGGGTGGGAACGTGGTCTACGACGACCACTATCACAGGTTATCGACCCAAGTATATAATTTTGAGGTACATATATATACTTATAATATTTATCAGTGGCACTCATCAAATCATTGTCACTAGTGGAAAAGCCACAACTGTTTTTAATAGTTGTTTTGTATTTTATATTTTTTTGTCTATAGTGCTATGTGTTATGTCTTGTGCTCAGTTCTTGTTTTAGTCCTTGTAGGACTTTTTAAATTTAATCTATTAAAAGCTAAGTCTTATTAAAGGTATTATTTACTCCTTTAGTATTCCATTTCTTTACACCAGGCGTTGCATCCTCCTCATTGTTCTTTTGTTTGTTTATTGTTTACCACAGGGGTTACCCCCCATTTAGGAGGTATGATATTAGATATTCTTCTTATGTTTCTTTTCTTTTCTGAAGGTCTGGGATAGAGGAAAACACTCAAAAACACTGACAGACAGTCAGACACACAACCAACCACAGACTCACACACTCACATTCAAAGAAGATTTTTAGTATTGGAGTATTTTTATGGTCTCTTTAGCATTAGGAGAGCTGGAGTGGATCCTCCCTCTGGGCCCCTGGTGCATTGCCCGCACAGCTCCCTTGCATGCCCTGTAGTGGTGCCTGGGCCGGAATGACATCACATTCTGCCTCCCGGCACCTCTACAGGTGTGCGATGGAGCTGTGCAGGCAATGGATCAGAGCTCTCTCGCTGGCGGTATCCCTGCCCCCACCAAGTCTGCAAATGGTGTCAATAAAACACCTCTCATGTTTGTGATGGGAATACATTGAAAGGTGAGGCGTCCTTTCTGTTTGAATTGTGCTCCAGGTAAGTGCAGAGACTGGAGGCTGGGAATGTCCCTCCATTTAGACTGGGATGGAATCTCACACATTTTCGTTCTGTTAATCAAGCTTAGTTTGTAACATACTTTACTTTTATGTTGGGTCATCTTACTGTACATCACTGTTAAATGTGTATTATAAGTAATAATAGTGAAGTTTATACAGTAATTACCCGTACAGACACAGACATAATCTTGTAGATGTTAGAAGAGCTTTCAGGGACTACACACATAGCCTCTCAACACCATAGCCACTACAATAAGCTATTACGTAGGTCCTTTAAAATAATTAGGAAGAGCTAAAGTGGGGAGATTTAGGATCTGAAGGCTATATTTGCTGAACTGGCAATCGTGGACAATTGACAAGGAAATCCCAAATGTTAGATCACTCTCGTCAAACTGGGAAAATTTTCCAAATTAGTCATTTTTATATTTTGCTTTTTTTTTTCCTAAAATGTATAATTGTTTATTGTAAGCAATTCCATAATTTAGCAAATAAGCCTGTATTGTTTGAGAGTTTTGTTCAGACTTGCAGAAGACTTAGCGCAGTTATGTGACATTGTTGCAAGAAGTTAATACATTCTTTGTGTCTGCATTACCTTTCAGAATTCTTGTTGTCAAAGACTATCTATTTAGTGCATCTTACGACAGGACTGCTCGGTGCTGGGATATAGAGACAGCCAGACAGTTGCAGGTCTTTCAGGGTCACCGAAACTGTATTCTGGCCTTGGCACACTTTTCATCGAATGACCTCTTGGACGAATCCGACATAGAAGCCAATGACGTGAAAGAATTCATTGTTACCGGGAGTACGGATTGTACAGTTAAAGTCTGGGAGGCATCCAGCGGGTGTTGCTATCAGACTTTACGTGGACATTCTGGGGCCATACTATGTATTGTTCTCGATGCCCCAAACAGTGAGCTATTCTCTGGTAGCACTGACCACACCATCCGGAGGTGGAATATGGCAACTGGAGACCAACTTAAATTATATCGAGGACACCAAGGGTCTGTTATCTGCCTAGAGGTAAGAAAACAAGAACTTGAAGCAGTAATGAAACTTCAAATTACTAAGCAGCACGTGCAACAGCTTAAACTAGTTATACTTGGAAGTCAGTTTAAAGATCCATAGACCTCACGTTGACGTTTCGCAGGCTGGATTCTGAGTATAACTGGACTTAGATAGTGGGTCTATTTTCCCAGCATAAGCGCTGGCTTTGTACAATGCTTGAAATAGGCCTGTAAACACAGGTACATTGTTGCGCACTAATAATAAAAAAAAATGTACGCAGTTATTTTACTTTTCTAGCATACAGCAAGCTAACTTGTTTTTGGCTTGTACTTCTGTATACATACTTTAATAGTTTAGATATGTGCAGTTTGGTTTTGTGTTATTTTATGATAATATCTTATCTGTTGATATTTACTGTGTGTACTGTATCTATGTATGAATGTATTAATTTATGGGTATTGGCTTCTTGTTCCTTTACCATTTTGAGGTTATTTTAAGTAGGTTCCATTTGATCTAATTTAATAATTACCATTAACCTTTTGACTTCCGCTATTAGTCATTTTGGCTATTGTGGTTCATTCACTTAAAAGGTTACTATAAGCACCTTGATCATTTCAGCGACTTAAAGTGGTTATGGTGCTTGAAATCTGAATGAGAGGTTAAAGAATTATCCTGCCAGTGTGGGACAAGAGTTCAGGATGGGCGAATGTTAATTCTGTGCATTTTGGGCATCTGTAGTCAGCATGAATAGTATGCTGGCAACACACGGCGGGTGGTGGGACGGCAGCCCCCTCTCTGTGCTTGTCAAGTCCAAATCCTCCCCTTATGATGTCCCTCTCCTGTAAGTGAGGGGGACCGACATCACCAAAGGATGATCAGGCTATCAAGAGAACTTGGCATTGGCATGGGATTTAAAGGTTTACTCAAGCACCATTGCCACCTGAGGGATTTGAAGTGGTGATGGTGCCTGGAGTCCATTTGTGCAGTGTTTTGTAAGGAAACTCTGCACATACAGAGATTAACCCCTCTAATACGCCTCTGGCAGTGCCATTGGGGTGTCATTAGACAGCAGTTCTGGGTGGCTTATGTGAATTCTGTTCACATTTGGCATCTCAAGCCAGCATGCCAGTCAGCCAATGGTGCCATTGCCTGTTCTCCATGACATCCCTCCCCATCAGCCAAAGAGGACTGGTCTACAGGGAGAATTTTCCCTCGGCGTTGGTACGGAGGCACGTTGAAACTCTATTTTTTTCTTTTACGTTTAGGGAGCAAGCCAGCAGAGCAAGGGTTACTCTAACCAGAAACACTGTTTTATGAAAACACTGTTTTTTGGTTGGAGTAACCTTTTTGGGTGAGTTTATCCTTTCTTCCTTTTTCTATGTGGAGACCACGCCAGCAAAGCTTACTTCAAACAAAAACAGTATTTTAATAAACAATGCGTTTTGATGATTTGGCAACAGACTTATACAATGCAGGCCAAAATAACCAATCTGTAAATATTCCTATATTGTATACATGCACAAAAAATATATTTATTTTTGTTTAGTCTCAAATGTCAGTATTTTTTCATAACTTTAAGTTAGTGAAAATAATGTTTAGCGTTTCATAAAACATTTGTTATTCTGGTAAGCATCTTTAGCTGAGTCAGACTCCAGACATTTTTATACGGTGCAAATGTAGCCAGAACACTCCGTCAATATAAGTGGGAGCCACATGAAATATATCTCTTTCTCTTAATCAAATATTTTCTGTCGATTACACTCTGCAACATGCGTTGTAAAAATCTGACAGAATTATTATATAAATAGATTCTGTCCACACGGACATTTATATCTACTGAGTTTTCAACAGTAAATCTGTGAACTGTTCCCCAGATGTTTCACGGAGAGTAATTGACAAAATAAGAAATCGTGCTGCGGGCGATGAATAAAAAATGTATCGGAAAGACAATAAGCAAACCTACACGGACAGTGTCTACATTTAAAGAGGCGCTGTCACTTGGGGTGTGTTTTAATATATTGCATTGACCACGCCACCTTGAAAGTAACGTCTTCTTCTGGGGATAGGGGTGCAGTAAGGGAAATATTATTACCCGATACTCTCTACATCAGTACTTCCAGTACTTTATTCTTTACATAGATATTAGTTATGGTTAATGCTGCTCTGAGTGTAAAACATGGATCTATAGAAGGTTCAGTGGAATCCTCCGTAGAGGTTTGTGACGAAAGTAACCTCATCACTGGCTTTTGGAGGGGCCTGTTTGGCAGCCTCCTACCCTGTGATCATGGCCCTGTGACAAGCTGAACCTCGTCAAGGATTCTTGGAGGGGCCTGCTGGCCAGCCTATTGCCTTAGGACTATGGACCTGCAATATACCTTGCCCAATGCACTTTAAAAGGCTCTGTTCATGTGAAGTATGCACTTTTGTACTCCAGGCAGAGAGACCGACCGTTAGCCCTAATTCTCTGGAACTTTTTTGGGCATGGGACCATGTGCACGGTGGGTCAAAAAGAGACTTCCATGAAACTTTTGAACCCCTGCTCTGATCTGGGTGATTTTGGGATATGTTATTCACCCAGATCAGGGCTATCCCTGTGTTTTACGGGATATGTTGTATTTTGGGGTACTTAAGAGACTTTGTAAAATATGTGTTTTTATGTTTGGGGATAATTACATTAATACATTATCTACCTTAATTGTATCACAGGCAGAGGGGAGGGATTGTGTGCTGTATGTGGGAGTGTCAGGCATTGTTACATTTATTCTATTGGTCTGTATAATTTGTGTCCTGTGCCCCATCAGGTCCAGTGGGTGTTCCCCTGGCCTGAAAAGTTGTATAAAAATCCAACCCATACCATTAAACTCTCAGATCATCTTGCACCTTCATGAAGTCTTGGCTTCATGAAGTCCTGGCTCATGGGGATTGGAGAACTACACTATATCACAATACTCCCCTGAGTATAATCACTAGCTCTTCTAAGAGCTTTTCCTGCTACACTCTCTGGACTAGGAGAGGTCTACCTACTGGAAGCTGGATCATGGTCTTGGGTCCAGGGTGGGTGGTGAGTCCCCAACCAGGCTGCGGCGGTTCGTGGGGTTTACGGTAGTTATGGTGTTCCAGTGCAGTGCTTATGATACTCGCAAGTACTAGGAAGCAGCGATTGACAGAGGTACTCGGTCGGAGTGCCAGGCAGTCCGTCACAAGATTCTTGCACTGCGCATGCTCAGTAAGGTGCCATAGGAACAGAATAGGCTCAGACTGTTGTTCTATGTACTATATAATTTGCAATAATGCGACCCTTTAATGTCAAAAATACTTCTGGCATCACATTTCTGCTGTTATGGAATTCTTAAATAAAATATTTTTGTATGTATCTATGTATTTATTAAACAGAGATCATTCTTTAGGTTATTGAACATTACGTCCCAATTAAGATGCCCACTTTGGATAGATCCTGGAGTGAATTGGGACTGGGTGACTGGATTGCTAATGTTTATTTCCATTTACAAAATGAGTGTTTCTATCAAATTTCCTTTGACTTATTTGATCTGATCATCTCATGCACGAGCAAGTTTTTCTACTTTGCAGTTATCGCAAACTAAAGTGTAACCCACATTAGCCTTTAATTAGGCACTTAAAAAAAATACCACTCTACAGTGTAACATAACATACATGCAGTCCTATAGAATCCTTTTTTGTATCATTTTCATTAAATAAATGTAATATATTAAATATCCCAGAAAGGGGCAAATTCCGTATCCCATCTTGATCAATATAAGATATATTATTGATTAATTTGATCCTCTGCTGTATTTCACTAATACTTCCCATGCTAAAATTCTGTTACTCCATCCATCTGATATTTTGTTAATCACTGTCTCATAATTACATGCACTGAGTAAAATTAATGTCACATGTAACAGTTATTGGTAACATTGTAGATTTGTCCTTAAGTCACATTCATACTAAATAGATTAGAACAACAACTAATTTGATGAAAATGTGACACATATCTGATAAGGCTGCAGTGGAACTAACTCAGTAAATTAGTGGCACTACCTGGACATTGTCTCTAGACCGCTATGAATGAAGCGGCTTTGATTATCCAGAGAAGCGATGTGATAATTGGGAATAGGAGTTGGTAGCACTCTCCTGTCAGTGTGAGACAGCGTGCCACTATTCATTGTGTCATTATTTTATACACAGAGTTCCTGGCTTGCTGCTGGATTCTCTCATTTTAACCCCACAATTCTCATCATGTAATTCAGCTAAATAATTGTAGATCTGGCTATAAATAGCATGAAATGGCTGTAAATACCTTGTGGGAGTCTTTGTATCCAGGCTACACAAATCAGTTCACAGAGAAGCAGAGAACATACATACAGTAGGTTTTAAGTCTGGATTCTGTGTCTGTGAACATAATGCACTGTGTTAAGGTGCTGCAAATTCCTGGCGAGGCCCAAAAGTATCAACATAATAGCTTGACAAATACCACATCATGTGGCCGAAACGTTGTCCTGATTGCTTGGATGTTCTAACTAAATGTATTCTCTGTGAACACACACAGTATACAAATGTGTCTGTCTGGCAGGCTTTAAAGTGACCTTGTATAACATTTAAGTTTCATTTTTTGGCCATGAAGAATATTAGGTGTGTGCAGGGCCGGACTGGGAGAAAAATTCGGCCCGGGCATTTTTTTAACACAGCGGCCCACTAAGAAGGGGGCGGGGGCAGAGGAGGTGTGTTTTGTCATCACCAATGACAAACACGCCCCCTCTCAAAGTGAGCATGTTGGTTCAATGCTCTTCCAGGGCAGACCATGCGCAGAGCTCTGCTGAAGAGCTCTAGCATGATAAAAAAAGCCCTGTATTTGTTCTGCACAGTGCAAGCAAATTTAATAACATGCTTGCACTGTGTTTCCTTGCAAATTGTCTCTGGTGTCTCTATAAAGATACCAGGAAACAAAAATGCCAGGAAAGAGTATTGTGCATGTGTTTGGAGCCTGCTTGTGGTATTGCGTGAGCTGATTGTGGTGCGGTATTGTGTAATAAGGTTGGTTTTAGTCATGTTGTGTTTGTGGTGTAATGTGATGCATATGTGGCTAGGGGCTGTAGAGAATGTGTGTATTGGGGATATAGCAAGTGTGTGCATACAGGCTATAGTGTGTGTGTGTGTGTATATAGGTGATGTAGTGTATGTTTAGGGGTGTAGTATGTGTTTGCTTACAAGGAATCTAGTGTGTGTATAGGGGATCCAGAGTGTGTATGTTAAGAGTGTAGTGTGTGTGTATATATATTTGGAAGTATTGTGTATGTGTGTGGTGCAGTGTGTGATGTGTGTGAGAGTGCGGTGTGTGAGAGTGCTCTGTGTGATGTGTGTGTGTCTGATGAGTGTGAGAGTGCTGTGTATGATGTGTGTGAGAGTGCTGTGTGAGAGAGTGCTGTGTGAGAGTGCTATGTGTGTGAGAGTGCGTGTGTGCTGTGAGAGACTGCTGTGTGAAAGAGTGCTGTGTGTGAGAGTGCTGTGTGTGAGAGAGTGCTGTGTGAGAGAGTGCTGTGTGTGAGAGTGCTGTGTGTGAGAGTAGAAACATAGAAACATAGAAACATAGAATGTGACGGCAGATAAGAACCATTCGGCCCATCTAGTCTGCCCAATTTTCTAAATACTTTCATTAGTCCCTGGCCTTATCTTATAGTTAGGATAGCTTATGCCTATCCCACGCATGCTTAAACTCCTTTACTGTGTTAACCTCTACCACTTCAGCTGGAAGGCTATTCCATGCATCCACTACCCTCTCAGTAAAGTAATACTTCCTGATATTATTTTTAAACCTTTGTCCCTCTAATTTAAGACTATGTCCTCTTGTTGTGGTAGTTTTTCTTCTTTCTACTGTGAGAGAGTGCTGTGTGTGAGAGTGCTGTGAGAGAGTGCTGTGTGAGAGAGTGCTGTGTGAGAGAGTGCTGTGTGTGAGAGTGCTGTGTGAGAGAGAGTGCTGTGTGTGAGAGTGCTGTGTGTGAGAGTGCTGTGTGTGAGAGTGCTGTGTGTGAGAGTGCTGTGTGAGAGTGCTGCTGTGTGAGAGAGTGCTGTGTGAGAGAGTGCTGTGTGAGAGAGTGCTGTGTGTTAGAGAGTGCTGTGTGTTAGAGAGTGCTGTGTGTTAGAGAGTGCTGTGTGTTAGAGAGTGCTGTGTGAGAGAGAGTGCTGTGTGAGAGAGAGTGCTGTGTGTGAGAGTGATGTGTGTGAGAGAGTGCTGTGTGTGAGAGTGATGTGTGTGAGAGTGATGTGTGTGAGAGAGTGCTGTGTGTGAGAGTGCTGTATAAATGTTAGAATGGATTGTGTGTGTAGGGGGGAGGGGGGTTAAATAAATAAAGTAGGCATTATGTCCCCCCCCTCCCTTCTTACCTTTAGCCTGGGAGGGGGGGGACCGGCACACTGATCCCTGGGACTGGGAGGGGGGGTTCCCTGGTGGTCCTTGTGGTGAGATCCGGTCGTTGCCATGGCAACGCGCCGGATCTCGCGAGAGGAACCCGGCGGAGCTCTAATTTAGAGCTCCGCCGGGTCCTCTCTCCTAGCGGCTGTCTCCCTCCCTCTCCCCCTGCCCGCGGCCGCATTATACAGCATGTGGGCCAGTGAGGGAGATCTTTGATTTCCCTCACCGGCCCTTCATGGAAAACAGCGGGGCCGGCGCTCGGATAGTGCCGGCCCTGCATAGACCGGCAGGGGAGATCCTGGGAGCTCCCCTGCCGGCCTCGGCCCATGGCCACCGCGGCCCACCGGGCATTTGCCCGGTGTGCCCGATGGCCAGTCCGGGCCTGGGTGTGTGTCTGTTCCAGCTACATGCAGCAATCACAATCATTCACACACAGAGATCTGTTCTAAGGGGCCCTAAGTGGGACTGGTTTAGTGAGGGGCCTTTTTCACACTAGTAAGAAATGTAATCCATCTGTCCACATTCTGAATGCATTATAACAGTTAGATTTATTCAGTAAACTGGGAATATGGGGGAGTATAATAAACAGGAAAAATTGGTTTAACTTGTTTTCAGGTACAACCTGGGGTCTGAATACAATGAGTATTACCCACTTAAAAAATACTCATTATATTAACCTCGTAAGAATGAAAGGCTGAGTTGACTTTACCAGGATTTGAATCTGTGAGATACTGCAGCTGGAGCCCTATCCACTGAGCTATCTCTCCAAAAATGTGATACATTGACCAGGAAATGGCATCTCTCTGTCCAAATAGCAAAATTAGTACAATTCTTTCAGCTCAGCTATGTTGGCCTAAAACAGTGATGGCGAACCTTTTTGAGCCCGAGTGCCCAAACCGTAATACATGCCAATTTATTTTTCCTCAAAGTGCCAAATCGGCAATTAAACCTGAATACCGAGGTTTAAGTTTAGAAAAAACAACTCATACAGTTGTCCGAACTAATTAACATCTCTGTGTGTGTATTAAGCAGTTTGTGTGTGTGCTCGGCAGTCTGTCTGTATGTGTATTTAGCAGTCTGTGTGTATTTAGCAGTCTGTCTGTATTTAGCAGACTGCTGAATACACACACAGACTGCTGAGTACACAGTCTGCTGAATACACATACAGACTGCTAAATACACACACACACACAGACTGCTGAGTACACACACACAGACTGCTGAGTACACACACACACACACACAGACTGCTGAGTACACACACACACAGACTGCTGAGCACACACACACACAGACTGCTGAGTACACATACAGACTGCTAAATACACACACACACACACACACACGCACACTGCTGAGTACACACACACACAGACTGCTAAATACACACACACACAAACACACACACAGACTGCTCTGTACACACACACAGACTGCTGAGCACACACACACACACAGACTGCTGAGTACACACACAGAGACTGCTGAGCACACACACACATACTGCTGATTACACACACACACACACACACACACAGACAGACTGAGTGTACACACACAGACAGACTGAGTGTACACAGACAGAGTGCTGAGTGTACACACACTGCATTGAGGGGTACAGTGTTTGTGTGTGGGGTGATGTGTTTGTGTGTAGGGTGATGTGTGTGTGTGTGGGGGGTGATGTTTGTGTGTGTGTGGGGTGGTGTGTGTGTGTGTGGGGTGTGGTGTGTGTGGGGGGTGGGTGTGTGTGTGGGTGGGGTGTGTGTGTGTGTGGGGTGATGTGGGGTGATGTGTGTGTTTGTGTGGGGTGATGTGTGTGTGTGTGTGTGTGTTTGTGTGGGGTGATGTGTGTAGGGCAGGGGTGCTGTGTGTAGGTCGTCCCTTCCCCCCCCACTGTTTTCTTTCCCCCATCTTCAGTTTTTTCCCCCCATCCCTCCCTCAGTTTTCTTTCCCCCATCCCACATTCAGTTTTCTCATCCCCATACCTCAGTTTCCCCCCCCATCTCTTCCTCAGTTTTCTTCCCCCCTCCCATCTCTCCCTCAGTTTTCTCCCCCCCCCATCTCTCCCTCAGTTTTCTTCCCCCCTCCATCTCTCCTGGTTTTCTTCCCCCCTCCATCCCTCCTTGTTTTCATTCCCCCTCCCGCTGTCCTTGATCTCCTACCTTGTAGCGCGGAGCTCAGTTTCCTGTACCCGGCCAGACAGGAGGTGCTCTCTCTGTGAGCACTTCATTTCTGTCCGCCCGGGTACAGGAAACATAAGTTCCTGTACCGCGGCGCGCTCGGCCACGCTAGACAGAGTGCCTGGCAGGAGGGAGCGCTATGCGCTCACCTCCTGCCGGTCACTCTGGTTTTGCGCCTGCCGGGCCGGTGCACCCTAAGGCGGCCACTTGTGCCGCCTTATGGATGCGCCGGTGGAGCGCACCCTTCCTCCCTCCGGCGACCTGTGGCCGCATGCCCACAGAGGGGGCTCGGCGTGCCATAGGTTCGCCATCACTGGCCTAAAACATTCCAATCTACTGTATTTTCTTCATAATTTCTGTTTTAATTATTAACCCCAAATGTAACAACATATCGGTATCTCACTTGAAAATCTCTCTCCCAGCCTCATAGCCTGCTTAAATGGACAATATAGGCACGCAGACCACTTCAACTCATTTTAAGTGGTCTGTGTGCATGTCCATGTCCCCCTAAGCCCTGCAATATAAAACACTGCCGTTTCATAGAAACTACAATGTTTACATTGCAGGGTTAAGACCGCCTCTAGTAGCAGTCCACCAGACAGCCACTAGAGGCACTTCCTGCTGTTTCACAGACTTTAACTCAGTTAAACAACGCAGGACGAGGACGTCCTCACGCTTTGCATGAGTACACCCAGCTTCTTCATAATCCCTATCCGAAAGCATTGATTCAATGCTTTCCTATGGAAAAGGCCCAATGTGCTGTCAATGCACAATGCGCATTAGGATCCCACTTGGACTAACATCAGAGAGGCGGAATAAGGTGAGTGTGTAAAGGGTCATTAACCCTTTAATTGCTGCGGGGGGATAGAGCACGGAAGCGAGAGGACACTAGTGTTAGGAATACAGCTTTGTAACACTTAGTCCTAACACTATAGTGTTCCTTTAAGATGCTTATAAGATAGCGCCACCTATACTAATGTAAGTAAACTAACGCTATTCTGATCTTAGCACATCTGAGATCCAGGTTTATACAGAGGTAAAGCAGGCATATGTGTTTGTTTTCAGCCCTTATTGAAATAAATGTACGTGTTAACAGACATTAAGAATGTTCTTCAGTCAGCGACTCATAAGATATGTTCTAGGGCAATGGTTCCCAAAGTATGGGTCGCGACCCACTGGTGGGTCACAGGGCGATTCCCAGTGGGTCGCGCTGACCCTCACCTTGCAATGTATGCCGCCGGGCTCCCTCCAATCAGTCTGCCCAGCACCTCCGGTCTGCAGCTCCGCCGGGTGCAGAGCTGCAGACCGTGTGATAGAAGTCTCGTGAGCACCCAGAGCGTTACCATTGTAACATTTTGGGCGCTCGCAAGACTTTTATTACACTGTCTGCAGCTCTGAACCCGGCGGAGCTCAGACCGGAGAACCACAGGACCACCAGGGAATTTATTACAGGTAGGATACAGCCCCCAGACCATGTCGCCCCCTTCATGCAACTCCTTTTCTAATTGCCCCCTGTAACCCATCCACTCCCCGCCCCCCTGTAATCCCTTCTGGCCCTGCCCCCCCCCGTAACCCCTTCACTCCCTGCCCCCCTGTAACCCATTCTGGCCCTGTCCCCCCCTGTAACCCATTCACTCCCTGCCCCCCTTGTAACCCCTTCACTCCCTGCCACTCATGTCCCTGTCAATGGATGATCCTGCAGTCTCGCAGGATCCTCTATACTATATAGACCTCTCACTGATGGACGAGAGTACAACGCTGTCATGGCCTACTGGCAGCTGTAATTTCTGGACGCTGGAACTGTAGAGGACTGGCTGGAAAAGTATGGTGGCGGTCACAAGCGTTGAGGTAAGTAGAACTCCCCTGCACCCCGCCGCATTCGTGCACCCAGTGACAAAGTCGGCGTCAGGGATCTTTGCAAATTATGCACAGAACCCAGACGGTGACAGGGTCGCTTTAAATGCAATTATGGGTCAAAGTTCTAAACATGGAGTAATCAGCATCAACATTTAATTGGTTTCCATGGTGATTGCCCCACTTCTAGCACTGTTCCTCATAAATGCTCTTTATAGGTCATCTTAATTCCATCAAGTAACAGTTTATAATTTACAGCATGTGTGATCTATTCACTCTGGAATAAAATGATGGAATAAATAAATGATTTATGTCACTATGTGCTCAGGGAGATAGAAACAGGCCCGTGAACAATCCGCATTTTGTTGTGATGATGTGATACTGAGGTTTCAAATGATCACAAGAGGTTACTCTGTATCTGAACATGATGCACGGAATTCTAGCTAGATCCCAGGACAGGATTGTGTTGGAATCAGAGACATATTTATTACAGGAGTTATCTATCAGTACATCATGCAGGACAGGTTTATTCCATTGGAGAGAAAATCGTTAATCAAGCCATAAGTGCTATAAAGATTTCTGGTAGAAATGTGTTTTTTTTTTTTTATCGTAATATGTGCGTTTATTAAAGCTGCTCAGAGAAATAGCAAAGAATCCATTGTAAAGCAAGAACTGATCTTCATGTTAAAATACTATCCACATATTCCTATCTTTTACTTGTCATTACACGACTTGTATATTCGTCTCATGTTTTCGTTAAAGGCACACACCAAGCACCATAACCACATACATTCCTTCCTGTGCCAGCAGAGCCCTGGTACTCCCCACATCCTCCCCATTGTGTGTGTGTGTGTGTGTGTGTATATATATAATCAAAATTATTTGAATGGTTTAACTTACCATCTTACCTGAAGTCTGCCAGGCTCTGCTTCCCACCTCCACTACTAACTCTGGAGAGTCATATGCCTAACATGGTCAGCTGTAGCAGTTATAAGAGTAGGAGTACCCTGGCCGCTTTCCGGTAATGGGGCAATCCATTAAGTAACAGTTTGCACTCTTACCTGGGTTCACACTAGGCTCTGAGGCTCATCTTCTTCTTGGTGATGGACTTCCGGCTACTGCACAGCTAAAGAAGCCAACGCATTTACCATTCACGTACTGAGAGTGTCAGCTGGCCACCTTCAGCCAATGAATGGCACTCTGTGCAAAAACAATGCTCAGAACTGAAATAAGCCTGGGACTCTTCATCCGTGCTGGCTGATGACACCCCATGATGCTGTTTCACAGCGAAACACTGAACATACAGACTCCAGACACCAAGACAATTACAAATCACTGAAATTGTCATGGTGCTTGGAGTAACACATTAAACTCCTTTAATGCAGTCTTATCTTGAAACAGCACAGTAGGTTCCATAGGTCTGGAGATATCAGATGGTGGTACTGAAACAATTTAAAGACCAGGCAACCTCAGAGAAATAATAGTGCTCTCTGGACCAAACCAGAAAAAGTTATTATAAGGAGAATTACAGTATATACTCGAGTATAAGTCTAGTTTTTCAGCAAATTTTTTGTGCTTAAAAACCCCTACTCGACTTATACTCGAGTCACTGTCTGTATTATGGCAACTTAGAGAGCCGCGGCCGTCAGAGCCATGGCAACGATCCGCGCGGCAACCAGACCGCGAGACTTATAGTGGAGCTGACCGAAACGGAGGAGAAGGGAGCTGACAGGAGCTGCAGGAAAGGTAAGTAAATGCTTCCTGCCGGACCCCCCACTTCACAGCCCATGCCACTGGACCACCAGGGATTAAGATAGCCCCCCTCCCTGACCAGTTAACAAGCAGGGAGGGGGGACAAAAAAAAAATTAAAATAATAAAAAAATAATATTAAAATAAAAAAAAATTAAATAATAAAAATGCCCTCCCCCCACCTAGTTCACACACACTACACAAACACACACTCTGCATTATATACACAGAGTGTGTGTATATAATGCAGAGTGTGTGTTTGTATGAGTGTGTATATAATGCAGAGTGTGTGTTTGTATGAGTGTGTGTGTATATAATGCAGAGTGTGTGTTTGTATGAGTGTGTCTGTGTATAATGCAGAGTGTGTGTTTGTATCAGTGTGTGTGTATATAATTATAAAAATCACAGAATTTCATAGCCCCAAGTTTTACCCTCGACTTATCCACGAGGCATAGCATATTTCACAATTGTTGGTCACAAAACTGCACTCGACTTATACATGAGATCGACTTATACACGAGTATATACGGTACTCACACTTTAAGGAGCAGGCACACCGCTCTACGAATAAATCTTATTTGTGGACCCAATCCTTGGTTAGGATTAGGAAGGTAGGAACCTACTGCGCTGTTTCAAGATAAGATTTTTCTCTATATATTGTTATCTCACTAAAAACACGATACATTCCACATCTGGACTTTATCTTTGTTTTATCCTTTGTTTTTTTGTTGTTTCCTACCTTTAAGGGACACTTTTAGGTCTATTGCAGATATTACACAGTTTTTTTATGTTTTTTGGCGCATGCTGGTATTTTCAATTTTTTTTTGTCTCCACTGGTTTTGTGGATTTTTGGAGGGAATCCCCTACCTTTCAGATTTGCTGCCTCCCCATCTAATTTTGTTCAGTTTTCTAAGCGCTGCTGCACACTCTTTGATTTTCCCTCTTTTTAAAAGGAACCTTTTAACATATTGTTTCTGTTCATTTTGTTCATTTGTTTTTCATAACTTGTTATTTTTTACTATTTCCGACTGTACAATGCTGCGGAATGTGCTGGCATTATATAAATATTAATTAGAAGAACCTTTTCTACCACTGTATGCAGACGCGGTTTCTGTAAAATTTCTCCCGGTGTTTCAGGTCCTATGATTACATGTTGAACATAATTTGTTACAAGGTTTTAATTACCAAATTGGTCACCAAGACCAGATTGGAAATAAACATTGGGATCCAAACTGAGGCCTTTTCTTGCACTGTGCCTGGTAATCGTTAGGTGTGATTATCTTCTGTGTGCATTCTAGATAAACCCATAATGAAATGGAGTACTTTCTGCTGATCGAGCAAAAATTTGAGGTATTATATTTAGTATTACATTCCATTAAATGCTAAATATTTAGGAACACTTATGTTTGGTCTCACTTTACCAAAAAAAACATCTAAATATGTAACCATTTATCTACCAGAATGGAGCATAAACTTTTTAATTTTATGTATTTTGCAGAATGATATTTAGTCCACAAAGCCACACTTATTTCCACTCTGGTTTTGATTAGCAGCATGTAGAGGAACAATTTTATCTTGCTGAAGCCACTTGTGACTGACTTAATGCCTACAAGTTTACTGAAAATGTCAACTCACCCACTGCTCCAGTAGATGTAGGTGTAGTGTCTTTGTAGTGGATGTATAGTGGGTGCAGTGTCAGTGTTTGTGTAGTGGGTGCAGTGTCTGTGTAGTGGGTGCATTGTCTGTGTTTGTGTAGTTGATGCAGTGTAGTCCGTGTAGTTGATGCAGTGTAGTGGATGCAGTGTCTGTGTGTAGTGCATGTACTGTATGTAGAATCTCTGTGTAGTGCATGTAGTGTGTGTAGTGGATGCAGTGTCTGTGTGTCGTACATGTAGTGCGTGTAGTGGATGCAGTGTCTGTGTGTAGTACATGTAGTGGATGCAGTGTCTGTGTGTAGTGCATGTAGGGTGTGTAGTGGATGCAGTGTCTGTGTGTAGTACATGTAGTGTGTGTAGTGGATGCAGTGTCTGTGTGTAGTACATGTAATGCAGGTAGTGGATGCAGTGTCTGTGTGTAGTACATGTAGTGTATGTAGTGAATGCAGTGTCTGTGTGTAGTACATGTAGTGGATGCAGTGACTGTGTGTAGTGCATGTAGTGTGTGTAGTGGATGCAGTGTCTGTGTGTAGTACATGTAGTGTGTGTACTGGATGCAGTGTCTGTGTGTAGTGCATGTAGTGGATGCAGTGTCTGTGTGTAGTGCATGTAGTATGTGTACTGGATGCAGTGTCTGTGTGTAGTACATGTAGTGTGTGTACTGGATGCAGTGTCTGTGTGTAGTACATGTAGTGTGTGTACTGGATGCAGTGTCTGTGTGTAGTACATGTAGTGTGTGTACTGGATGCAGTGTCTGTGTGTAGTACATGCAGTGTGTGTAGTGGGGCTGTGAGGGGCGATCAGTTTTCTTAAAATGTATTCCCTCCTCCTTGCCTCCTACCTGTGGTCCAGTGACACATATGTCCTGTAGAGAGGGGGCCCAGAAGTATCTTTCCCTCCTGCACCTGTATGTCTTCTCCTCTCACGAACCGATTGAGTGTTGCCGCTGGTTGCTATGGGAATACTCCGCATATGGCAGAGCATTGCCATGGCAACCCGCGGCAACGCTCTCACGGTTTGCGAGAAGAGCAGATATGAAGCTGCAGGAGGAGAACTTTAGACCTCTGGGCTCCCTCTCTACAAGACAAGGTAGCAGGGGCCCAAAACTACATATATATATATATATATCGGTAACCGCTATATATATGCATAGGCGGCCCAGGCTCCACAGCAGGTACTTTACAGTGTACAGGGGCGGCAAAATGCCACCCCTGTAAAAGTGCCACCTGGAGTCGTGGCCCCACTGGGGACAATGGACGGGCCAGCCCTGCTTGCTTCAAATATATGGTATTCTAACATGTTTGTAATCAAAAAGTGCTTGGTAGTGAAGGGGTTAAGGGTTTATCCACTAAACCATGAAAGTTTTTGGAATTCAGGCCAACACTACACAAGCTGTCACTGGTTTAAACTTTACAATTAAATTAATGACCATAGTCCTTTCTCAAATCATCCGAGCAACTGATTTCCTTAACCAATGAGCCATTTTACTGGCTACAGATCAGTGCAGAGGAAGATGGAATTTGTAACATTGTTGAGGATGATAATATTTGAGGTGCCAATAGGCACATTATTCTTAGGCTTCCCTACTCACATCCCCTCTGAATTTTATAAAATAAGGAAAAATATGACATTTATAGTCACACGCCCATAGGCAGCTGCCTAGTCTGCCAATTGGTAAATCCTTCTCTGAAAGATTTATAGTTTGGCAAAAGATAGACGTCTTTGTTGCTGAACCCTGGCTTGACATGACTGAGTGAGTGAGTAAAGCAGTAGTTCATCTGGTAGTGTAATGGACTAGGTTTCCCATGATGCTTTGAAATGATGACCCATGTGACTGGCTGAGCAATGTGCGAAGTGCTATTCAAACCAACTGAGGTGCCAGAGGTTAGCCAACGGTGCCAAAGGTTAGCCAACGGTCTATTCACCAAACCTCATGCTTCCTGTTTTTAGTTCGGGAAGACTGGCTGACCTGTGACCTCCAGAGGTAAGTTATACAGGTCAAAAGAAACATCTGACATTTAATACGCAAAGGTTTCCAGTTTGATATTCTTTAGAGACATTAGAATTCAAAAGTTGTTTTTGACCCGGCCGTGCACCTCTTAATCTTCTCGATGGTTAAATAAGACGATTTTAATGCATTGTGATAGATTCCTGGTAATATGAACTTTGTTTCTTACCACCAGCCAAAATAAACTCAAAAAACACATAATGTGTCTCCCTCCTGCTGTAAGCACCAGTCGATTAGCATCTGTAATTCTATCCGTGGATCATATAATAAAAAAAGAACAATAATAATTAGTTGGCAGACCTTTCAAGGTATTTTCCCCAGCGTAGTTTTCCTAGAAATCCCTTTGACTTAAAACGCAGCTGTTATTGAAGGGGAACATCTTTGTGTTGGAGGTCGAACGAAACAAACGATGTGGATGACAGCATGGATCATTGGGTAATATTGACACGTACATGGGTTGTGTATTTATACAAGTTAAACCATTATTAGATTTTAGCTGACTGCAGCCGGCCAGCCAAAAAAAGGAAAAACGAACGCATAGTTGAAAAGGACTAAAATATTTTTCTTGGTTGGAAATCTTTGTGATTTCATTAGCCTGACCCCCTTCCCAATGGTAAGGACATGATATTAGCTTGCATGGACAACGCGTGTACGGAGGCATTGTTCCAACACTGCAGGCTCCCACTAGCAATATAAATATTCTGGGTTATGTGGAGTCATCGATGGGGTCAACTTATTCTAGAGAACTGGATATCGCTGCACTTGGAAATGCGGAATCATCAAAGTATCCAGAGAGAGGCTTGGAGTGATAGGAAAGCACTTCATTGAATCATATGACTATTCCATCAAAGGCAATGTTACTTCTAAACAGTGTACAGACTCATACAGTGCGAATTGCAGGGATTCAACGCGAATTTTAAATTTTTTATTCAAAATTCTCAAAGTGTCAAACGTCTCCATATAAGCTTTAATTTTGTTTCAGATATTTTGGTCTGAAATATAAAATGTAATCTGAATTTGCTTTAAATTTCTGATGAGTCACATAGTAAATACCCCGAATGACAATAAGCTCACTCCTGTAACATGTAATGTAGCACGCCTCTAATTATGTATACACTAGAGCCATTCCTCCCCAGTGCCTCTCTTTTCATTCCTGCTGTCTGTTTTTTTTTTTTTCAGCAGCTCAGCATATTTTCCCACTTTTGCGCTGACCACAAAACTTTTTTTTTTTGTGTGTGGGTATTGTGATATTTCCTACGCATTAAGGTAATTTTGTGCTGCATAAACTGTGTCAGACCACCTATGTGCTAAGAAGCATAGTATGTTATACTTATTCAAATTATTCAGTGTACATTGTGTATAGTGAAAACATTATTTAACTTTTTCATTATGTGTTCCCTGCGTATACTTTTTTTGCGAGTGAAAATTAATGTTAACTTTTATGTGTATATTGTATGTTTTGTGAAGGTTTTTTTTTTTTTTGGTTACATGTATATTTTGACTTAATAAAGTCACTGACCCTTTTATTTGATAAATTCCAATTATTTATATAGCATTGACATAGTACTCAGCGCTGTACAATAGGAAACAAGACGAACATTTAATTCTAAGAAAACAAGTATGACATACGAGATCAGTCAGGAGGTCAACCAGCACTCGAGTTATGTTTACATAGTAAGTGCTGATAGGAGAAGGGGTGCCTACCAATTATGACTGTAGAGTTGGTCTTAGTAGCAGCACAGATTTTTAGACAGTATTTATGTTGTATCAATATCTTCTTAACAGACAACATGATGTAATGTACAACATTCGGACACAGGGGACATGAAAGACAGTTCCACGTAATGACCTGACCTACAGCTTCCAGACCTCAAGACTTGTATTGAGACTTTAGAGACAATTTGTGATCTGTGTTCTAGATTGCATTGTATTTCTATATCTTGATGTAGAAAGAATGGTTGGCTAAAAAGATGATGAGATAGTTTAGAGTTGAAAGCTCCAGATGTGAATCATGGTAAGATCACCCCATCATTTCATTCCAAGAAGGTCCATAGAAACAGTACCATTGAAGGAACACTATAACACACAAACATGTATCCTGACCCTATACTGTTAAAACTACCATCTAGACTCCCTTGCCCCCCTAAACCTAGTAAAATCTTACTTGTATTAAAGTTTGCAGTTGCTGGCTCTGCCCCTGATCTGCCTGCTTGGCTGACATCATCAGAAATGTTGTTCTGTAAACCTGATGGAATGGATTGCCCATTGAGCAATCTGAGATACCTGTCAACAACTTAACTTCTCCAAAGAATAACAGAATAAGAGTTCTGTTTTAGAACGGGATGAGTTGACATTGTATTAAGATACCCAATAACGTAACAGTTAAATGTATGACCTGGATGTACAGAATGAATTAGTTGGATGTTATATTTTGGCTTGTTTCTGTGATCACCATGAACTTTTGACATGTTCTTACAGATGGTGGGACGCCACATGTATTCGGGCAGTGCGGACCGGACAGTGAAATGCTGGTTAGCAGATGGCGGGCAATGTATAAGGACTTACAAAACTCACAAACACAATGTCAGCACCTTGAAATATCATTCTGGATTCTGTGAGTTATCTCAAAGTTACTTGTTACTGTATTTGTTTGGACATAAATACCAAAATTGTCAAAGCCCCCTACTCGAGGGCAAGTAATTCACAAGGTTTTTAGGATACCACTGAGTGTTATATTTAACCAAAACAGAGAGCAATGCTCGAGCAAAGTGTTTAAAGGGTTACTCCAACCACCATGACCACTTTTGCCTTTAGAAGTGATCATGGTGGCAGGAGTCTGTATGTGCAGTGTTTCTACCTAAAACACTGGACATATACAGATAATTGCACAAAAAAGTACTCCCAACTGTTTTCCAAAAATTTTCCCAATTGTCCATGAGATGAAAACTGACCCTATATAGCTCTCAGCAAATATGCCAAAATTGTATTTTGTTTGCTGTAAGTTTCACGCTTGGTGTAAAAGACAATACCGAGGCAGCTATCTTTGTAAAATTTAGAAAAATATCAAAATATAGAAGTGAGCAAAGAAATTCAAATACACATTTTTAATGCAGTTTGAGTTTAAATAAAAGAAAAGGGCAAATGGAAGGGTGAGTTGGAAACCACCAGGGGGAATACACAAGAGAATAAACTAAAAACAGTATTGGGAGTCCAGCCAAGTAAGATATATGTTGACTTGTGTTTTGTTCTGAGCAGAGATAAGCGCTTTCATTTTTTTATTACACAAGCCAGATTTCAGTTACTGCTCGTACTTCATTAAAATAAATGGTAAAAAGCATAAAGTATAGAAACAGATGTTCTGATGTGGTATTACACCATTTTAATCTTTCATCTGTTCCTGATTTTGGGTCCACACAAGGGCCCACCTGCAGCTTAAATTATGACACTCAATCCTTCTGGTTAAAAGTTGAAAAAAATCACGTGCTTTCTAAAGACTCTACAGCGTGGTCTGGCGAGTCGTTTTAGTGGATAATGAAACGACTGAATATAATTACTCTGTAATGTTCATGGCGTGCGCTATCTGCTGTGGATTGAGTTGAAATGTCACTGTTTTTAATCACGCTTCTGTGTTCTTTAACAATACACATTAGTAGCAAGGGGAAAATATATTTTTTGGGATTTTTTCAGCAATAGGTCACTGTTGTTTTATGGTTTGTATCTGATAACTTAGGTCCATCTCACAAATAAAGCCTTAATGCATATTAAGAATCTAAATGTATATATTACATTATTATTATTATTTAATAATAACATACAATTTAATTATTATTTTAATAAAATATATTAATAATGTTCGCTCTTCTAAAGTAAAGCTCTGAAGGCTGATGATTTAGGTTCAGCCTTGGCTTTAACCCCTTAAGGACCAAACTTCTGGAATAAAATGGAATCATGACATGTCACACATGTCATGTGTCCTTAAGGGGTTAAAGAGACACTTTGGTAATGATGACACAATAACTAACTAGGACTTAGGAGGTTTTTAATAAAAGCACAACTAACAGCTGTTTTATGTTATATGGATCTGCATGGCCGTTCTGGCACAACCAGGCATTCAATGCAAGTTTCAAAATACCCCATGGTTCCTTGAGTGAGTCTCATGACGTATGGCCAATCCAGAGCATTTGCAGTGAGTCTTAATCACACAAGCGATCTCTTGGTTCTGTGTTTTGTACTTTGCACATTTTTCCTCTAGAGCAGGGTTCTCCAAACTCTGGCCCTCCAGATGTTGCTGAACTGCAACTCCCATGATTCTTGGAATGAAACAGATAGCCAGAGCATCATGGGAGTTGTAGTTCAGCAACATCTGGAGAGCCAGAGTTTGGAGAACCCTACCCTAGAATAATATTAACCAAAGGCTAAAGGTTCTAGCAGGCTGTTAACAGAGAGAGATTCCAGACCACATTAGACCCACTGTACAAAAAGCAAAGCTTAACATTTAGTCTCTGGGCTCTGCAGAACTGAAACATTTCAGAATTAAAGAGACAGATTTTTATTTTGACACACACACATTAATCTTTAGATTACCCCCTTTCCAGAAAAGAATCTTCGTGTTTCTAAACTATTACAAATACTTTTCCCATGTAGAAACTGGTGGGGGGCTGCCCCCGGCACTCCTATGGACGAGCCACACTGGCACCATTATTATCCTCTTTCTATTGGATATTCTTATCTGTATTTATGTCCCCATCAGTTACGTCCTTTTACTGGAGTGGAAAAAGGATGTCAAAAAACAGATTAAGGAACAGCGCACTCAAAAAAATATACAGTTTTAAATCTTACAAGGCTACTTAAAATCCCTTATCTTAGCAAACAAACATGGGGATTCAGTTACACCAAATGGCCATATTGTGTTAAGTCCACCACTGCGTAACACGATACCCCAATAACAGGGGTTCTACACTCATTTTAACACGGGAGATAAACATGCTAACTGCAATACAAAAAGTGACCAAAATGCAAAGTCCAATGTTTAGGCAATAAGCCACCGCCTAATAAAACAAGTATAAACTTCAGTGTTTAATAAGAGAATTACATGCAAGTGGACAGGGACTTACCCATATATTTCCGACATGAACAGTTGGTTTGTCATATATAAAAGAAAAGATACAATAGTGCAATATTGTAAAAATAAGTATATGTGAGGGAATATGAATGTTCACAATTGTAGAGCCTTATAAGCGCTGTGGCTCTGAATCTAAGCATTTGCTCTGCCTTTTGGTGGCAATGCAACCTCTTCTGTGGATCTTTCAGATTACTCCAGTAAAGTATGTACTAAACAGGAGACACAAGATATAGAGAATAGTGCAATATAATTTTATCATATAGGTAGCAATGTAGATTTGTTCATTTTCTCACTGTTTCTGGAGCCCTTAATATGCTAGGTCCATTCCAAGCTTTAGCACAATTTGTTGCAGTTTCGATGCCAGCTCACCAAATCTCACTATGTAGTGAATAAACTGTTGCATTCAATATGCATACTATGGCTCATTATCCGACAAAGTGGAGTTGCCCAAATTGTGAATTAAGGTGAATGGCTGTGATGCAGTGCTCAATGGAAATCCACCATGACCAAAAAGTGGGCAAATTGACGTGTGTGTTGGGTTCACAGAAAAGCCTGCAAGTCAGCCAACCTGGGTGCCCATCATCTGTCTGTCTGTGCTTTTGTCTCTGTCTATTCGGCTCTAATCTAATGTTAGTCATCGGTGGCATATAATTGCCAAAGTGTTATGATAGTGGCTGCCATTGTTCCTTAATGGGTTAATAGATGAGGTTTAAATCTGTAGTAAACATGTCAGCCTTGTCTCGTGACATATGTTTAGATCCAAAGCTCCAGCACAGCAGGTTGCTATAGCCCGGGCAGGGCGGAGTGCACAGCTGAATGACTTTAACGCATTACAGTTAATGGCCGAGATACAGAGTGAGGCCAACACAGTTCACTGACTGAGCTTAGCTTTAGCAAGCACTGTTTAAAAGCCATCGCCCTCTGATTTATTACATACTCGAGTCAAATCCACTGAGTCTTGTAAAAATAAAATTCATTGATCATTGCCAAGGATTTCCATTTTGGAGAATATTCTCTGTAAAGGGCAATCCGAGCAGCAGAAGAGCAGATATAGCTATGAAACTAATGAATGGAACCTGTGCATGTAGCACCTGGTTTTGCCAATAGGCATCTATGATCTACCAATAGGCACCTGTCCACTAGAGTTGTATATCCTGCCTAAAGATGTTTATCCTTTTGCTATGGTTATTGAAATTTTATTTTATTCTGGAGGTAGAGAGAGATGTACATCCTGGCTCTTTTGTGAATCCTCGAAATATCATTGAGCATGCAGCATAGAGATGGAGATATTGGTGTCAGAATTCTCTGCCTACAGGCTCATGAGTCGTGAATCCTCCACGACCCACTCCCTCCACTGAGTTCAGAAGTCTTGGAAAGCTGGAGGCATTAAAGGACCACTATAGTGCCAGGAAAACAAACTTGTTTTCCTGGCACTATAGGGTCTTTGGGTCCCCCCCACCCTCTGGGTGCCCTTCCTGCCGGGCTGAAGGGGGTGAAGGGGGAGGAAGGGGTGAAATTTTTACCATTCTCCAACGCCGGGCTCCCTCGGCGCCGGGGACTCTCCTCCCTCTTCCGACATCAGCGCTTTGAGTCAGTCCATTTCTCAATGCTTTCCTATGGACGCTGGCGTCTTCTCACTGTAAAAATCACAGTGAGAATCGTGGAAGTGCCTCTAGCGGCTGTCAATGAGACAGCCACAAGAGGCTGGATTAACCCTATTGTAAACATATTAGTTTCTCTGAAACTGCTATGTTTACAGCAGGCAGGGTTAACACCAGATGGACCTGGCACCCAGACCACTTCATTAAGCTGAAGTGGTCTGGGTGCCTATAGTGGTCCTTTAGGAGAACTTATCTAAACCTGTTCCTCTCTCCTTAGTTTTTATGAGTTATGGATCTATATTGTTTTGTTTTCAGCTTTAGGTTCAGTGCCTGGATTGATGCTGAACATAGCGTTGGATGCCCTAGACAACACAACAGGGAGAGTTACATATTACTCATTTAGTAGATAGCTATGTGCCAAGATGTTTGTGGTAAAACAAAACACAACAAAACTCCCCACAGTGCAAATGGAAAAATTACTGTTGTGCATCACCGGCATATCTCAAGTTGGACTTTGGGAAGTCCCCCTTGGGCACAGAAACTCGAGAAATCAAGTTTCCATAACTATCCCAGTTCCCAGCTTGACATGCAAATGAGGACAGACATATTCATTCTGCATATATGTAGGTAACGTTAGCAATGGATGCTGTTCTTAACACTATTTGAACTTCCAGACCAGAATCGGCATCATGCTGATGAGCCCCACAAGGTTAAAAACGCAGTCATAACCCGTGCTCTGGTTTAACCAAATACTGTGTTTAAAATAGCGTCCATCTTATAGACTGTAAGCTCGTTTAAACAGGGTCCTCTTCAACCTATCATTCCTGTAATAATAATAATAATTGGCAAGTGTATCGAAATGCAAGGTATATTCTGAAACACAATACCAGTCTCTGGGTCATTTTCATGTCAAGCTGGAAACTCTGGAAAGTTCCCTTTGGGTAAAGAAACTTGAGAAATTGTTTCTACATCTATCCCAAAGTCCATCTTGAGGTCAGCAGGTGATCCATAACAGCAATCTTTTTATTTAATAGAGACAGATAATTTTTTTAATGGTATTTATAAATTTTTTGTCTTCTGCCATTTTAATTGCCATATAGTCCTCTCTATGTCCTCTAAAGCCTAACCCAGGGATTGGCAATCTTCGGCACTCCAGATGTTGTGGACTACGTCCCCCATAATGCTCTTACAACCATAATGCTGGCAAAACATCTGTGCCGAAGGTTGTCTATGCCGGGCCTAACCTCTCCTGCTGTTTTTTTTTTTTTTTTTTTATGGATACACCTAGCGGTCCTGAATATTATTCAGTATTTCTTACACACCCTGGTACAACAACGTCCTCTTTTATTGCACTTTGAATTTTTATAACTAATTTCTCTAATATTAACAATGAATTACAAGGAAGTGCAAACCTTTTATCCTAAACTAATAAAAGTAAAATTTTATTATTTCCTGTTTTCTCCCCTTTATCTCATTGTGGTCCTTTTCCTGTGGGTTGACATTGAAACCATGCTGTCTCTATGTCAATCTTGCTTTTTTTAAAGAAAGCTGAGCAGCACATGAAAAACAGTTGACAAGTCATAGGTGATTTTTAATGTTTTTTTCATTGACTTACTTTACAGAGTGTCAGTTTCCTTTTACAAGCGTTCCTAGGTGTCTTTACCACTTACATCAAAATGATTATCAGTTTCTAATCTATAATTAGCATGCCAGACCTTCCCCACAACCTTATTTTACTAACTTTATTTAACATGCGTAAATATATTAACTGCACACATCAAACTAAAGCGGTGTTTGGAAACGATCATTTGTCTTGGTTTCCATTATGTATCAATATGTATCAGCTATAGTACAGGGGTACATATTGCCGAATGTGCGGTCTGATGACTGTTATTTTGCTGTCTAGTGTTTACAGGAAGCGGCGATTCCTGCGCCCGAGCTTTTAATACGAAGGCTGGAACCTTTCATCATGTTTTTGAGGGACACGCGTTCATCATTAACTCTCTCCAGGTGTGTTATTAAATACCTTGTTTATACATAATTTTTCCTGTCACAAAATAGATTCTAAAATTTCCAGATATGCTTTGTCTTAAAAATATTTAACTTGATATCATGTGACGCAATGGATAGAAAGTTAACTGTAAATTGTGCTAATCTATTTTAGATCCATAACAACTTCCTGTATACTGCATCGCATGACGGGACACTGAGAGTCTGGGATATTAGTGGCTTCTATGAATACAGCAAGCATCAGAAAAAAAGATCCTTACGCAGCACCAATTCCCAGAAAGGAAGCCTGTCCCACATTTTTAATAACAAAGTTGGCTGCGCAACGGACGTGAATGTAGAATATGACCCAGCCGATATGGTGTGATACAAAAAGAGCCTTCCACCAGCGTCAAAGTCTGGAGAACAACTCATTTTTAGTTTAGAGGTGTCCCACCATGGCAAAGAGTATTGGCACAGATTACATTTGTCTTGATCACTCTTGCTCTTTCACACTCCTGGTGTATTGAAATGGTGAATTCTGTGGAAACTTATATAAATCCACAAATATCGCCAGACGGGATCACCACTCGTGCAACATTTATTTATGGTGGAAAATAATGAGTAAAGCTGGCTGGATACAAGTGTTGGTCTGACATGACAAGGTGTGATCGCCTTTCCATAATGCCTCTATTTATTTATCGACCAGTTAGTCTCCTTACGGACCAGACTTGAGAACTTCACTTTTTCTAGAGGATACAATCAGAACCATTTCACAGGATGCAGCGAATGGACTTGTTTAGTTATACAAAACATTAAGGACATTGCAGAGCAGGATTGAAATGTCGGCTAAATATGTCGTAGTAGAACTGTATTTATGTTTTTATTTTGACCGTCGTGGTTTGTACAGCCATTTCATGGACAATCAGTAAATTGTTCACATCAAGAAATAAATATTTCTTAATCTTTTGAAAAAGGGCATAAAATCTCTTATCAGAAACCCACACAAGACATTGAAAAACACAGTATAGTTAGTAAAATAAACACATATTTTTTTTTTTTAATTTGTTGTGAAGTAGAAATCTCTTCCACTGGCACATAATATGTGGCCTATTTAGTAAATCCAGGGAGATAGTAAACAGGGTAAATGTCTGCAACCTGGGCAGGGTTTAAAAAGCACAATGCCTTCCGCTTCTGTTGAATAGGCAGAGGCATAAAAATGCAAAGGCTGAATCTGTGCATGGATGGTTTTGGACCCCCTCTGACAATCATAATCCTTCTATGAGATAAACTCCATTCACCCTGTGGGGCCTAGCAGGAGAAAAGGACGATACATTTCTGACTTTTCTACGTCCACACATAGCATCACTGTTGTGGTTACGAAAAACTCAAGGGAACGCCATTCATTGGTGCAGGACATTGAATAGAATTCAGTTTTACCAGAGTTTAGACCTCCACATGACAATAAATGGAGTGAGAGATGTTTTAACCAGAAGAATAATAACTTGAGTGGGAGCAATGGTTTTCTCCTGTATTTAGTAGGATTTACAAAATCTCTGACCCGCAGAGTCCTTCCCCTTGTTCATACACAACACTCTGTGAATGAAGAAAGTAGGAAGGTGGGCTCACAGAGTTGGGAGCTATGTTTGTGATTCACAGTCCAAACCATAAGAAAGCCATGTCTGAAGTTTATTGTGCTTTCTACTCTCATAGGGATACTATTTCATCATTACTGAAAAACTGCACGTAAATGACTAAATTAGCTGATAATGGCAGGATTCATAGACAGAGTATTTCATACAGATGTCTGGTCAGCTAGCAATAGGCCACCTGGTCTAACACGATTTGAAATCTAAGAGGGTTGACCATTTATTGCAACATTATTTTCCAAGTTTATTTCTGCAAATTATATATAATCGAATAAATCAAACCTGATCGTTTCAGATTAACACTTACATTGAATGAATGCATTGGGGTTTAACATTGTAGAGGTACAATGTCATATTTAAGAAGATTTAAATAAATATGAATTTCCATTTTAATACACATAACCAGTTCATTTGTTTGTCCTTGTAAAATTCATATGAGCATGTCAGCTGAGCCACTTTTTTTTCCTCTTTAATCTGTAGCCTCACCTTCTTTATTTATTGTTAATAGGCTTTATGGAGAACTTGAAGAATGTGATTAACAAAAAGAAAAAATTGTTTAAGGAGGTGAATGAAGCTATGTAATGTGTTACCACTTTGTTTTCACCAGTAAAACCAGAAGTTTTGGTCAACGAAAATATCTCCCCTTTTCTCACGTTATCAACCTTTACTTTTTATTTATTGATTATGAACATTACAAAGGACTTTCAGGATTAGAAAATTTGTTTAGGAGAAGCAGACACATTCTCAATGTTAGCAATGGTAAAAGCAGCGAGTACATACATACACACACACAAACACTTTCCACCAGGAGTCGGTTAAAGTAAATCTAAAGGGTAAATTCACAAAACAGTGAAAAATGAATCAAACAGAACCAAAAGTTGGAAAACTGTAGTAATGAACAATGATAAAATAATAAATATGCTTAAAATATATGGAAAATTCAGTCCATGAAAATGAAAGAAAGGTGCTGTCCTTATATAGTGCAAGAATGTTTCAGCTTATACTTACGTGATTGGGATATTCCTGCTATTGAGGAAAAAGTCAGAGGATTCCAAAAAGCTGAAAAATACTATAGTATAATACTGTATCTAGTGGGTAAGGTATAGATACAGATACGTAGATGTCCTTAAATAATTTGTGATGATCCGATGAATCTAAAATACAGAAGACAGAGATATAGAGCTCTCTGCAAATAATTTTATTAAAATAAAGAAATAAAATACACTCACAGGAACAGGGCTGGCCTAAGGCCATTATGCACCCTGTGCGCCCCCCCCCCCCAAGTTTCCTGTATACAGTCACACAAAGGCACACAGTCACAAAAACAGTTACAAGCAGACAGTCAGACATGCTCAGTAACAGGCAGTCACACACACACAGAGTTACAGGCAGACAGTCAGTCACACATGCTCAGTTACAGGCAAACAGTCACAGAGACAAACACACAGTTACAAGCAGACAGTCACACAGACAGACCCTCACAAGCAAACAGTCACACATACTCCATTACAAGCAGTCACACACATTCAGTTACAGGCAGACACTCACATACGCTGATTGGCACACACACTCAGTTAAAGGCAGATAGTCACACAAAGGCACAGCTAAAGCAACACACAATTGCAGTCACACACACAGACACAGGCACGCAGTCACAAGGGCAGGCAGTCACAGTGTCTCACACACACACTTACCTCTTTCCATTATGGCTGGAAGAGGGAGTGGAAGTAGTTGGTTGTTGAGGAAGCAGGGACTTCTTCCTTCTTCCCATGCAGCAGTTACCAAGTCCGCATTAGAATCCCCTCATTCCTCCAAACTGCCGGCTAGGGAGAAGGTTAAAGGACCACTTTTTCTTGGCACTATAGGGTCATTAGGTCCCCCTCCCGGTGGGCTGAAGGGGTTTAAACCCCTTCAGCCACTTACCTTTCTCCAGCGCCGGGTTCCCTCGGTGTTGGGGAATTCTCCTCCCTCTGCTGACGTTGACGCAAGTGCATTTAAACCGCCCATAGGAAAGCATTACTCAATGCTTTCATATGGACGTCCAGCGGCTTCTCACTGTGATTTTCACAGTGAGAATCGCGGAAGCGCCTCTAGCGGCTGTCAGTGAGACAGCCACTAGAGGCTGGATTAACCCTCAGTGAAACATAGCAGTTTCTATGAAACTGCTATGTTTTCAGCTGCAGGGTTAAACCTAGAAGGACCTGGCACCCAGACCACTTCATTGAGCTGAAGTGGTCTGGGTGCATATAGTGGTCCTTTAAACATACTGTGTAATAAAAGGAATATAAAAAATTTGATCTCTCTTTACAAGAAGTGTGTAGGGGGACCTGTGTGAGTCTCAATCAGAGTCGATGGGACCAGGGATGCATAAACAATGTGATTTAGTGCCTAAAAAGCAGATAATTGAGCAGCGAGACTGCATGGGGCATGATCTATACATCAAATGGCCCTTTATGGCAGAGGTTGTCAATTGAAGATTGGGGCACATTAAAAACCAGGACACCACGGGCAGAATTGTATTTTACTCATTTTAATAGGTTTTGAAAGCAATTAAGAACAATAATGGTCTAAAAACAAGCTGGCACATATCACAAAGGAAATATTAATCTATATAACAAAATTGCTTACATGCACATATTTCCTTTCTATAGAATATGTCAAAACACAAAGTAGCACTACTGTGGGTTTAAATACTCATATTACCAATTTAGTTTGAAATCATTGGATAAAAATCACATTAAGCACAAACGGCTATCGGATATATATGGAAAAAAATGATTACTTCAACTGCGTAGATTTTACAAGTGATGAAATAATGATTTCAACATTATTTGGATTTTTAAACCACACTTGACTAAAACAATGAATCTCCAGCAGATTACACAATCATGAATTTATTTTCATACTTTATTTATACTGGGAAAAAGATTTCAAAGTGAAATAAAAATTGTATCAAACATTGGAATATGGCATTTATTAACCCTACAATGTGCCAAGGTTGTGTTTAATTAGGTTTTTCTTTCCTCTGGAAAAGCTGATTTTAAAACAACAAATACTGTTCATTACAACACAGATACAAGAAAGCGTCATTATAGGTTTTATTTTGTAAAGTAAAATAAATTTGATGTAAAATGAAATTGTGGATGGGTCTACTACCAGACAGTTGTTCTTTTGACTGGCTACAGATATTTGTATTGCAGAATATGCGAAACAGGTGACCCTTAAAAATGTGTTTCGTGGGTTAGTTTATAGAAAAAGCCTTGAAAAAAGGGCATCTAAACATATAGTGGTTGCGTTTGCAAAATTGTTTGAAAAAATCTGTAGAGAATCGCATTCCCTGAAAGGGCATGTTCCGGCGGTGTTAGAAAATGGATTTAAATATTAAATTATAGAAATTTTGGTTTTACTTAAATGTTTCAAAATTACTTGAAATTATATGTTTAAATGACCATATTCCCTGAAACAGTTGGTCTAGCAAAATGGTTCCCCCATAAGTATATAAACGGTCATTTGAAAGTTACTATCTCAAAATATTTTCAGATGTGGGGTGTCTAGCAAACCGGAAGCAGACATCTTTCAAAATGGGTTCAATTATTATTCTATACAGAAATATATTACTCACTTTTCATCTATTTACAATTAGGAATAAAACTACAAAAACTGTGCAAATTATGCCACATAAATTCAATAAAAAAAAAAATTAAAAAAATAAGATGTGTGAAGTGGTTATTTTCACAGAATAAGGCACTTGTATTTTGAGTACATTAAATAAGTCTTTCTTTTCATCTAGAGACCAACATACCTCAAAACTAGATACATTTAATAAAACATCAGCAAATATTGTTAGGAGTGAATTAAAGTGATTCCAAACAGGGTTATTCACTGAAGAATTGTCAGGAACTGAAAGTGAATTTAGGGTGAAATAATGAAATTAGAAAGATAGCCGACTCGTTTTGGATAATCGGGGGAAATAACATTTTACATTAATGTTTGCTTCAACAATTCACACTTTTGTGTCACTAGAGCAGATTAAGAAACTGCAATGATGGACAAAAATATGTATGGTTTAAAACAGTGATGATTAAACTTCGGTTAGGATAAATTTATAGTGAATATTAAGATAAACAACATGCATGTAAAAGTTGGGAAATGTTATTTTTACTGTTCCACAATGCCATTTTATGTCAAACAGTGGATATAGTGATATAGCGATAGTCAAGTCTAAAGTGTGCATTTTATTGTCACTGACATGACGGAAAGTCTAGCTGGAGTCCGACTGGTTGAGGATCTGAAGTAGCCAGAGTAACGATTAGAAGCAAAACCTTTAAGACATTTGAAAATGAGGTCTTCTTGTAGCCGTCATTGCTACATTTTATTAAAACGTATGAATTTTCAACAAAAAAAAGCAAGTCATAACCTTTACATATATTCCGTAATGGTAACTACCAAGTTAAGACTTGTGCACCATCGTGTTTTACCGGTGTAAATACATCAAAGGAGGAGCAAGAAAAACGAATAAAAACACCCAAATCCTGCTCACAAGAGCACCTCTGATTGTACCAGAGGCTGTTTAAAAATATTAAACGATCTATATTCTCGAGTGATTGAATGGTTTGCTGCTTTCTGTACAAATTGCTCCTTTTGTCAACTATGTCTCGAATGTATTGTCCCGTGCAAACCACTCAATTTAATTGTTGGGAGGTATGCTGGAACACTCAGGGTGCAGTTTTAATGAACAGTCATTTATTCTAACAGATAAGTGGTCGGGTCGTTTAAAGTCAAAGTGCCAAGTTTTCTGGTCAGATTTACTTTAATTTATTTTTGTGCTTTTTGGATTTAAGAATTTCCTCATTGATACATGAATACTGTGCGGAGCTAGGAGCTAGTAACAATTCATAGACATAGTTCTTGCTATCAGACCTTTCCAGACCCAACAGGGGTTATGACCACGTTCATTAGAACAAATAAAAAGTTTGCCACATTTGATATTTCCAGAACTGGAGTGAATTGGTTTTGAACCATGCGCAGAACTGCCAAATAGTTTGCCAAGTAAATGATTAAACCAAGCCTGGGATAACGGTTTGGTAGTGTTCCAATATAAAGAAGACCTGCACTAATCTCAGTAAAAGGAATAGATTTGACTCTGATAAAATATACGCTGAATCGGAATGGTATTAAAAAGCCTTTTATATCGGCAGAGATGTAGAACCTTTGACACAGAAGCTTGTGTATGGCTTTTCTGTGATGCTAAGCCAGGCTTTTAGTACATTCCCACCTCTGAAATATGGAGAGAAATTTTCAGCTTTTGACAGCAAAATACATAAACACTGCCATCGCTTGCACCTCAACCTCAATGTCAAAAATGTGCATTATAAGGTTTTACAGAATTCTGCATGTTAAACATTTGAAGGATAGCAACATTTTTGTGATGTTTAATTAATTGTGAGTAACTTCTCATAAGGAAAGCTTCCCTAGAGCACAACACAAAATGGCTCTATTTTTACAACTCCCCCTATCCACCATCAAAAGGCTGTCTACGCAGCCTCAAACTTGTACCATATTGCTATGGATGGTATGATCCCAAAACAGACTACAGATGAGATGTTACTGTACCTTTAACCCCTTAAGGACACATGACATGTGTGACATGTCATGATTCCCTTTTATTCCAGAAGTTTGGTCCTTAAGGGGTTAAGTAAAGATTCACACAAAGTCACGAATGGACACAAGGTCATAGAAGCAGAACATTCCCCTTGATTACGATGCTACGTAAAGGTTACTATTGCTATGAAACTTGTAACTTTTCTGGAGTGCTTCTTTTAAAGAGGAGCAATACAACTACAACTATAGATAGAAAAATACATAACTTAATATATTAACACTAATGTCCATGTTGCTTTAAACTCTTTTGGAAAATAAAATAGTCAAAAATACAAATGGAACAGTTTTTTTTTTTTTTATCCCATTTGTTTGTGCTGGTTTTTCAGTACGGCTACCTAAAGAATTCACAGTTCCTAATTCCTTCATCTCATTGACGTGGTCTGGGTGCAGTGTCCCTGTCCATCTTAACCCTTCAACGTAAAACCCCGCATTTTCAGAAAAACTGCAATGTTTACATTAAATGGTTAAGACTGCCTCTAGTGGCTGTCTACCAGATTGCTTGATGAAGACACACAGCCGAAACATTGCGGTTACAATCATTTTAGTGCATAGGGACACTATGGCGTTGGGAATACACTTTTGTATTCCTAACTATATAGTGTTTCTTCAAACCCAGTATATATACTAAAAAAGTACTTACTGGGCTGAAGAGTGCAGCAGAGAAATAGAACACACACTCCGGGGTCCAGGCGGCATCACCTCCCTAAGAAGCTTAAAAAGTTACAGAAGTGCTACATTAGGACATTCCTTCATAGTGCGGCATGTGCCCTGGCACCATCCAAAGTGCAATTTTAACCAGAATTGGCATAAAAACTGTCCTTGTTGTTTATTTTTAATATAAAATAGCACAACCCACATTAAAGCTAAAGTATTGCTCCCACATCTAGATTGCAAAAAAAAATAGTATAAAGCAGAAGTATTCATAAAGAACCTTAAAATGATGCGTAAAAAGATTGCCACAGAGTACTACGGCTTTAATCACTGCAATCAGATTTCCTTCTGGTAGAATCATGAAGCACCCACACCTTGTAGCTTTTCTAAGTAAGAAAGATATTCCGCAAGGACTCTTCCTTCTTCCTCTAAAGTCAGGTCCAGATAATCCTCTTCGTGCTCCGGGATATCATCCAGAATTTCCTTGACTGGATCAATGTCTGATTCACCGACACTTGATGTACTGGTCCCTTTACAAATCAGAGGAAAAAAAAAAAAAAAAAAAAGTACAAAATATGTATTCAGCATATTATTATTTTTTAAGATGTAATGTAGCTTGCATCTTATCTATTGCAAGCTATTTCCTCATAAAACGGCTGTATTAAAGTACGTAAAATTCATACATTGCATGGATGAAATCCAAGAATCACGTTACCTGAAGAGACTAATTAGTGGTTTGCAATTGCTTAGATATTGTGGTGGGTTTTTATTATTGATTTACCTGGGTAACCAAGGCACCCCAGTTATAAATTTTCTTGGTGGTGGCAGCGTTAAAATAGTAATATTTATATTATTATGCTTAAGTGCGGGTGGTGTCAAGTGGGATTTTGTCATTATGTCCAGTCTAGTGCAGGCAAATAGTGAACTTTAACCCCTTCGCCACCACAACTACGTCACGCACACTCTTGAAGTAGGGTGCGATCGTGACAGTGCAGAGTACTCCGTTATTTCTATATACGTTTCCTCTCTCTACTGTAAAGTAACGTGTAAAAATACAGTTAAATAGAAACATACGATGTGATGGCAGGTAAAAACCATTCGGCCATCTAGTCTGCCCAATTTTTTAAATATTCTTATTAGTCCCTGGCCTTATCTTATAGCTAGGATAGCCTTTACGGTGTTAATTCCCTTTATGTATTTAAATGTTTCTATCATACCCCCCGCCCCCCGTCATGTCTTTCATCCAAGCTATACATATTAAGATCCTTTAACCTTTCCTTGTAAGTTTTTTCCTGCAGTCCATGAACCAGTTATGTAGCCCTTCTCTGAACTCTCTCTAAAGTATCAATATCCTTCTGGAGATACGGTCTCCAGTACTGCGTACAAAACTCCAAGTGAGGTCTCACCAGTGTTCTGTACAATGACATGAGCACTTCCCTCTTTCTAGTGCTAATACCTCTTCCTATACAACCAAGCATACTGCTAGCATTTCCTGCTGCTCCATTAAATGGTCTGCCTAACTTTAAGTCATCAGAAATAATTACCCCTAAATCCCTTTCCTCAGATTTTGAGGTTAGGACTCTATCAAATATTCTGTACTCTGCCCTTGGGTTTCTTGTACTTATCCACATTAAATGTCAGTTGCCACAACTCTGACCATTTTTCTAGTTTACCTAAATCATTTGCCATTTGGCTTATCCCTCCTGAAACATCAACCCTGTTACATATCTTCGTATCATCAGCAAAAAGACATACCTTACCATCAAGACCTTCTGCAATATCACTAATAAAAATATTAAAGAAAATGGGTCCAAGTACAGATCCCTGAGGTATCCCACTGATGACAAGTCCATGCTCGAATATACTCCATTGACTACAACCCTCTGTTGCATGTCATTCAGCCACTGCCTTACCCATTCAACGATACTGGAATCCAAACTTAAAGATTGCATTTTATTGATAAGCCTTCTATGTGCAACAGTTTTAAAAGCCACTTTGGCCACATCTGCGGAGTACCACAGTTGTTTCTTAAATGTTTTGCTTTTACTGACAAGCCTAATGCAATTTTCTGTTGCCTTCAGCACTGCAACTTTTAAATAATCCCATTTCTCTTGGACTCCATTTAAATTGCTCCAGTCTGATAATGACTCCTTTACACATATTCGACTTTTAGAAAAGTCTGTTTTTCTAAAGTCTAAAACTTTGTTTTTATGTGGTGTGACTCAGTCACTGTTCTTATATTAAACCACACTGACTGATGATCACTGGATCCTAAACTTTCACCTACAGTAATATCTGACACCAAATATCCATGTGTTAACACTAAATCTAGTATGGCCTCCTTACGAGTTGGCTCCTCAACGACTTGCTTTAGAGACAATCCCAGTAGGGAGTTTAGAATGTGTGTGCTCCTGGCACAAGCAGCTATTTTGGTTTTCAAGTTTACATCAGGAAGATTAAAGTCACACATGATGATAACTTCCCCCTTCATTGTCATTTTAGCTATTTCCTCAACTAGTAGATTATCTAACTCTTCAATTTATCCTGGTGACCTATAAATCATACCTACACGAGTTACTGTGTGATTACCAAATTCTAACGTAACCCAAACAGACTCTATGTTCACCTTACTAACTTTTATTAGGCTAGATTTTAAGCTATCCTTCACATACAGGGTCACCCCTCCCTTTTCTTGCCTTCTGTGTCTTTTCTATATAAAGAGTACCCTGGTATTGCTATGTCCCCCTCATTTTTCTCATTATACCATGTCTCAGTAACAGCGACTAAATCTACACTATCAGTTTCCATTTTTGCCACAAGTTCATGGATCTTATTCCCTAAGCTGCGAGCATTTGTAGACATGACTCTAAGCTTATAATTTTTTTAAACACATTTGCTACAGGCACCTTCTGTCCTTGTTTTGGGGAGCAATTAGGTTGATGTTTTATCACCCTTTTGCCCTACCCTTACTAGTTTAAATACATCCTAGAAAAAGCTCTGAACCGCTCACTGAGAACATTTGTTTCCTTTTGAGAAAGATGCAAACCATCTTTTTTGTACAGTTTATTTCCATTCAAAACAGAGCTACTATTCACCAAGTCAAAGTAAAAGTCCCTAATATGCATCCGCCGGTCGTTCTGAGTATTATGCACAATCAGAACTTGAATGACAGTGTGGAAGCAACCTGCCGTATATCATTGGCAGATATAATAGGTTTGATATAATTAATGGAGACAGAGGCATTGGTTACCTGGAGACTCTAAAGATGACAAGGAGGTCTCTGAAGACGACGAGGTCTCTTTTTCTGGAGGAGCTTTCTCCAGCTCTTGCAGTAGCTGAGGAGGTAGAGCACCTTGATGATGAGTCAAGATCTGAGCGGCTAATTCAATGTTCCCTTGGAAAATCTTGAGTGCTGCCTCTGCTGCATCTGGAGCGAAACCTATATAGACCAGCTAAACACAGAACGGGAGGCTGACAATCAGAGACCAAGTAACATTAACCAACAACAATAATCAAAAAGGTGTAAATTGCAATGGGAAGGTAGATATGCTAGAACGGGGGTGGGGGAATGTGGGCAGTAGTCAGAAACTTTATTAATGCCACATCCACGTTCCAAAATATTGGGTACAAAACAAAAACCCAGAGGAAATAGCATGTAGTACTGTACTACCTGCACATGTATTGATTAAGTGCTGTACTTCCTGATAATCTGCTTCTTGATTTGGGCTTTGGGATTCCACCATCTGTACGTTCCTGCAAATTTATCCTTGGCTTCCCACAATAGCTTGATCACAGCTGCATGCTAAGCATTATGGGACACCATGCTGAGATCTACAGAACCGTCAGGAGGTGTGCACATGCAGCGTAGTATATGGTCAATAGTACATAGAAGTCTTAAACACTGTGTAGAATCCTCTAGTATAGGGCCATTATCACTTTATTATCCTGACCCCCTCCATGTTTTGTCCGCACCGACCAGCTTTCAGCAGAAGACCCTTTCTCCCTACAAATGATTCCCTTTTGTAAGCGTTAGTGAATGGATCCATACATTTACAGAAATGAGAGGATTCCCAGAAAGGATGCAAACAGCATGAGCAATGTAGATTTACATCTGGACAGAAACTGTAAGGAAAGCATTAACCTTTGATCCATTGGTAATAAATCCTTTGGCAAAAACATACAAAATTAAGAGAAATAGTGGGTGGGGGGGGAGGGGGGGTTAAGCATGCTGCCTTTATTGCCTCCTTATGTGTATTTACTATGCCATGTCAGGAGTTCCTTTATCTCTGGATCATCTCGCAAACTCAGCATTTCCCCAGCTTTCCACACTCACAGCGCAGCCAGCTCTCCTGGGGTGCAGAGGGATCAGGACAATATTAGATGAGAGGGGGTAAACACGCTGCCACTTGTGTTGTTATAGAACTGAAACTCCTGGATTACTTTACCGGCCTGAAATGCAGTTTGAGAACAACTTGGGGGCTACACCCATACGACTCCCGGATTGTGTGGCTGGCAAGTTTAAAATCACACATCTCAAGACACTAGTGCAATGAGTGAAGATACACAGCAGGTGGAGGGCTACCATTTGGTCACCTTTATGCCTAATAGCAAAACTCAGCTATTGTGGGTATGAAACTTGGGAGTAAAATTTTCTGGGAGCTTAATCTCAGGCAGAACACTCAAAACGGAACCTCCTGCTGTTTTCATGACAGCAGCTAACAAAGCTGAATGTACAGCACTGTCCTCAGTGTCCTCTCTGTAGCCCCTGCCTTACACTAACTACACATTAACACAGTATCATTATTATTGGCATTTATGTATCGCCAGTGTACTGTATTATAATGTATTTGTTTATTTAATAAAATAACATGCCATGGTGTTAACTAGGACATTATGGAGTGTTTATATCGGACTCAAAGTTAACATGATATGAGGGTAGATAATAGGTTTGCTGATTGCATTTATTTTATAAAATAGGAAATAAAACTGCTTACCTGATCAATACTTTCCTGTGGCGGATTGTAGGACTCGCTGCTAACTGCGTTGTCATGTGATATCAACATTTCCGGATGATCAAGGAGCAGCTGATTGGAGCAAATATATTAAATGTTAAGGGCAAGATTGGTGAACTCTCTCACAAGCAGTCTTTAGTTACCCCAATAAATCACATAGCTGTAGCCCTATCAGAAACATGGCTCCTTGTCAAGGTAGCCCCCTCTTAGCTACAAGACTTTACCTTCATCTTCCCTATCCTATACTTATAATCCTCTCTTGAGCTCCTGTCCATTTTTTCCTGCAAATCTGCTTCTATATAAAAATTAAATGAATATCCAGACAGACATGTGTAGTGATCATATATTATATATTGTGCTCCAGCACAAATACAAATAAAAATTACTTTCAGGCAAGGATGATTAAGGAACATGGTACGATTTTATGGTAGCATGATGGATAGAAAAATGTGTACGGTGTTATTGCAGCGAAACACGCAGTATGTAAGAATAAAGTGTTATGCTGTGGAGCTCTGCGATACACTCATTCAAACTGTACATTACGGACAGCTTTATTACCGTGCGTCTTGAAACACACTTATACACATTGTACATTACTCTATGAAACTTTGCTACGATTTGGTTCTATAAAGCCCAAAAAGTGGTGCAGAGAATAACAATATATCCACAAGTGCAAATCTGCAGGCATGCAAGGGAGTTCTCTTTCAATGTAATTCTAAATGGGTTGCACTGGTTGCCCAAGGCAGTAGCCAGCCTTAATTCTGTATCAGTTTGAGATTTATTGATCACACAGGTCTAAGGTTATTAAGCAGTCTGCGTACAAGCAACATGTTTAGGGTGTGATAGAATTCACCCTTCCTCCAGTAAAGTTTAATCCCCCTGCATTCTAAGTGAATCCTGCTAAAACTGTTATAGTGAGAATATCCAGTGGGACTTTTAATTCCAATAACAGGAGGGTAAAGGTTACACTCTCCTACTCTATAAAAACAAGCCAAAGAGATCCTTATAACAGGCTTATGCAATCTCTTTGCTAATCTAGTTTTGCTAAAAAAACTATTTTGCAATGTACTTGGCATCTTGAATACAAGGAAAACACGAGGTATTTGACATATTTTGGAGATGTATAGCTTGGAGGAAAGACGAGACAGGGGGGATATGATAGAAACATTTAAATATATAAAGGGAATCAATACAGTAAAGGAGGAGACTATATTTAAAAGAAGAAAAACTATCACAACAAGAGGACATAGTCTTAAATTAGAGGGACAAAGGTTTAAAATAATATCAGGAAGTATTACTTTACTGAGAGGGTAGTGGATGCATGGAATAGCCTTCCAGCTGAAGTGGTAGAGGTTAACACAGTAAAGGAGTTTAAGCATGCGTGGGATAGGCATAAGGCTATCCTAACTATAAGATAAGGCTAGGGACTAATGAAAGTATTTAGAAAATTGGGCAGACTAGATGGGCCGAATGGTTCTTATCTGCCGTCACATTCTATGAAGGTATTCTCTATACCTGAACAGCTCGTTCAATGTTTCCGCCTGTGTTACTGAGAGCCTCAGCCGATGCACGCTCTGAGTACCCCATGCCTCTCAGGGTATTTATTTTATCCAACCTCTTACGTCTCTTTTCTCGTTCTTCTTTTTTAATTTTTTCTTTTTCCTACCGAAAGAGGCAAACATAGTTTTACTTTCAGATGTATAGCAATATTATTAACAGGCTATAATGAACATGTACTATGCAACAGCAAGCAGCATCCAACAACAGTCTGGTCATAAAAGCAGTTAAGTGATCAAAGTAGAAACACCCAGCTATTTACCAAAACAACTTTAGCTTAAAGGACCACTCTAGGCACCCAGACCACTTCAGCTTAATGAAGTGGTCTGGGTGCCAGGTCCAGCTAGGGTTAACCAATTTTTTTAATAAACATAGCAGTTTCAGAGAAACTGCTATGTTTATTAATGGGTTAAGCCTTCCCCCAAAGCCTCTAGTGGATGTCTCATTGACAGCCGCTAGAGGCGCTTGCGTGCTTCTCACTGTGAAAATCACAGTGAGAGCACGCAAGCGTCCATAGGAAAGCATTGATAATGCTTTCCTATGCGACCGGCTGAATGCGCGCGCAGCTCTTGCCGCGCGTGCGCATTCAGCCGACGGGGAGGATCGGAGGAGGAGAGCTCCCCGCCCAGCGCTGGAAAAAGGTAAGTTTTACCCCCTTTCCCCTTTCCAGAGCCGGGCGGGAGGGGGTCCCTGAGGGAGGGGGCACCCTCAGGGCACTATAGTGCCAGGAAAACGAGTATGTTTTCCTGGCACTATAGTGGTCCTTTAATGAAGCAGTGTTGGTGTATAAATCATGTGTCTGAAATCTCACTGCTCAATTCTGTGCTATTTAGGAGTTAAATCGCTTTTGTTTCTGTTTATGCAGCCCAAACCACACCACATACATGTTTTCATTTTCTGTTTACTTACTTAAAAGTTTTTGTTTGTTTTTTATCTCCTGCTCTGTAAATTGAACTTTTAATTGCATAGTGTTACATACATGCTTGGGGTGCCCCAACGGCATTCCACAAGCAGATCAGCATAGACACATTAGGGAACATGCACTATTTTGTAAATATTGAGTAAGTAGATGAATAGTCAACAAATAAAAAGGTATATGTGGTGTGAGACATGGTAGCTGAACTTTGCTTGAGGTCTGTATATATAAACATTTAGCATCCTAGATTAGTGATAAGCTAAGCTTGGCTGAAAAGTGTGGAACAACATGCTAGCTAGGGTAAGGCTTGCTGTAGGGCCACTGGGTACTCTACTCTGTTGGGAGGTGAAGGGGAGAGTGCATAAAAAGTCCTGCAATGATGTTGGCAGAGACTTTGTGGAAGCTGGTTGTCCAGACTTCAACCGACACCGCTGGTATGCAGCAGGAGACAGTTCATTGCTCTGCCGGGTGTATAGCCATCAGTAGCTCCTTGGTGGAGCCTGCTGCCACATTGCTAGTTGTAGGCTGAGTAGGGACCGCTGCTCCTGAGTGTTTCTTTCTCAGGCTTCCGTGCCCTAGGAGAGACCCTCACTGCTTTACCTGAATCCTCCTTCTCCAGTCTGCAGACTGGTAAGCCTGAGGAAGCTTCGTATTACGGGGGGTGCTGGGCTGCGTAGTCTGCTAGCGGGCTTGATCTACATGCGGGTCCTCGACTCGGAGTGGTGTTGGCAATCCAGCGCTGGAGTGTGAGGTACCAGCTCCTGGGACAAGGTGGTGGCAGGGATTCTGCAACAGATGTGCTCCCAGACACACCCGGTCAAACCTGGCCTCAAAGCAGTCTTGGATCGTTGGGTCCTCCGAGCGCAGTAAATGTTCCGGCTCGGCGGCCAACTTGGACTCGCCATGCGGTACTCGGCTTGTCCAGAGATACCACTCTTGCAGGTGAGGTTTCCCCAGTGGGGACCGGAATATCCCCCACCAGTCCATGGGGGAGGGTTGCGGGTCGGCATGAGTTTCATCAAGAGGAGCGAGCCCTATGTTGGAAGATCGGCCACAGTACAAGCTAGGCCTCATAGTCGGACGGCTGGACTTGCCAGGGAGGTGTGACTAGAGCTGCATAAAGTTTAAATGTCAGATAATTGAGCAGTGAGACTACAAGGACCCCATGAGAAAGGCACTAGAAGGTGTGCTGAAACGTTGGGGTTTTGTTCTGTACACGTGTCCAGTCATTTGAGGTAATATGCAAGTAAGCTTTTATGCCTGTTTGATTTAGAGCATATTTTATAACCTCTATCATGGGTTGTTATAGTCTTGTAAGAGTGTTTGTTTTGTATTTTTGTTTAATTTACTTTGGTTGTATAATAAAGAGATTTGGATTAACTAAGGTGTGCATCTTTTTGCCTTTAATGAATTAGGGCATTAAAAGGAACACAGCCCACTGTTGTGGTTATTATGCCAGGAATGGCTTAGCGCCATCTCAGTTTAATTTTAGTACAGTTTCACAACTTACCTGTGTGATGCCAGGGACCATAAGTGCATTCATTCTTCAGCCAAAAATGACTGCTCTCATTGAATTAGTGTCAGCTGAGTGCAGGTCTGGATAAAATCCTTTTTTTACGTACCTCTTTTTTCATTGCAATATGGTTGGCAGCATGTTCTATGTTCCCATCGCAGGCTCGCAATGCCAGGCGGGCATCCTGAGCAGAGCATCCCAATATCAATAGATTCTCCACTTTGCTGGGGTCTATGGATAGTTCATTGTACAGGCGGTTTGCCTAAAATCAAAATCATACATTACTCAATATACACGTACAGACTTTACTCTAAATAATGTTCAGAATATTTATTTATTTAACTAAATATATTATTTGTATTCAGATAAAATACAAGAAGAAAAGAAGTTTAGAATATATTATATAGGAGGCTGAGAGATATTTTATATTATCAATATAATCTTTCTACAAATGTATCAAATCATTTATATCTGACCATTCGTGGTTACCAGAACTTATTGTTAATATGAGGTTTCTAAAAACATATTTCTATTAGACTAGTCCTCCTCCCAGTCTTTTAGTCCTGTTCAAGCAGACAGCTTGGGGTGTCTGGGGAATCACGCTTAGCGTGAGACTCTTCCATCTTTCGGGCATGGTACGAGCGAGGCATGATAAGTGCATTCATTTTCCTTTTATCATGTCCTCTCTGGTACGATGGAGTTCATTTTGGCCTTAGATGCGGTATTACAGAAGCTGAGGACTATGTGGAAAGTTGGCATATCCTTTAGTGACTAATTAGCCCAGGAATATCAGAAGTGTTTAAATCGCTGTCTAGATGAAGATATTTTATGTATTCCTGACTGAGTTCCCTACAGTAAAGCTGCTACCAAAGAGAAATAGGGGTAGCTACAGAACTCTGTGGGAATTACTCTATTAGGAATGTGCTCCAGTATATTTAGCTAGATGTGAGTACTTTGTACTCTCTCTATTGGCTCAGATTGTTACAAACTGTCTGTTTCAGGAATTCAAACTTTGTATATTATTTCTCCGCTGTTTCAAACTACAGTTAAAGAAACACTATATCGTTATGAATGCAAATGAGTGTTCCTGACGTTATAGTGCCCTACTCACTTACGACAGGTGAGTTTTACTTACTGCACTCATTGGGGTGCAGTAAGTAAAAAAAATAAAAAAATAAAAACTAACAGTGCTGGTGTCTAGCATTCTGTTCCACCTGTTTGACTGAGATCATCGAGATTGATGATCTCAGCAAAACCATTCCTTTTCATAAGAAAAGAATTGTAAGGATAGTGCACATGCGCAGCAAAACACCATTCTGCGACAATCAGTATTACACCACTGACAGCCACTAGAGGCAAGTTAATCTTGCAATTAAAACATTGCCGTTCTGGAAGGATTAAATAGAGGAGGTATGGCACCAAGACCACTTTATTGAGATGAAGTAGCTTGGATGCCTATAGAGTACAAGGGTTTCTTTTGAAATTCTTCTCCAAGTTTCTCCTTAAGGGTTTGAGGGTACTGTGGAATAGGGCCCTAAATGTGGAATAGGGTAATAATACCAAACATTTCATGAGAATTACAGTTTTCCCTTGGTGGATCTCATTGTATTACAGAAACAATTAGGAAGTGTATTTAGTTTCAGGTAGCCCACATTTTCACAGTTTCACGTAGAACACCTAGTCTTTTTGTTTTTGTTTGTTCACTTAATAAAGTTGTTGCCATGCTTTATGAAGAATTGGGTTCCTTTATCAAAGGCTAGCATTTACAACACAGCCTGAGTAAAATTATCAATATTAATTATAGATACTAAGAATTCAGCATTACCTTGGTGAACTTTTCACCTGCTTCAGTGGCCTTCCCACCGTGATAACTCACTATTCCCTGTAGCAGGTACAGTCTTAAAAAAAGGACTTTCTCTCGTCCATAACTTCCCTGGGAGAAAAACATGAAAAAGTAAAATTAAGGTTACAAAAGCCTTTTATCTCTATTAAAATTGAGGATCATGAACAGAATGCAGGTAAACTGCTACAAGTGAACAATCTGTATGGACATCGCATTGGCTTCCATGGCAACTGCTCCATATTTTGTTGTACAATAGGGGAGATTCATCAAAGTATTGCCAACACTTTTCTACCTGCTGTAATACTACTGTAATATTTTGTACTTGCGGTTACTTAATAGTTATTGTGGCGAAACCGGCCTCGCCACGTGTCCTTGGAGGGGGCTGCTTGCCCTCCTCTTGCCTTTGGACTATGGACCAGACTTTATGTGAATGTATTAACCCAGATAGCTATGCCATGGAGCCCATTCGTGTAGTTAAAGACTACGGCTCCATGGCAATTGAACTGTGTGAATAGGATCTGAGCGCTATTCTGTAGTTTTGTGCGCTCAGATCCCAGCTATCTGGGGATATGTGACATGTCTGTGTTTTATGTATAAAATGGAACTGTGTATTTTATAATATTTTAATGCTTTGTGCTCACCATGTGCATAATGGAGTCTTGTGTCTGTCCTGTCAATTCAATCTCCAGGATAGAAGACTCTGAAACTGGTTTGGGCCGGAAAGCCATGCTTCATTTAGTCACAAAGGACTTTCCCTTAACTTTTGAACCCCTGGTCTGATTCGTGCCATTTTTTAATATGTTGTTCCCCTGAATGGATTGATTATGAAAATGTATGTTTTATGTTTGTGACATGTATATTTTAGAAGTTGTAAATATTGTGTAAAAACTGTATTCCTCTGCCAGTGATAATGAGATTACCCATTGTGTTCAGTAATCATATCACCTGCAGAGGGGAGGATTTTGTGTGGGAGTGTCTGGGTGTATTGTACGGATTGATTGGTTGTTTTGTAACGCCCTGTGGGCTGTACTATGTTTGTGGATTGGGAATAAAAGAGACTGTATGTGACAGTACAGGAGTTCCTGTTTTAACCCTCAAAGTGAAGTGTCGTCTCATTATTGGGGAAGGATTTATTGTATGCTGTTCCAGTTTGACTGCTAGGAGAGTAAACCTATTCGTATGGTTCCTATTCAACTGTCTACAGCATTCATATGCTTGAGAGAAGGTATACGCTTCTCTGGTTCGGTGATTGTGGTGTCTGCCAGAGTGCTTGGAGTCCTCAGGAAACGCTAGGAGCATCCTTTAACGGAGGTACCCAGTCGGGGTGCCAGGTGATCCGTTACAGTTATTAATATTTTGTCTGATAGAAATTTGTTGGCAAATATTGCAGTTGTGTACAACAAATATCTGCATTGCTTTACCACCCTCCCGATTCCTTGCCCATCCTAGCTGTAAATTCCTTCAAATAACTGTCTGTATCTACTCCTTAGGCCCATTTCCACAATGCAACAGAAACACAGTCACTTCATTTTCACTAAGCATGGAGGCACCTACCTTTATGTTAATCAGGCGCTCCTGATTCTCTCCGTAACATTTATTGAAGCACTTCTGGGATATATTAAGCTTGGACTCTGCATCGTCCAAGCAATCAAGCTGCTCCAGGCGAAAATAACACCACACGATATCAAGTTGTAGAACTGCATAATTATCAACGGTGTCCAGAAGCTCCTTGCCGCACTCACTGGAGACAATAGAGCACAAAAGCTGGGTTAATGACACTCTATGGATAATGCTCTCAGATGCCAAAGCATCAATGGAGGTCTACATCTAGAACACATGGGACACTGTGTGTTGGCCATCCTGCGTTACAGAGTAGGCTTTATGATCAATTTTACAATCCACAAAAGGAGAAAGAATATAAGAAGAAAAAAAAGCACCCAGTTTTTTTTTTTGTTTTTTTTACTAATCATATTTTACACCTATGGATGTCTAAATGCGCACAAATCACCAATAAACAAATGATTACAAATAATACGGATCTGGAATAAGCATAAACAAAAAGAAATATAGATGAAATGAAAAAAGCCATGTTTTGTAAGAGTTCATCCAGCTGTCTTTGGGCATGAAAGCTTTGGCTGTGTGAGAATAATAGGAGTTGCAATCTGACAAAACTGTAGCTCAGTGGGAAATGCAAACCTGATTTCTACTGTGCAAACTATTCCTTCACAATGAAAGCCTCTCATTGAAAATCAGTCTTTGGATCTTTAACGGATGTTGGGAAAGATTTCATGGAACCCTGGTAAATGGGTTGCATAATGCAACAGCTGGACAGACTAGACAGCCTCAATGCATGACGTGAATAACATCACAGAGGAGATGGAACCTCTAGTGATAAAGACACTGTCCTTTACAATTCCCAATATTCCTGTCATATCAAGCCTTGTAACAATGTTTTTCCGAACCCCTAGACCTTGGAACAGGATTAAACTTCATTAATGAGCAAAATCTAGACTTTAAACAGAGATCGGAAGGTACCAGTCCTTACCAGAAGTGTTTGTCTGCATCCAGAAGGAAGGTTAGTGCTAAAGCATATTCCGTTCTCTTTAGGAATGCTCGTCCTCGTTCGTGATAACCCATGGCAAGCATTAGCGCCTAGATACAAGGATTTGAGGCAACAGAACAGTCAGTCCTGATCAACAATACACCAGGGACTACGTGGCAAGACACAAAACACAAACATTCAACAACAAAATAACTACATAAAATATGCATTGCTGAACAGATAACGTCATGAACTCAGCCCCCAAGTAAAAAAAATTGTAAAATAACCAGCCATGCTGGAACCAAGCAAAGCGAGTATTTAACAATATGATAAATTCTCTGACAGAACAGAAAGAACAATATCTTTGTTAATGATTATTTAATTAAAGCCAAAAATGTTTTTACCTAGATCTACTTCCTTATAGTCCAAAATGCAATTCTTTGCTTACAGTCAAAAATACATTTCTTTGGCATGCTTATAGACAGAGCAGGATAGATTTTACTAGGATTACAGCCCACAATGCCCTTCCTTGCCGGTAAGCCTTATATCATATTATATTCTTATTTGATACAATAAATGATGCTTGTTAACGCATGTCAACAGTCTGGTGTGTCTGTACTGTGATCACCCCCCAAAGGCTATCCCATTGTTAGGATAGTAGCAACTGCTTCTATTTCTGCAGTTGGGCTTAATTAGTTGTGCGCAGACATAGAAAATACACACAAAGTGCAGCTGGCGAATTGTGGAACTTGCTGCTTCTATACACAACACAATCAGACACACACAGTGTGTTAAAACAAAACAGTTTCTAAATGTGACTGAACCCCTTGGGGTTTACACAAGGAGCCAGGATGTAATTTCTGCAAAGCACAGCAATCGCTTGTGGCTCAGTCTGCCAAGAAAAGCCCCACCAATTCTGGCACGGTAACATGGAATCGTGGGTTAAAGTGACCTTTACAAAAGCCTTGGGTTGAAGAGACTATGTATGAAAAAGGTGGAATAATACAGAAATGGACGTGAAAAAACAATAAGCATTGACACTGCACTGCTGTTGAGAATGTAAAAGCTGCATTAACCCCGTAAGGATCACGAAGTGTACGCAGTCATTCTCATTGTTTAAATACATTACCATTTACTGAATGGCAGCAGAGATCTGTAGAACCACCAAAATTAATAACCAACGGATACATCACAAACTTCTCTAATTTATAGAGACGCTGAATGGCAGTGCTGCCTACTGTGCAGCATTGGGCCAGGAAGCACCTCCAGTGGCAATCGGAGGAATGGCCACTTGGAGGTGTCCCTAGGAGCAATTAAAATACTGCCTTTTTTCTGAAAAGGCAGTGTTTGCATTAAAATGCCTGCACATAATGATTATATTCACCAGAACAACTACATTAAGCTGTAGTTCTAGTGACTGTAGTGTCTCTTTAATGGTACATATATTATCAGAATAAATAGCATGAGAGGAGGAGATAGACATACAAAGTATAGAACTAGTGAACAAGAGGTTTGTGCAGACACTACAACTGGATCATGGAAGCGGCTTTCCTGCCAATCAGTACGTCATACAGAAAAAAATCGTTCTGAAATACTCACACTGACTGTGTCGGAATTTAACGAAAATACCAATGCAGTAAAGAGATATACGACAAACTAGGGGAAAGTGGAGCTTGATAGGCATATATTACATTAAATGGTTCCAATGAGATGACACCACAGTAACATAGTACACAACTAACTAGAGCGTTTACTTTTCATGATGGTATAGGTTTTGCTCTAACACCATATAAAAAATACATGTTTGTAATATGCTTATAATTGAAAACAATAACTCTGCAATTTGGCCTCCTGCTGTCACAACGTTGTTAGATTGGTAGGATCACCTTTTTCGAAGCCTGTGGGATCTTGATTGCTTTTCCTGTCTGATTTGCAATTTCTAAGCAAGGAGTGGTGTCAACATCATAAAAATCGCCTGAGGGAACAGCAAAAGATTATCTAAGCACTGTGTAAACACGGGAACAAACATGCTGAATAAAAATATTTGCATAATAATATATGTATTCTTTTTTGAGTGGTCTTTAATTAATGAGTAAAGTAAAAAAGTAACACTTCCCGTGCCTGTATTTGTTTTGCTGGAAGTTATAAAGGCGGCCATGTTAAGCTCATGCCAAGTTTTCAGTTCTTACCAACTCCCTATTCTGTTCAGGCAACATTTTATATTCCTGCAGTTGTATCCTATTTTACAGGACCTTAGATGATGGCCATTTTTTTTCTAAATTATACTGAAGACTTTTTAAGTCAATACTGTGTTTAAATATATTAAGATGACTGATATTGGTGCAAGGCCGGCATATGAACCTTATAGTAACAACATGACGGAAAAATTCCACCAAACTATGGAGGGATGGAATGGGCACCACAAAGTTCCCCATGTGGAACAGCAGGAACACAATATTTCACGAAAGAAGCTGTGGCCCAATAGGACCATAAAACAAGTGAGTTATTTAACTTAACATCAACCAAAGTAGTCACTGTGACATGTAATCTTGTAAAACATAAAACAAACGTCAATGTGGAGTGACTGCGTGTGCTCAATAGAAGAACTATGAGCGGTAAAAGTCACTTGACAACAAAACAATTGAGAGGCGATGCTGCAAGTGAATGTCAAACAATGAATTTACATTCAGTATATGCTGCCACACAGTGAGTTCACATGTGGAGGTCGAAAAACAAACAAAACAAAAAACAAAACAACCCCTGCCCCAAATGTATTCATCTGGAGATATGCTTGTATTGGCTTTCAAAATATAAAATGGCTACTGATTGACACTATGGAGTTAGTGAGGTGGTATCCATTTCCCCAGAAACAGGAGACAAAAGATAGAATGCACGGATTATTTAGTAAAGACTTTAATTCCGTATAATCAAGTTCGTAGCACAGAAATGGTTTAAAGAGTTGTGGAATATGCATTGAAAATGCTGACTTTTCTACACAGAATGAATGCTTATTATGGTGTGCTCCTTTAACCTACCTCTCCCCGCCAGGATTTCTAGACCCTTTTTTGTGCGCAACACCTTCTTTTTCATAGTCTCCTCATTTTTCAGCTCGCTTTCTCGCTCTTTCTCCTCCTCATGGGTGCGCTTCTTGGCTTCCTCTTCTGTGTAATTTAACTCAAGAACCAGCACTTTGACGTTGTGGCCGATACCTTGCTCCTGCAGAGTTTTACCTAGCGGTGGAAGACAAAGTCTATTAGATCTTTTTACCCACCCCTTCAAAATTCAATAAAAAATAAATTAATTAATAAATAAAAAGATTTATTTTCGAAATACTTCTGAGCTAAAGTGTTTTTAAAACATCATTAAACAAGTAAATGAAAAAAATTAAAAATAAAATATTCCCAAACTTCTTCAGTTTATAAGTGAAATATTTTATTAAAGGTGTTTGTTCAACTTGACGTTCTGCTTTATCGATGGACTTTCTTTTTAGATTTAAGAATCTATTAGGGATGTCTGGAGTTCTGGAATGGGTGATATGTGGTTTTCCTTTATTGCTCATGTCAATGCATTCAACATCACACATCTTTACACACTATTGTATACTATCACCTTATGTTTGCTTTTGTACTTTAATTGTAGAATCTGTGTTATACACCCCCATCAGTGCATGCATCTATATGTCTTACAGCAGTATTAACCATAAAGCGCCCCCAGGCAGCCACCCAGGGCCCAAGGGTTAGACAGGGGCTCGGAACCACGAATTCGCTTTAACCATCCCAAGATGATGAATGAAGGAGGGACCCAAACAGGTAGCCTCTCGAGGGCCCTGCGGGATCGTAATAATTTTCGGTTTAAAACAGTAAGTGTTTAGATCTTTCTATGTCTGATTGTGCCAGGAATATCTGTTCAGATGACTACCTTTCTGTAAAAATGTGATCTGAAACACTCTGCTGGCATCGGTTTAAAACCCTTGCAGATTGAAAACCATAAAACAAGACGCACCTTTTTAAAACAAAGCAATTTTATTTCAGAAGTAATTACTCTACCAGAAAGACGACTTTTCAATTGCTCTCATTTTCATATTTCCATTAGAAAAAAAAACACTGAGTAAGTTAACTTTAAATGAAATCTGACATCTATAGTGCTCTACAAAACAATGAATATTTTAGAGGAAGCTTAAAACGAAACCTGATATTAAATGTTCATAACCTTTCACTACCCCAAACATTGTCAAACCCTACATTGCTCATACTTGATATCATAAATGCTATGCCATGTAAGCAGGCATCATATTGCTCACAACAAGCTGATTAAATACAACAAACCGTTACACTGTCATTCAAACAATACAATGACATCCCATGGAGAGGCCACAAGCTGTGTTTCTCTTTACATCTGTAAGACATTAGGACGCACCGAAAGAAAATCAGACTGGTTCAGATATCAGTTGTAGGGCTTTAAGTGAAAAGCCGGCTGCCCGGTGTTTGACAGGATTAATGAGAATTGTGTGTGAGAGATTATTAATGAAATATAGCTCAGATGGAACAGATTGGCTTGGCTGGGTTACTTAGCAAGGGGCACAGCTCCAAACAAGCAAGGATAGATGAAGGAATGATGGAAAACCTGGCCTCAAATGTGCTCATTTAAAATAAAAGTAATGTACTGTAACAGTATAATTCACAGTGAACTACAGCGATGCCCTGCTTGGATTAAAAAACAAAACAAACAAAAAACAAAAACACACCTGAAAATAAAATGGTTAAGGAAAACTATAGTATCAGGAATACAAACCTGTATTTACTGACACTATAGTCCTAAAGGGGCTGTTTAGGTTACTAGCCCCCTCCAGTCACAGTCAAAATTGTGATTTTACTCACCTTTTCTCGTATGCCGCACCGGACTTGCTGCGGCTGGCACTCTCTGGCTCTGCCATCATGGCTGAGATCATCAATGCTGATGATCGCAGCCAGTCCAATGCTTTTCCATAATAAAGCACTGGGAGGCTATTTTTTTGTATGTGTGGCAAAACAACACACTGCACCAATCATCTTCTCCTGCATCGCTACGGGGAACGTTCACAGTCTCTACACAGTGCAGCACTGAACTAGAAAGCACCTCTAGTGGCCATCTGCGCGATAGCCACTAGAGGTGTAACTAGCCAGTAATGTAAGCACTGCCCTTTCTCTGAAAAGGCAGCGTTTACATTGAAAAGCCTGCAGGGACAGGCTATATACACCAAAACCATTACATAGTGGGTATGGAGACTATAGTGTCCTTTTAAATACAATACAATGCTAGCCTGTGAACTCTACACAGACACTATCGAGACTCTATTCTACATCTTCTAAAATGCACTCCCGCATGTGGATTTGACCAGTAACAGATTTTCTCTGCAGTTCCACTGGACTCAGAACAGCTGCCCGTTATGATTGTCATGATTTATGCTGTTAAAATGATTTAACTTAAAACAAACACAGTGACTAAGAAGAATTCACTGACTAGTCTTAGTAAGTAGGTAGAACGATGCCAGAAATTGTGGAGGTGATAGGACGCCTGTGTGGCCTCACTGCAGCTGCCCAGTTCCTGTGGTTTTATCGCAAGTGACGATGAGGACAAGGTTGTGAGGAGTTGAGGGTCGGACCCTGCTGCTTTGGTATTTAGGAATTTTCCACTAGCTCTTCCAGCTGCCATGAGTGTGTTTGTGTTTGTTTCTAAGGGTTGTAATTATATCCACTATTTCTCCCACAGTGCTCCACTGCCTTTGAGCTATTCACTTGTATACGTGATTCAGTGATCATCACTAAACACAGTGTCCTGGAACCAGTCTGCATTCCCTGGAAACAATGTCTGCAAAAACAAATCCCAGCAGAGCTTGTAAGTAGACCTCTTCTCTTTTTTTCCCCATTGGCGGCACACCTGAAAATCTGCAGATCTCTTGTCTGCAGTCTTTGCAAACCCCCCTCTTCTAACCAAGCCCAAACTTTCAGTGACTGTCCAATCATAGACTTCCCAATGCAGCTCAAAGAGAAGTCTTTGCAAGGCAGGTGCTCTGGGTAATTGCTGCCTCTGGAGTTTTAATTCCACTGAGCTAACCAAACCAGGAAGTAACAGGACCGGTTGTCTGATTGACAGCCACGGGGGTGAAACAAGGTTCATATATAAGAGTGCCAATGTCTATTGAAATTTGCTCTTTTCACAATATGAAAAAAAATTATACATACACTTTATGAAATACTTTAAAAGTTTGGTGTGTCCCTTCAACTTCTCCAGGTTCTACAAACCACATTATATCATGAAAAGCTTGGATGTTATCTGTCATTAAGGGGTTAATGGACACACATGGTGTTGGAGAAGCCACCAACCAACATAATGTTTAAAACCATTCAGCTCTAAGATTGACAACACAAGTACACGACAAAGGTCATGGCTAATAGATTAAATCCATATTAAAAGACTTAACACACCCTTAGCAGGCGGGTTTTATCCAAAGAGACAAGCTGCTGATAACACATGTCCGATCCATAGATCTTGTTTGGTACACAAATCATAAACACCTCCAGATGGCCAAAATCTTTTCCGATCCGAAAAGGCGGTAGAATTTTCAAGTTTTCTTCAAGCCATAGATCTCTCTCATAAAGGAGTTTTACTCTTACTTAAAGGGACACTATAGTCACCAGAACAACTACAGCTTATTGAATTTGTTCTGGTGAGTAGAATCATTGCCTTCAGGCTTTTTGCTGTAAACACTGTCTTTTCAGAGAAAATGCATTGTTTACATTACAGCCTAGTCATAACTTCACTGGCCACTCCTCCGATGGCTGCTAAAGCTGCACTACTGACATTCAGCACATGCAGACACTGAACATTCCCCATAGATATGCATTGATCTGCCTCCTTCACAGTGTCAGCCAATTCTATGGGGAAGCATTGTGATTGGCTCAGACCACCACTTCAGATGATGTCAGCAGATACTGCCAGGGGCAGAGCCAGGAGCAGAGCCAGGAGCTGCAGACTTAAATACAAGTAAGATTTTACTATATTTAGGGAGGCAAAAGTGGGCCAGGGGGCTAGCTTGTGGTTTTAACACTATTGGGTCAGGAATACATGTTTGTGTTCCTGACCCTATAGTGCTCCATTAACATCTCACCTCCTTCCTTTTTTACAGCAATCCATACAAGGCAGGGCTGCCGACTATTCTCCCTTTTATTTACACTAGCCCTTGAACCTTTGCTACAGGTGATATGGTACAGACACACCATAGACGGTGTACAGAAGTAAATCAGTTTGAAGTAGTGGCTTATGCCGATGTTATCCTTCGCCTCACAAAAACCTGAAACTTCTATACCAGCCCTGCTTGATCCTTTTAACAGATACTCATTGATAATGAGGTGCAAATTGCATCTAACCAAATCTGAGTTGCTCCCAATGGAGATAAATGCCTATTTCACTTACAGAAGGAGCTCCCGTTACGTAAAAAATTAACCAACATTTGTGCATCCAAATTTCTAGTGATCTTGACATATTCTATAATAAAAATTACTGCCCTCTCCTACAGACAGCACATAACGACTTACACTGCTGGTAGCCACGTCCAAATCTTAAACCGCTCTGGGCTGCAGTTACATTTTTACTCACTCAAATTCTAGATAAACCATACCCGATGGATCTCTGGGCTTATAGGTGTGCATAGCATAACGTTTATAGGTATGCACAGCAGTAGAGCCCAGAGAGTTTCTGCGCTGCTCCGTTCCTCCTGCCCCACCACCTCTTCTCCCCAATCCCTTTCTCTGTCTGTCCTTGGTCCCCTTTTGTTCTCAATCTACACTGCCTCCCTTGGTAAACTCATCAGCTCCTTCGGCTTACAGTATCATTTCTATGTGGATGACCAGCAAATTTATCTGTCCTCCCCTGATTTCACCACCCCTTTTGACTCGTGTCTCTGACTGCCTCTCTGCTATTTCCAACTGGATGGCTGCTCAATTCCTTAAATTGAACCAGGCAGAAAGAGAACTTCTGGTCTTCCCTCCCTCAAATGTTGCTACTCCCTTGCCTGTGTCCCTCCAAGTCAATGGCGCTACAATCCGCTCTACCTCTAACACCCGCTGCCTAGGTGTTCTCATTGACTCAGACCTCTCCTTCACCCCTCACGTCCAATCAATCACCAAATCCTGCTGCTTCCATCTCAAAAACTTTGCGCGCATCCGACCCTATTTAACACCTTATATAGCAAAGGTGCTTGTCCATGCTGCTGCCCTCTCTCGCCTTGACTACTGTAATCCGCTTCTCAGTGGTCTTACGTATTCCCAACTTGCCCTGTTACAGCCTATAATGAATGCCGCGGCGAGGCTCATCTTCCTGTCCGCCCGTACCTCCCCCCTTTGTCAGTCCCTCCATTGGCTCCCCCTAAGATATAGGACTCAATTTAAGATCCTGATACTTGCTTACAAATCTCTACACAATGCTGCTCCCGCCTGCTTATCCTCACTAACACACAAATATGATCCACCTAGGCCCTTACGCTCTGCCGGAGACCTACGTCTAACCTCTGTTCGTACTCCTACCCCTGATGCTCACCTTAAAGACTTCACTAGGGCTGCGCCGTTCCTATGGAACTCCATTCCCGTCTCTGTTAGACTCTCACCCAATCTCCACTACTTAAAAAAAATAATTGAAAACGTACTTCTTTAGGAAAGCAAATCAATTAAATTGAACAGCTTTCCCTCCCCGCACTATGCCCTCACTATGCCCTCAATGAATACTATCTTAGCAACCTACTTTTCTACCCTACCCTTACCTTTTGTGTCACTATATCCCACTCCCTATAGCATGTACGCTCATTGAGCAGGGCCCTTAATCCCTCTGTTCCTGTACGTTCACTTGTCTGGTTTCAAATACGTGTCTGTTAGTCCACCCATTGTACAGCGCTACAGAGCTTGCTGGCGCTTTATAAATAATAATAATAATAATACATTTGACATGGGTGATCCACTTCCAAATGAAACGGCAAAACTCTCAATCCATAACCAAATGTATGACATAAATGGGCAATGCATCATAGTACAGAGGAAGATGCCTCTTTACTGGCACAAAGGTGGAACAAACACAAAGTTTGCTCTAATAAAGGAAATTAATTCTACTTGTGTTGCCAGTTTCATTTATATCAATACAGCTGAACTCTGAGGAGCTCTCTCAGAGCTGAAAGTAGGCTCAGATGCTATATGAGCCAGTACCTTTCCAATCATGCAAAGTTGTTATGGTGATTATTGCAACCGTTTAAAAAAATAAATTCACATGTTAATACCACCATCTTGTGGGCAGTAGAAATATTGCTATTTTTATAAGTCAGGAAAATTTCTAGTAAAACCTGAATCTAATATGTTGGCCGCAAAAGAAACGTAAAATGAAAGGTATGTTAAAGAGACTTAGTCACGCGTAACTGTACTGAGTATCGCTATATGATTAAATACAGCCGCAATCAGGCCCAGTGGTAGCTGGAGAGAGAATCTCTGTCTGTACTAACTTTTCCTGTAAAGCCATGAATGACTGGGTCACCTTGCAGCACACAAATAGGTCAGATGTTTTCTTATAGTTAAGAATATGTGATTTGTAAAATGTAAACATTTCCTGGTAGTCCAGTGATTTTCTAGGGGCCCCCCTACCACCACAAAGAATTACCTATACAAACACACACTACATTCCCTATTCACAAACTCACTATATCCCCCAATACACACACAGAAGTTTACCATTACTATGTTATAGTTTATTTTATTATTTTCTCTCCTAATCTTCTAGTAAAAAATATAAATAAGATTCCAAATCTACGGTACGTATGCACACACACAAAATACAGAAAAGTAATCCTTGATGTCTAACGCATTTAAACAGAAATGAAACAAAATGTATTTACTATTTAAGATACCAGCGATATGCTCCAATAATATCAGTACCCAGTGGGCATCTGGCATCTAAAACTGATCTAAAGTAATAGCTAACAGAAAAGTAGGACATAAATTGGAAATCAGAGGAATGTTCATGCTGATTGGAAATTTGAAATATTTGCACCAGTTCAGTTAAATGAGTAGAGTGGTGATTTGTCATTATGTTGGTGATAACTCCACCTAATGACTTTTGGCAATTTTTCTACACCTTAATGAACCATCCCACCATGTGTTTAAATAATTGTTATAACTAAAATAGTTCAAACATAAATATAAAATGGCACTAACCTATTATACCGCAAATGAATTAACACTATAAACTATAAAAATCTGATGGAATACACATGATTTGTACTAACCGATTTCAAGCTGTTTCTTGTTAACAATTATTTTAATGTAATTTTCTTGCAATCCGTATGTTTGTGCTATCCTGTGGATGAAGATTTAAAAAAAAAAAAAATGAATACATCATCATCAATCTGGTAAAAGTATTACTACTTTTATTTCTAAAGCTCCAACATTTTCCACAATGGCTAAATTAATAAAAAGTAGGGAATGAAAAAAAAAAACCAAAAAACTGTGCAACAAAGATATCAATGGAGGGTTCTGTTGAGATTCGAGTAGGGAAAGGTCTTCCCACACTTTGAATATTCAAGCTGCCAAGCCAACCAATCAGAGCTCTCTAACAGGCTAATCTCACCTCTCACTAGACTTGCCTGGTCATTTATGGAAGCCGATCAGAGCACTCTGATAATGTGTGGGAAGGCCTTTATAGAGAAATTCCCCACCTTCAATCGTCAGTCTGAACGGAGCCCTCTGTGGACTCATTTTTTTTGCAGTGTGGTTTTTCTTTTTACTGCATTTTCCAGTTCAGTTTTGTATTATTTTTTTTATAGTTGCACTGTGTATTACGTTTCAAAATGTTTGAAGGCAAGTATGTGGTTTTTAAGGTTTAATTTTAGATATATTGGGCCCCATCTTAGCATTATTAGTGTGAAGGGATTAAGCAGACAGTTTACGGGGAGGGTGGCTAGGTATTTGGGAAAACACTATTGTAATATTATTACATCCCCACTCAATGCCAATGGATGAGAGGGCAGCGGGGACACTATAAATTATATGGATGTCATGTCTCAAAAATAATAAAAACATGTTTTATTGGGTAAAGTAATACTTACTGACACTTTAACTCTTTGCCGGTGATATTCAGTGGAGTTTCCATAATGTTCTTGGATTCCTTACGAGAAAAATAGAGAAGGAAAAAAAGTATTACTCCAAATGCATCTATATAGCTATAGGAAAGGGCTTCAGTCAGTGACTAAGAGGGGATCCAAAGGAACATCTCTTATTTGGTGGTGCAGCAAACTGCAGATTAATCAGATATTTAAAGTGGAAATCCTACATTTTAATGCTCAGTGTAATTTAAGGGACACTCCAGGCATTAATTTGTAGGGCATTATATAAATTATGTGTTTAAAAGACATATGTAAAAACAAAAAAAAGGTAAAAGATCTTTCCAGGTTTCTGCATGTACTGCAAATTTCCACGTTCTTCACCATCTTAAATTACCACTAAAGGCAACCAGAGCCCTTCATCGCAATGACACGGTCTAAGTTTAGTGGCCCTTTAGTTTTAGTCCTTCCATCTAAAACATTTCCGTTTAGTAGATACAGCAGCGTATTGATTGATCTATGAGGAGCGGGGAGGAGGAGCGGGTGGCAACATCGTTGTAGTCTTAGTTCTAGAGAGAAAGCGAAGCGAAACCTATTTCTTTATCGGTCGAAAGGAGTGTGCGGGAGAATTTGGTTGCATACACGCATACATATATTACACTCACATGCAGTTTGTGTTCTAGATCTGGTTTCTCTTAAAACACATTCATTTTTAACTTCCTTGTGCCAGCTATCTTTTCATCCATTAGCATTCCATCCAAGCACAGAAATGCTTACCTTATTTACTTTACGGGGCAGGAAGACCTGTAACGAGGCCAATCCTTTGGTTTTAAATGCCTGGTTTCTGGCACCTCGCTGTATAGCTAAACAACGGATCTCCTCCAAAGCACTAGTGATATCATCCAAAGCGTAGTTCAGCCTGTTGCAATACCGCTGCACCAGCACCTGGGAAACATAGAACATTGCAAATTATATGACAATACAGACAGACAAAAATGTAACGGATAGCTGAGGTAATAATTGACTGATTTAATTACCATTGGTCTAGGTCAAGGGTTAGAAATATAACTCCCAGATTAGTGGTTTTTAAAGCCTGTATAATGAAGAAATTAGAAGATTCTTGTGGCGGAACCAGCCTCGCCACTGTCCACTGGAGAAGCCTGGTTGCTCGCCTGCTCCCTTTAGGCTATGGCCCGGCATTTAAAAACCTTTTATTTTCCCTGCAGAAAGGCGTATTCATGCCTTTCTGCCAGGGTGGTCAGTAGATTCAAATCTACCGAACAAAGTACCGAACGATCGACCACCTGGGAACTGGAGTGTGCCGTCAATTGACCGCCCAGCAGCTGCGGTTAACCACAGCTTAATTGACAAATGCTGGGTGGCCCTTGTTCGTTTGCCAACACGGGGCAGCGGCTATTTCAACTCCAGAGCGGCCAGCGGTGTTCAGCGCCCAATCTATGGAACTGGAAACGGATACTTATTTGCGCGAACACCGCTGAGCCGCCAACCTCCTTACCTCTGCATTCGGTAGTGAAACCAGTAGTTTGACCGTATGAACAGCATCACCCCAGATAGCTATGCCATGGAGCCTATTCGTGTAATGAAAGACTATGGAAAAGACTTTGGCTCCATGGCGATTGAACTGTATGTATGTGATCTAAGCGCCATCCGGTAATAGTGTGCGCTCAGATCTAAGCTATCTGGGGATATGTAGAATGTGTGTGTTTTATGTGATAAAAGTAACCGTATGTAATTTTATGTCTTTTTACTGAAAGTGTGTGTAATGGAGTTTTGCCTCTGTCCTGATTGATTTAGTGGTAATTTAATTGGATTACTTCCCAATTATCTCCAGGCCAGAGAGGAGGGATTGTGATGCATTGTGGGATTGTTGAAATGTGTAAGTCTGTGATTGGTCCTTTTACCCTTTGTGTCCCAGTCTTCCATCTGGTCCCCTAGGGGAGTGTCCACCAGGTGGGAGACCTGCATAAAAGCCGGGCAGGTAGCCCCAGTAAACCATATTCTGCTTGACCCTCAAAACGAAGTGTCATCTCGTTCTTGGGGGGAATTGGATTGTATGCGGATTGCCAGGAGTGTAAGCTGATTGTATGCTTTTCCTGTTCGGCTGTTTCCAGTTTGGTAGTTGGAGGATTCGTGTAGTTTGCAGCTCGGGAGATTGGTGCTTGCATTAGCTGTCCATGCATCTGGAAAGTGGAATAGCGCCTGAACGGTTTTTAACCACTTGTGTGCAAAACGGTCCGTTTTATTGTGTATTGGTATGGCCTTGATTCAAATCATTAGCAAACGGCACTCAGCATTAACTTGGCAAACTCGAAATAGACGTTCACACAAAGTAAATGCTAGTGTTTGAAGTTTTACCTGACTTCAAGTCCTTGTGTATAGTAATGTTTTCAGATTAGAAAGGGTTAGCATCGTTAACCAGAGTTCAAATTAATGCATTTACTGCTTCAGAAAAAAATAAAAAAAAAAACACACGCACAAATAACAAAATCAAACTAAAAAATAAAACAATATACTGTACTTACTCGCATCTAATGCTCACCTTTTATGGAAAATAAAGTTTCCAAAATTTTAATGGGCATTAGATTCTGGCGAATTCAAACTAATAAATTGAAACTCAAATCCAAACACACAAATTAAAGGGACACTGTAGGCACCTAGACCACTTCAGCTCATTGAAGTGGTCTGGGTGCAATGTCCCATGTCCCTTAACCCTGCAGTAGTAATTATTGCAGTTATTGAGAAACTGTAATAATTACTATGCAGGGTTAACTCCACCTCTTGTTACGGTCTACCAGACGACTTTCTGGTTTGAAACAGTCCTTTGGTCCTTTATCTAAAGCTGGGCGTCCTCACGCTCTGCATGAGGATTTCCAGCACCAGATTTTTTCCCATAGGAAAGCATTGAATAAAAGCAATCAATTGGCAAAGGCACCAAGTTGTGGTGCCAGGCGGTCCGCCACATATAGGTTTAGGAACACATATTTTTGTTCTTGACCGTATAGTGTTCCTTTAACAGAAACCGAAGCTACGTCTAGGGTGGAGACACCAACAAACTACCAAACAAATACTAAGTAATGAGTGCGCAAACAATAACACTTCAAACTTTCAACTCAAAAACCAAAATAAATCTTGCTCAATTTGTTGCCACTTGTTGCACATCTGAGCTTTTATCAAGCTACTTGTAACAAACTGAATAAAGGTTGGACAAACATTTATTCAACTTTTAGGTTGAAACACTATCAGGTTGGTTTTACTGGATTACATTAACCATGTAATGTATCCTATATGACAGTTGTAGCAATGTTTGTCACTGTGGAAGAACCAGATTGCCTTTTTTACAATCAAGGAGGTTTTGTCGTCTTAAATCCTATCCATGACAATGGAAGGCTCTTTGTCACTGACCTGCTACGTTTTACTGAAATATTGCAATAAAGTAAAATTTAAACCATCCGGGTTTGTACTTTGCAGTTCAGGCAGCAAGCCACAAAGAGAAGGTAAACCATATCTCCGAGAAGCTTATGCAGCAATACAGATGTCGTCACACAGACTCTACTAAAGTTGAGGAATAAAGATTCTTTGATCCTTATTAAAATGAACTCTGACATTTACAGTTGGAAAAATCTTCAATAAAATTTTTGAACCAGTTATTTGGCCTACATTTTTCATCTGACTGAATTTCACCGTTTAGTGGATATACCTCTAAAATGTTGGCTTCATCCTTTTAAAAAAAAAAAAAAATTATTACAGACTTCACAATATGTGTAACAATTCCAAAAAGCTTGCCAGTAATTAATGCGTAACAAAAAAATCCTCGTAAAACACAAGGCTTTTATTTTCACTTTCACTTTAGATTTGTTTCATGAGCATAGCCTACAATTCCAATAATCCCTCAGTATTCCTGAGGATAATGGGACTTTGCACATGCAAAATTACAGCACTGGATAGTTATAGGAGAGTACAAAGACAAAATAAACAAAAACAACAACAGGAGACATATTGGATTGAATATTTATCAGTCACAGGGTTATTTACTAAACTGGCAATTGGAAATTCAAGCCAAAATAGCAAGAATGAGAACACTTTGGGGGATGTTTCTATATTATTTCGGCCTAATATGTGAAATTCACTCTGACAAGTCCCATTTTAGTGAATAAACCCTGTGTGATCACCCAACACCTATAACAAAACACACGGAAGCAATAGTTTAATTATGAGTAAGCAGTAAATACTTTTTAAAAGCAACCAGGTGTATGTACACATCAGGTCACAGCGCAAACTAACTTCACCCATTTGGGACCAAAGCCATCTCAGGACAGTCTCTATTATAAGAAGCGTACCCAACTCTGCCCCAGGACCTTGCTGTGCCCGGTGTCCAGGGCTGTTATGTACTCACTTTGATGTCGCAGCCAGCTTCCTGATTTTCCGTGGTGTATGGGGCCTTCCATAGTTGAATACGATCCTCCCTTAAATAGTTTGTGAGCTGGGCCACCAGGAATTTCTTTTCTGCCATCCTGTACACAAATAAAAATCATACAGCATTAATTAAAAAATTAAACAAAACAAAAATCATCACCATCAACATTTATGAAATGATTTCATTTCACTTTGATTTTTGTTTAGTATTTTCTTCCAGTTTTCCTAGTATAATACCATTTATCAGTCCCCGAGAGCTCTGCCATTGTACCACGTCCTGCAACAGTTGGCGATAATGGATATCTAACAATGCTGCTTCCCACAGATAGAACCTGTCTGGGTGTGGATGTGGTCTAGTTATATGAGAAACCTGAGGAGTAGGGTTATTCCATTTGCAAAACAAAGTGATCTGAAGAAAAGCAAAGTGAAAGTGTCAGAAATGGGAGTGACGTGCTATTGCCCCGTCTAATCTGAAAGGGATTTTATCACCAGACGGGGAATTTTGAACAATTCCTTTTTATTCTGGGGTAGCCATTTTGGTCTGGCAGGGAAATAAAACCTTGCCAACTGTTGTGAAAGATGTCGGAAGCTAAAAGACTCCAAAATGAAAAGTCTCTCTGACAAACATTTCCTTGTTTTCCTGGATGAGAAATTGTAAATAGACACCAGTGTATAGAGTAAAATGCTTAAGATAAATGAAATATACAGAATTTTGGGAAGCTGGTTGGTTTAGGAATAGGCTCAACCTCTCATTCTTACCTCGCCCACATATTCAGAGAAAGTCAATAAAAAACAAGTGTCGGGCTTGCAGGTCACCTGCTCATTAGTTTGTTGTTTTTTTTTTTTAACAGTCAGGAATACAAAAACAGCTCAGGTCTTCCATAATGAGGGGATTTTGACACATTTAGGATATACAAAAAAAATCTGAATTAAAACTGGGGCTTGTATGTACGGCAGTACATATGATGTTTAACTACACCTCCGGCAGCGTCATTGGGGTGTTATCAGTCTGTCTGGACCACCAGAGAGCATCAGAGCCTCTCTGGGACGCCGGTAAGGGGAGGAACCATTTCTAAATAGTTTACCCCAGTACTGGGGAATTAGACCAGAGTACTCCTTGCATCATAAGCACAACAGTAGGCTATTAGAACGCTTGAAGTTATTCTTTAGATTTGAAATTTACTTTAAATTACTGACAATTCTCAATTTAGTGAATAACCCTGATAGTCTTTGGAGTGTAATTTAGGACAAATTACGGCTTACTTTTGACATTCCATCTGTTGGAGATGGGATTTACTTTCTAAATAAAGAATTTAATTGAATCAAGAAAATAATTGCAATTTATAGGTCAAAAGAGCTGCTCTGGATAAATTGGACAATTGGAGAATATTTCCAGTTCCGCTACTTTAGTACAAGATTTGAAGTTCATTCACTCAATAGGTGCGCAAGTCAGAAGAATCAGACAATGTTTCAGCCAAGTATGGTACCCTGCCATATATCACGAGGATACGCATTAACACGGTCACGTCAAATTAAAAACGCAGAACCTCTGGTGTAGATTTGCTTGTAATCAAAAGATATGTTAATATTCATTAAAAAGAATACACACAGATCCAAAATTAATTAGGTCACAAGACTGTGCCATGCTTTGCATCTCCATCCGCTGCCAGAGCATTAAGAGCACTTACAACAACTTGAACGCCACAGGTTAACACCATAACTACTTTCACATAACATGTATAAACATTCACGCAATATCTGAAGGACCAGTGACAGGACCAAAGGTATCTGCCTAAATGCTGATACTTTAGGGCAGGGCTTGACAAATCCCAGATACCGGGTCGTCATGGCAACTAGGTATTTGTCAATCTGATTAGCGGAGGCAGAAGTAAGGGAGCCTTTAAGAATTGTATTTTTGTAATTAAAAATTGTTTTGTTTAATTAAAAAAGGGTTAAGTATCATAAAAAGAGTGGGATAATTACTCAAAACCAAACAATGCCCAATAATATTCCAACTGCAGGTCCTACCAACTATCATAGTGCTGGCTTACAAATATACATTTCAAGTAGCTTTGCTGGATTTGGGTAGAAAATGACAGAATAAATAAAAAGGGAGATAAACAGGTGAAATTATATATGATAATGGACAGTGAAATTCATAATTTTACACAAGACAGTCTGAAAAGCTTATATGTAGAAAGCCAGTGTTAGGGCTGGTAAAGCACGATGATATTTGTAGTTCAGTGAGAACAGTGGAAGAATGATTGGAGTGGTAGTTCAGTATAAGCAGTGGGGTTGTGGACAGTCCTAGGAGTTGTAGTTCAGTGAGAGCATGCTGGGAACAGTGGGATTGCTGATTGTTGACAGTCCTAGGAGTTGTAGTTCAGTGAGAGCATGCTGGGAACAGTGGGATTGCTGATTGTTGATAGTGTTGGGAGTTGTAGTTCAGTGGGAGCATGCTGGGAGTTGTAGTGCGAGCAGTGGGATTGCTAATTGTTGACAGTGCTGGGAGTTGTAGCTGGGAGCAGTGGGATTGCGGATTGTTGACAGTGCTGGGAGCAGTGGGATTGTTGACAGTGCTGGGAATTGTAGTGAGATCAGTGGGATTGCTGATTGTTGACAGTGCTGGGAGTTGTAGTGAGAGCATGCTGGGAGTTGTAGTGAGAGCATGCTGGGAGTTGTAGTTCAGTGAGATCAGTGAGAGCATGCTGGGTGTTGTAGTGAGAGCATGCTGGGTGTTGTAGTGAGAGCATGCTGGGAGTTGTAGTTCAGCGAGATCAGTGAGAGCATGCTGGGTGTTGTAGTGAGAGCATGCTGGGTGTTGTAGTGAGAGCATGCTGGGTGTTGTAGTGAGAGCATGCTGGGAGTTGTAGTGAGAGCATGCTGGGAGTTGTAGTGAGAGCATGCTGGGAGTTGTAGTGAGAGCATGCTGGGAGTTGTAGTGAGAGCATGCTGGGAGTTGTAGTGAGAGCATGCTGGGAGTTGTAGTGAGAGCATGCTGGGAGTTGTAGTGAGAGCAGTGGGATTGCTGACAGTGCTGGGAGTTGTAGTTCAGTGAGATCAGTGGGAGCAAGCTGGGAGTTGTAGCTGGGAGCAGTGGGATTGTATACAGTGCTGGGAGTTGTAGTTCAGGGAGATCAGTGGGATTGTTGACAGTGCTGGGAGATGTAGCTGGGAGCAGTGGGATTGCTGACAGTGCTGGGAGTTGTATTTCAGTGGGATTGCTGACAGTGCTGGGAGTTGTAGTTCAGTGAGATCAGTGGGAGCATGCTGGGAGTTGTAGCTGGGAGCAGTGGGATTGTTGACAGTGCTAGGAGTTGTAGTGAGAGCATGCTGGGAGTTGTAGCTGGGAGCAGTGGGATTGCTAACAGTGCTGGGAGTTGTAGTTCAGTGGGAGCAGTGGGATCACTAACAGTGCTGCGAGTTGTAGTTCAGGGAAATCAGTGGGATTGCTGACAGTGCTGGGAGTTGTAGTTCAGTGGGAGCAGTGGGACTGCTGACAGTTGTAGTTCAGTGGGAGCAATGAGATTGTTGACATTCAGTGAGAGCATGCTGGGAGTTGTAGTTCAGTGAGATCAGTGGGAGCATGCTGGGAGTTGTAGCTGGGAGCAGTGGGATTGTTGACAGTGCTAGGAGTTGTAGTGAGAGCATGCTGGGAGTTGTAGCTGGGAGCAGTGGGATTGCTAACAATGCTGGGAGTTGTAGTTCAGTGGGAGCAGTGGGATCACTAACAGTGCTGCGAGTTGTAGTTCAGGGAAATCAGTGGGATTGCTGACAGTGCTGGGAGTTGTAGTTCAGTGGGAGCAGTGGGACTGCTGACAGTTGTAGTTCAGTGGGAGCAATGAGATTGTTAACGTTCAGTGAGAGCATGCTGGGAGTTGTAGTGAGATCAGTGAGATGCAGCTGGGAGCAGTGGGATTATTGAATGTGCTGGGAGTTGTAGTTCAGTGGGAGCAGTGAGAGCATACTGGGAGTTGTAGCTGGGAGCAGTGAGATTGTTGAAAGTGCTGGGAGTTGTAGTGAGAGCATGCTGGGAGTTGTAGCTGGGAGCAGTGTAATTGCTGACAGTGCTGGGAGTTGTAGTTCAGTGGGAGCAGTGAGAGCATGCTGGGAGCAGTGAGATTGTTGAAAGTGCTGGGAGTTGTAGTGAGAGCATGCTGGGAGTTGTAGCTGGGAGCAGTGTAATTGCTGACAGTGCTGGGAGTTGTTGTAGTTCAGTGGGAGCAGTGAGATTGTTGAAAGTGCTCGGAGTTCTAGTTCAGTGAGAGCATGCTGGGAGTCCTAGTTCAGGGAGATTGTTGACAGTGCTGTGTGTATCCCTGGTCCCTGCTCCCCCTTGCTGGGTGAGGGCTCCCCTTGCTGGGTGATGGGTTCCCCTTGCTGGGTGATGGGTTCCCCTTGCTGGGTGATGGCTCCCCTTGCTGGGTGAGGGTTCCCCTTGCTGGGTGAGGGTTCCCCTTGCTGGGTGAGGGTTCCCCTTGCTGGGTGATGAGGGTTCCCCTTGCTGGGTGAGGGTTCCTCTTGCTGTGTGTTGGTTCCCCTTGCTGGGTGAGGGTCCCCCTTGCTGGGTGAGGGTCCCCCTTGCTGGGTGAGGGTCCCCCTTGCTGGGTGAGGGTCCCCCTTGCTGGGTTCCCCTTGCTGGGTGATGGGTCCCCCTTGCTGGGTGATGGTCCCCCTTGCTGGGTGATGGTCCCCCTTGCTGGGTGATGGTCCCCCTTGCTGGGTGATGGTTCCCCCCCCCTTGCTGGTGAGGGTTCCCCTTGCTGTGTGAGGGTTCCTCTTGCCCCTTGCTGTGTGTTGGTTCCCCTTGCTGGTGATGGTCCCCCTTGCTGGGTGATGGTCCCCCTTGCTGGGTGATGGTCCCCCTTGCTGTGTGAGGGTTCCCCTTGCTGTGTGATGGCTCCCCTTGCTGTGTGATGGCTCCCCTTGCTGTGTGATGGCTCCCCTTGCTGTGTGATGGCTCCCCTTGCTGGGTGATGGTCCCCCTTGCTGTGTGAGGGTTCCCCTTGCTGTGTGAGGGTTCCCCTTGCTGTGTGAGGGTCCCCTTGCTGTGTGATGGCTCCCCTTGCTGGGTGATGGTCCCCCTTGCTGTGTGATGGTTCCCCTTGCTGTGTGATGGTTCCCCTTGCTGTGTGATGGTTCCCCTTGCTGTGTGAGGGTTCCCCTTGCTGTGTGAGGGTCCCCTTGCTGTGTGATGGCTCCCCTTGCTGGGTGATGGTCCCCCTTGCTGTGTGAGGGTTCCCCTTGCTGTGTGAGGGTCCCCTTGCTGTGTGATGGCTCCCCTTGCTGGGTGATGGTCCCCCTTGCTGTGTGATGGTTCCCCTTGCTGGGTGAGGGTCTCCTTGCTGGGTGAGGGTCTCCTTGCTGGGTGATGGTTCCCCTTGCTGTGTGTTGGTTCCCCTTGCTGGGTGAGGGTCTCCTTGCTGTGTGAGGGTCTCCTTGCTGGGTGAGGGCTCCCCTTGCTGTGTGAGGGTTCCCCTTGCTGTGTGAGGGTTCCCCTTGCTTGCTGTGTGAGGGTCCCCTTGCTGTGTGAGGGTTCCCCCTTGCTGGGTGATGGTTCCCCTTGCTGTGTGTTGGTTCCCCTTGCTGTGTGTTGGTTCCCCTTGCTGTGTGATGGCTCCCCTTGCTGTGTGAGGGTTCCCCTTGCTGTGTGAGGGTTCCCCTTGCTGTGTGAGGGTCCCCTTGCTGTGTGAGGGTTCCCCTTGCTGTGTGAGGGTTCCCCTTGCTGGGTGATGGTCCCCTTGCTGTGTGTTGGTTCCCCTTGCTGTGTGAGGGTTCCCCTTGCTGTGTGAGGGTTCCCCTTGCTGTGTGAGGGTTCCCCTTGCTGTGTGAGGGTCCCCTTGCTGTGTGAGGGTTCCCCTTGCTGGGTGATGGTCCCCCTTGCTGTGTGATGGCTCCCCTTGCTGTGTGTTGGTTCCCCTTGCTGTGTGTTGGTTCCCCTTGCTGTGTGATGGCTCCCCTTGCTGTGTGATGCTCACCTTGCTGGGTGAGGGTCTCCTTGCTGTGTGAGGGTCTCCTTGCTGTGTGATGCTTACCTTGCTGGGTGAGGGTCTCCTTGCTGTGTGATGGACCCTCCAGGCCGGTTTGGAGGGCTGCTAGTCATTCCCCATGTCACTGTCTGCGCCCTCCCGGCTCCCTGTGACACTCAGTGAGTGAGGTCCCGCTCACACTCAGTACCAGCTGCTGGCAGTGACTGACACCAACTGCTGATTGTTATCACGCACTTCCGCATGCGCTTCCCACAGCTACGGAATCCTCCACGGGCCACACCGTCTGGAAACGCGCATTCCATAACTACGGGTCAACGGATCCAAACTTCCTGAAAAGGCGTTCTCTCAGTATAGACATAAACATGGAGAGCCACAACAGCATGGGATATTGGCATGGCATAGATAGGGATAGCACAATTTTATAGAAATAACAATATAACAGTCTAGATACTCATATCTGAATAGTTAAGTAGAGCTAGCTGAATATGAGAGTATTTGTCTAGCTGGGTGGCAACTTAACTAATTGAGTTAGTTTGGTACATGTGAGACTGAGTAGATATGTGGCTTCAGAGTAGTAGATACTGATTAACATGCTGAAACAAACAAGAAAAAGAAAAAAAGACAAACATTTTAACTGAAATGAGAAGATTTTAAATGGTAACATTGGGAAAACTGTGATGAAGGCTGTCTGACATGGACATAGTGGATCATGGTAGCAGAGGCTGTGATCCACCAGCTCTCAGGATAAAGGTGGTAATTTTAGTGGGATCCCAGGGACTTGGTTGCTGTGGTGATGTGTCTAGATTAGGTAGTCCCAGGGTTCCTAGGAAGGAAGGGGCTTCCCCCATTGAGGCTAGCACATGTGTAACCTTGTTTGGGTTACCTCCAGAGATCCGTTTGTTCCCCATCTGTTGTCCATACCCGCTGTGCGTAACTGCGATGTGACAGGGTCAAAGGACTTTTGCCAGAGGAGAGTGGCTCTCGAGAGCTCTTGAAAGAAGGTTAGAGAGGAATTCTCGAAATTCAAAGTTGTTTTGACCCTTAGTACAGTCAAAATGTGAAGCTTGACAGAGGAGGATCACGTCTCAGACCGCAGGAGACTTGGGCGAATGTAGCTCAGGAGGCGATAAACCCTGTCTATGTTGATTTTCTCTGCCACAGTGTGGGGAAGTATAGTGGCCAGCTGGCACCTGATATAGTGCGGCAACTCTTCGGCTGAAACAGCAGAGGGGATGCTCCGAATTTCAATGTGCGTGCTTCGCTGTCGTTCCTCCATGGTTGCCAGTTTGTGTGATATGATGTTCTGTTGATACTAGATCTATTACACAGTATCATTGAGTGTGGTGAGGTGAATGCGTACATCCACCATATCTTCCTCAGTGACTTTCACCCGATCAGTGACAGTTTGAACCTCTGTCTTGAGGAGGGCTGAGTCAGCTGCTAGGAGCTTATGGATGTCTGCCAGTAAGATTTTTAGGTCACACTTAGTTGTTGGGGTTGAGTCGTCCGAGAGCTCAGGTGGCTGAGGCTGTGAATACTGCGGTGTCAGAGGTTACCTCCGTACCTGTTGTTTTAGGACTGGAGCATGGAGCTCGGCCTGCGTGGCCTGCGCAGCCTCCGTGGATGCGGACTTGGGATGTACAGCCCTTGCAGCATTGATCTAAAGTCTCAGCCTTCAGCCGCCGTTATTATTATTATTATTTTATTATTTATATAGCGCCAACAAATTCCGTAGCGCTCTATTTTCGGATCGGCACCCCATAGCTGGCATATGAGCCGTTAATTCAGGTGGTGCAGGAGCGGGAGGGATCCCAGCTTTAACTGCCAGATTTCCCCACAAGAACTCCATGAGGCCCAGGAGCAAAGGCGTGAGGTAGACCCCAGATTTGCGTTTCCGTTTGCCCAGTTTTCGGCTTGAAAGAAAGGCATCTACTGATGCAGCTTGTTGAGCTGATGCTGACTAGGTAATTTGTGGGTGGGTACCAGAAAATTAGATATCGTGGAGATTAGTTTGGTAGTTCAGGAGCTGAAAGAGATGGCGTCTAGTTAGGTTGATTAGCAAGCTCACCCCCCCCATCTCTTGGTATTGAAAGAGTATTATGGAGGTTCCTCGAGAGGACTACGATTTGCCAGCATCAAACATGCTAATCTTAGACAAAAAAAAGGTGAACCTTGATCGCACCCTTAGAATGCGATATGCAGGCTAAAGACTCTTTTGATAAACCATGGGAAATATATTTATCATTCTGTAATTCTCATTGTTATATTATGGATATTTCTGGTAATCCTCTACTTTTAAAGGGAATGTAGATACTTACCTTATATTTTGAAAAGAGAATATTTTGGTTTCAAGGTTATTCTGTGTATTGTAGGTCTCCAAAGCTAAACCAATAATGATCGCTACTGTTGAGTTGACCCCACAAAAAAAGGTGACACTTCCCAAGTTGCTATAATAAAATGTAACTATTGGGCAATTTCCATTTATCCTCCATAGGAATATTTTATGGGATTTATCTGATTTTACCTATTGAATTTTATTAGGTAGGACTGTTAGGTTAATCTTATGGATTTCCAGGATTAATTATTGTATCTAGATCCATTTGTTATATAATTATATGTTGATGTCTACCATTGATTACTAATAGGGTCTTTGAGATTCGGAAGAGGACGTCTGATTTTTGGTATATTCTAAATAGGTATATTCAATTTAGGGAAGATATTGATCCCCGTATATTGATAATTGGGGAACATATAAATAGTAGAGGTATCAATATGATATGAATGATACTCCACAATTATTCTTGTGTCAATTCCTCAATATCATATATGTGACAGACTCTTTAGTAACCTAAAATCCTTACACTTACCCTTAATATAGTCTAAGTAGGTAGACCAGTGCACATCGGGATAAATTTAGCCCTTTCTTGAGAGGGATAGTCAGAGTGTCTCAGAGGAACTGTAACTCTGTTTAACATTAAAGGGATATACATTGGAAACAGAGAATCACAATACGACGTTGAACTGATATCCAATGGTGCCTTTTATCCTACATCAGTAGTCTCCCCCTTTTTCCTCCACAATTTGAGCTCACTGCCATTGAACTGAACCCTGGATGGGAGGGCTACTTAAACCACCTTATTGACTCATATTTTCCCATGACATCAGGATTCAATCCATAGGGGGGCACAATTGAGGGGCCAAATCTTAGTTCTCCCCTGTTCACCACCGCTTATAACACATCCCACTTAATAAAGGTGACGTTCTTAGGGGGTGGCTTATTCATACAGACATACAGAGTAATGCAAGTATTGGGAAGAAGGGGCATGAATTAGAGATGAAACCATACATCCCCTTCTCTCTTTTTCCCCATCCCATTCCTCCCCTATCTCGCAATCCAAACTCAATGATACACATTTACCTGTGACAAGCTTTGGATATTATTTGTGGCTATGGCTATTCTAGGAGATAAGAGAAGAGGGACGTAATGTGGCTCCACCAGCAATGTTAAAGTTCACACCAACACAGTTCTTTGTGAGGAGGCAAGTCGTTTTCTTTAAAATATATTTCCCTTTAATAAGATGCTAATGCTCACTCAGAAAGTGCCTTTTACCTCCCTCCCCATAAAGCTGAGCACAATGAACGTATTATAAAGCTGATAATCCTCGGATTTGGAGCAAATGACATCACCCTTCGAGTTACAGTAATCGCTGGCGACTCTCTAAACTAGTTTAAAATCCTGAAATAAGTCTCACAGGATTATTCACTGAACCTGGAGCTGACTGATGAATGACACATTTCAATCCAATTTTGGTGATCTGAAAACATAACTGTTTTAGGGAATTTTTCAGTTTTTTATATTTTGGTTAAATGTAAAATTAATTTTAGGGAATAACCAGTATTTATGTAGCGAGTATCGTTTCTGTCCTGATACATTGCTGTGTAATACAAGATCAGAGTATTAGTCAATATGGACACCACTCTCTTGTATTATCTGGTATACATATGTATGCAGCACTTAGAGGAAACCATTTCAGTGAATTTTAATGTGTCAAATATCGTACATGACACCTATCAGAGATCAATGTTTCAACACTGCAGAGCCTTAATCTAGATCTTTCTTGGTTTATACTAGGGTTCGGTGAATTATCGGTTGGGCCAATAAAATATTCAGCAAATTGGCAATAATTGGTATCAGTTTACAATGATACTGATATAACTTACACCCGTGGCTACTAGCGGAGATAGTATGGGGTGGCATTCATAATACAGAGGGGGAGGCCCAGCACATGCACAGCCTCTCTCTCCTCTCATGGGTTACCTAAGACATACTTCCCAATGAGAAGCATTTTATTCGGTGATTGCTTCAATCACTGCATTTGATTTGTACAAGTGCCAATTTTGTCTGACATGGAGGGATATTGTTGTCACTAACAGTCTCCTGCGCACAGAAAGAGAGAACTCACTGCAGGAGAAAAAGGTGAGTTAATATGAGTCATATTATTTGTGTATGTGGCATTAATATGGTTAAAGCAGTGGTTCCCAAACCAGTTCTCCCCCCTCCTACCAGTCCAGGATTTAGAGATTACTTAGGTATGTCTAAAGGTGTTATAAGAAAAAAGCCCAAAAGACCGTAGACACAACTGGGTAATCCCTAAATCCTGGACTGTTGGGAGGACGCGAGGACTAGTTTAGAACCACTTGGTTAAAGGGACACCGTAGGCACTGTATCTGCTTCATCTCATTAAACTGGTTATAGTGTCTGGAGTCCCCTGGTACAATCATTTCTTTCAGCATTAAACAGTTTTTTAATATTTTAATGCTAAACAAGAGTCCACGGCAGTCTATGCCCTCTGTGCTGCTTTGGCTAATAAAGAAGTATTACCCTGAGAGGCAATGGGCAGCTGTGATTGGCTGAAAGTGTCAGCTGACTGCTTTTAACCTGTCAGAGCTCCAACTGACAGTATGAATGGGTATGACAACAAGGAAGTGTGTAATCTCTGCCTTTGCTACACATACAGAAGGGGCCGGACTGTGGGTGGCCAGGGACTCTTATTTTGTGGTATACTGCACAAACATGGTGCAATACTGAATGGAGGGACAGTGCCAGGCCACTCCAGGCATTATAACCAATTCAAAGAGACAAAGTGGTTATAGTAACTACAGTGTCCCTTTAATATAACACATTTAAACCGAATATCAGTAAGTGTTCCTTAAACAGATTGTATCTGCTGCAAGCATTATAGAGCATTTTACCACTAGATGGCACTGTTACTGTTCATAACACACTAAACAGAGCTCTGTATTGACATCAGCTAACTATGATATGACCAAACAGGAGTTTTTTTTCCCAAACTCTTACTATTTTGACCCATATTTTGGAAGTCGGCAGAAGATGCTAAAAGGTTGTCTATTAAAGTCAAAATTCAAAGTTAATTTCAAATTCAAGGCCAGAGTAGCCAAACTGAACTAGCTGACTTAGAGAACTTTTTGGCTATTTTCACCCTAAATTTTAAATTCATTTTGAATTCTCACTTAAGATAATAACCCTGTGAGAGATGAAAAGGAAAGTCATATTCTGAGCTGTTTGAGTCGCAGTAATTACATGTTAACGACAAAAGATTCTGCGGTGACATTTTAGCAAATTAAATTTAATTAAACAGCAGTAGATATTTTTTTCTAATTTTTACATTTTATTGATGTTTTAACAAATTTGTGGTTTTCTTTGAGTGCATACTATTTATTTACAGATTTCTGAAAATAATTATCTGTTTGCACTATCACTATACATTTATACAGTACCATATATCACTATCACTATGCAATGTCTCCCATCATTATGTCGCTACAATTCCTACACAATGGACACTATCTGCGATTCCCTGATAATAAGGCACTAATGAAAGGAACCATCTAAGGATCATAATAGCAAGTAATTAAGGCTAAGATGTCTATTCGCTAATAAGTTATTTTGCATCAGATGCAAAATTTAGGCTGGAAAAAAAAGCTTGGAAATTGTTACTTTGGTTAATGAACGAATTGTTCATCATATGATCTCTAGCACTGAATTTAGAAATGATTTGAAAAGTGAAAATGCCCCCTAGTGCAAAATGTGTAAAAGTTCCCAAACTCTAATAAAATCTCCCCCTTTTTGTTACTTTGTTGCTCTCTCTTCGCATTTTAAACTTCTTGCTCCCATCTTCTTGGCAGAGCACTTTAGCCTCTAGTTCTTTCATCGTCTACTTTTTCTCTTCCAATTATACTCTATGCTTCCCTTATCTCCTTTAAAAAAAAAGTTAAAAATATCAGTAAGTGCGCATGCACATGCCTCTTGTATTGCAACAAGATTGTGAATTGTACTGCGTGTGTTTTTGTTGCTGTCTGACTTTAAATTAAAAAAAAAAAAATTTAAATCTCACTTTTCTCAATTTGTTCCATCTTACTTTCTTTACTCTCATCCAGGAGTTCCGTGTATCGTTCTAATAAATGCTCCTTTAAAATGAACCACTTTCTATATAACACCACCACTCTCTTTGAATTCACCCTACTTTTCTTTAATTTCACTTCCCTTTCTCTATCTTTCTATTTTCACTTCCTTTATCTGTCTCTAACTTACATACTAGGTCCATCATCTACTGCTCCACTCCTAGTACCTACCATCTCAAATCACTCTATGCCAGTTCTATATCTGTACCATGTCTGACACATACAGCAGTTATCTTCTTCCTCAACATATCAATTCCAATTTCCAATTACTTCTCCTGCTTATTACTTGTCTCCATATGCCAACAATATTCAATATCAGCATACCTATATCTCCAATCAGGACTACCTGCCCCACCAACGTTCTCCCTTTATGTTTACTGCCTCCTACTTAATCAATGGCAAAGCACTCTACGTTGAAGGTGATACGGTAGGGCTTTTGTCACTTGTCCCTAGTTCTCCAAGAACAATTATCTCCTGCCTCTAACTGACAGAAACATCATCGTATAGGCTAACCATGACTGGTCATAGATGTTCTGAAAAAGCATTTATAGGATATTTAAATACATACTTCTAATCTATAAATAAAATATGTTTACTACCATGCTAGGGCTTTCTATCTAAATTCAGAGTCATTGTCTGTGTGACAAAATATATATCAATTTAACTTATGTAATTATACTCGGAAACCAACTTGAGTTTAAGGAGCAAGGTGGTAAAAGAAGAAGTTTTAATATGTAATTGATAGAAAGAAAGAGGAACACAGAATAAGCTGGTTGATGAGATGCAACAGGGTCAGTAGCAAAGAACTGGTAGCAGTAGGAGGTAAGGTGGATCTGAATAGAGGATAAGGCTGATGGTAAATAAAGTGAGTAGGATAGGAGATGATGTTTGAGTTAAAAAAAATTACAAAAGAGTAACTTAGAGGTAAAATGAAGAGGAAAATGGTAAACAGGAAAGAAAGAGTTGGAGATTAGGTGAAAGAAGAAACAAAATAGAAATAGGGTGATGGATGAGGGGGAAATGTAATTGGGAGTGATAAACAAAATGTAATTTGTAAGGTTAAAAGAGAATTATGGAAAACAAATGAGACAGTAGGCTGATAGAAAATGTTGAAAATAGAAATTTGCAGCAATGTTCTAAACATGGAGCAATGGAATGGAAAACAAAATAAACATTCCACAGACTTTCATGTTGATTGCTCAACTTTTAGAACTCAGAACCACTTTTCTATATCACTTTCATACCTCTCCAGAAAATTGTATTAGAGACATTTCTAAAATGTCATGCATTAATGACTATATCAGAACGTAATGAGAAAAATTAATCTTATAACACATCTTGTCTTAAAAGTGTCCCTCTAATCCACGACTAATGACAAGGTCATGAAATGGAAGTATTCTTTAGTTCATTTTTTCTATGTTACATTGATGTTTCATCTGTTCATCAATGCCATCTTCTGCTGAGCATTTAAATACAAGCGTCAAATCCTGACCAACATGTATTACAATTGGAAACAAAATATGCTCTGGAGAAAACAAATAAAGTGGACACTGAGGTCACTTTGTCTAGTGTCAGAGTTCAAATATTTGTTTTAATGTGTTACATATAAACCAAGTTTTCTAGCAGTTTCCGATATGCGAGGAGTTTTCTTCTGAGGGAAAGGATAGTAGAAGACTTTATCAGTGGTAGATGTTAACTTTGAGGAAGGAAGGTGATGTTGTGCCCATGTTGTGGGCAGTGTGTGTTTTAATGAGGCTTTCCTGTTGAAATCATTAACAGGTGTACTTTCTAGAGAATAGCTTCTTTGTTTCTTTTCTTTTATGAGGATGTCTGCCTCGGTGGACGGCTCTTCATAACTCATGAGCCTGCAAAATCTGAGCCTTTTATTTTCAATGTTAATGTTGTGCTCAGGTTCTGAGGTCCCATTTTCTAAATTAAAGTGGCAGTCTAGCTGTGCCATGCGATGGATGTTTAGGTGTGTGTGCCATGAGCCATTACGATCATTCAGGTAATTTTTATTCTGCACTTCCAGAGTGACATCTCTAACAGGGATCTGTTCCTTAAAAGGTTTTGGTTTCCTAATGGTCTTATTTACAGCAACTGTGTTCATGAACTGTTCTCCTGACATTAATTCATTTTCACCTGCAAATGTGTAAAAAAAAAAAAGAAAAACAAACAAATGTGAACAATTATCGTCAACAGGAAGTAAGAACTCTAAAATGTATCCCAAAAATATGAGCAATCAGCTTTCTCACTGTCACTACACAGCAATGATAATATAATTAGAATATTTCATATTTTGCTCTAATCAGAAATTTAAAAGAAACACAGATTAGTTAAAAGATATTATAGGGGTTTAGAAACAAAAAAATGGAAAAATAACAAAATATCTGAGTTAGAAAAAATTCACCCTTGTTACTTTATCAATTTGTTACCACTACATCTTATCTGCTAATGGTGTCACAGAATTCATTAAAAAAAAAGCAACCAGGGAGAACGCAGCATTGAGACTGAGACCATGTCCTCCTGGCTTGGAATTGTGGGAAATGCAGTCTGTAACAACTAGGGAGTTGAAGGTGAATCTTTACTGCTCTAGGGCGCTCTTGCACATGTCTTCTGCTATGATTCTCCCAAGGTGCCTCACAGACAAAGGTGGCAGAACTTCAAATGCAGTGAATTACAAAGAGGAGAGGGTCCTGGCACTCAAAGGTTAATCCAATGCAGCTTTTATTGGAAAGGGATTCTTAGTGTGAGGAATAACAAGCTGTATTCCTAACACTATAGTGCCTCGTGTATTCCTTCCCTCGAGGTGTCCCTCTTCCCCTGCCCCCCGTGAAACATAAAGGGTTAAAGACCATTTGTTTACTCACCTGATTCCAGCACCAATCTCCCTTGATGCTAGGTTGGTGCCCTGCCTTGTCCGACATCATCGATAGGGGTATCTAATGCACATGCATGGCGCCCTTCCTATAGAAAAGTATTTGACTGAAGCTGCATGTACTCATGCAGAGCGTGGGGTTGTCCAGCCTTTTGTAGGGGACCCAGAGTCTGTTAAACTCCCAGACATTGCAGTTTTAGTCCTGCAATGTAATCATTGTAATTTTTCTAAAACTGCCATGTTTTACATTGCAGGACTAAGGGGAACAAGGACACTGCACCCAGACCCAGGGACGTATTAGCCACTTGCCTTGGGCGGCATTTTTCAGGGGGCGGCAAAAAACGCCGCCCCCCAAATGCCCAGGGCAAATGCCTAGTTAGCCTTGCGGCTAACAGACATGCTGGGCTGGCGGGTGGCGCTGGCTGATGGTCGGGCGGGCCGCGAGGGAGCTCTTCCTCTGAGCAGAGTGCGCAGAGGAAGTGCTCCCTCGCCAGCCGCCCGCCCAGTAGCCAGCCCATCAGCCCGACTGGCAGCCACTGGACCACCAGGGAGAAAGAGGAACCCCCCCCAGAACTCCCAAAGGTAAGGAGGGGGGGAGTTAAGTTAAAAAATGTGAGTGATTATGTGTGTCTGACTGTGTGTTTGTGTGTGACTCTGTGTGTGTGTGTGTGTGTTTGTGTGTGACTCTGTGTGTGTGTGTGTTTGTGTCTGACTGTGTGTGTGTCTGACTGTGTGTGTGTCTGACTGTGTGTGTGTGTGTGTGTGTGTATGTTTGTGTCTGACTGTGTGTGTGTTTGTGTCTGACTGTGTGTGTGTTTGTGTCTGACTGTGTGTGTTTGACTGTGTGTGTGTGTGTCTGACTGTGTGTGTGTGTGTGTGTATTTTGAAGGTGAGGTGGGGGGGAAGGGTTGGGTGGGGGTGTCTGAGTTTTGTCCTGCCTAGGGCAGCACAAAACCAGGATACACCACTGCCCAGACCACTTCAATAAGATGAAGTGGTCTGGGCGCCATTAGTGTCCCTTCAAAGAGTCTTTATCATGCCATCGTGTTATGGCTTGATAAAGACTCATTTGAGTGGAAAAGTTGCCTTGTCGTTACATAACCTTGAGAACAATAAGGCATTGGGAAACCGGGACCACTGTCTTATGCGTTTCATGCGTTTAGCACTTTATGAATAACGTGCTAAACGCATGAAACACATAATGAAACCTTAAAGGACCACTATAGTGCCAGGAAAACCTACTCGTTTTCCTGGCACTATAGTGCCCTGAGGGTGCCCCCACCCTCATGGCCCCCCTCCCACCGGGCTCTAGGGGGTGGAAGGGGTTAAACTTACCTCTTTCTCCAGCGCCGGGCGGGGGACTCTCCTCCTCCTCTCCTCCCTCTTCTTCCGTCACCGGCTGAATGCGCATGCGCGGCAAGAGCCGCGCGCGCATTCAGTCAGCCCATAGGAAAGCATTCACAATGCTTTCCTATGGACGCTGGCGTCTTCTCACTGTGAAAATCATGTGTTATGGCTTGATAAAGACTCATTTGAGTGGAAAAGTTGCCTTGTCGTTACATAACCTTGAGAACAATAAGGCATTGGGAAACCGGGACCACTGTCTTATGCGTTTCATGCGTTTAGCACTTTATGAATAACGTGCTAAACGCATGAAACACATAATGAAACCTTAAAGGACCACTATAGTGCCAGGAAAACCTACTCGTTTTCCTGGCACTATAGTGCCCTGAGGGTGCCCCCACCCTCATGGCTCCCCTCCCACCGGGCTCTAGGGGATGGAAGGGGTTAAACTTACCTCTTTCTCCAGCGCTGGGCGGGGGACTCTCCTCCTCCTCTCCTCCCTCTTCTTCCGTCACCGGCTGAATGCGCATGCGCGGCAAGAGCCGCGCGCGCATTCAGTCAGCCCATAGGAAAGCATTCACAATGCTTTCCTATGGACGCTGGCGTCTTCTCACTGTGAAAATCATGTGTTATGGCTTGATAAAGACTCATTTGAGTGGAAAAGTTGCCTTGTCGTTACATAACCTTGAGAACAATAAGGCATTGGGAAACCGGGACCACTGTCTTATGCGTTTCATGCGTTTAGCACTTTATGAATAACGTGCTAAACGCATGAAACACATAATGAAACCTTAAAGGACCACTATAGTGCCAGGAAAACCTACTCGTTTTCCTGGCACTATAGTGCCCTGAGGGTGCCCCCACCCTCATGGCCCCCCTCCCACCGGGCTCTAGGGGGTGGAAGGGGTTAAACTTACCTCTTTCTCCAGCGCCGGGCGGGGGACTCTCCTCCTCCTCTCCTCCCTCTTCTTCCGTCACCGGCTGAATGCGCATGCGCGGCAAGAGCCGCGCGCGCATTCAGTCAGCCCATAGGAAAGCATTCACAATGCTTTCCTATGGACGCTGGCGTCTTCTCACTGTGAAAATCACAGTGAGAAGCGCGGAAGCCCTCTAGCGGCTGTCAATGAGACAGCCACTAGAGGCTGGATTAACCCATAGGTAAACATAGCGGTTTCTCTGAAACTGCTATGTTTATAGAAAAAAGGGTTAACCCTAGCTGGACCTGGCACCCAGACCACTTCATTAAGCTGAAGTGGTCTTGGTGCCTATAGTGGTCCTTTAATCTAAAGTTTTTGTATTTTAAAATAAAGCATACTGCAATTTAATTTTTCTTGTATGGTGATGCTATGTTTATTTGTCATTCCCTGTGTGGGGTCTGACTAATATGTACATCTTGATCATTTCATTGCTGCACCTTTAATACAAACCACGAGGACCACGCCATAATTAAAGTGTGAGACTGATGTTACCCTTGGAGTCTGAATTCATACCCTTAAATACAAGTCCAGAGGGGATCACTGTCTCCCCACTGCACTTAGATTCTTCACCCTCTTCTTCTGGTTCACTCAATCTCCCTGAAAATGATTTATTAATGAATAATTTAATTCAAAATATTTATAATTATGAGCAAAAAACAAAAAGGAGAAGGAATACAATTGTGCTGACAATAAAATTATAGGTATTTGAATAAGTAAAAAAAACATTTCTTCATAAAAATAATTACAAAATAATCCAGGAGACAAGACACACCAAGCGAGCACTAAAAACCCATTTTATACGCTGACTTTGTAAAATAAAATATCACCATGGATGTAGATGGCCACCTCTCCTAAAATATATGCAATTGTTACAGTAATCCCATTGTGCTCCATGTATCAGTATATCCATTTGCTATGTTCACACAGAAAAAAAACCTTGTTTAAACTCCCCAAATATTTGGGTTTATTTGTCAATTTGCATTGCATAATACGTTAGCAGTTTAGAAGCCAATTAAAAGATTATTGTATTTGACTGATTGTGTAATGCTATGGATGCCTGGACAATGCACTGCTTAACCCTCTAGCACTCAAAAGGTTAAGCTTGTTCTAATATAATGGAAGTGAATACATTATCTGGGGCCGGAATTCTCTTACTGTTGTCTTGCATATAATGTGAATGCGGGATAAATATTCACACACATGGTTAATTTGAGCCTATTTGCCAAGCTGGTTTGCTTCTTATTCTTGAATTGAATGAACTAACTTTGTATACGTGGCATGGGATTGTGGGTTTGGGGCAATGCCATTGGCTGGATTAAAGGAAGGGAAGTATGCTTGTCCAGTTAACTGTTTCTAGGTAAATTATGAGCATCCAATCTCACATTCACACATACAGTCCTTATAATAAGATATTTCACGTCATTAAAATGTCATTAAAGTAAGACGTTTATAAGAGATATATAGTTATACTATTAAACATGTGATTTATATAATTATAATATTAAAGGACCACTATAGTGCCAGGAAAACATACTCGTTTTCTTGGCACTATAGTGCCCTGAGGGTACCCCCACCCTCAGGGTCCCCCTCCCGCCCGGCTCTGGGGAGAGGAAAGGGGTTAAACTTACCTTTTTTCCAGCGCCGGGCGGGGAGCACTCCTCCTTCTCTCCTCCCTCTTCTCCTCCTCTTCGGCTGAATGCGCATGCGCAGCAGGAGCTGCGCACGCATTCAGCCAGTCTCATAGGAAAGCATTCATAATCCTTTCCTATGGACGCTGGCGTCTTCTCACTCTGAAAATCACAGTGAGAAGCGCGGAAGCCCTCTAGCGGCTGTCAATGAGACAGCCACTAGAGGCTGGATTAACCCTAACATAAACATAGCAGTTTCTCTGAAACTGCTATGTTTATAAAAAAAAATGGGTTAACCCTAGCTGGACCAGGCAAACAGACCACTTCATTAAGCTGAAGTTGTCTGGGTGCCTATAGTGGTCCTTTAAAGTGTAATATTGCTTCATTAAATAATACAATTAGATATATTATCATCGTATAACCAATAATATTAATTCACTATTATATAATGTTGTCATTATACGATCATAGTATAAACCATTCTATTTCTTCATTAGACTGTAATGTGAATAAGAGGAGACGTAAAAAGAGTTCTAATGTTTAAATAGAAAATGATGTACATATGGTATTGGTCACCACTGAAGGGGCACACGGGATTGTGAGTACTATCTGACACTTTTCTAATTTGCTTGAGCAAGTTAATGTGTTTTTGTTTTTTATAGTTTGTAAACTGTATGTTCTAGCCAAGGAGACAGGGACGGCAACCTTTGGCCCTCCAGATGTTGTGGACTTCATATCCCCTGATGCTTTGCATGCATTATGGTTGTAAGAGCATTATGGGAATTTAGTCCACAACATCTGGAATGCTGAACGACTCCTACCCCTGTTCTAGGAACTTCCCCTGTTCTAGGATGTTTTTGTTTTTAGAGGACTTTCAGCCAGAAACTAGGAGTCCCAAACCACATTTATCACCTAGAGTTTCCTCAACATTTCTATGTATATTGGCCAGCTCTGCCAAACGCTAAGCAATGTAACCGCACCCAGAGCTGCCTAATCTGACCAGCCTGCCAAGTTCCGCCTAATGTATCATTGTGCCCAGTCATGCAATATTAAAAACCAGCCTTGTACAGTTAAGCAGGCAGCCTGTCTGGTTTTTATACAGCTGTTGCTCCATCTGGCCAGCGTGAGCAAACGATGGACCTTCTGAAGAGTGGGGGAACATTCAGTCAGACATCATACCTCACCCCAATATAATTGCAGGGCTTCCTTGGAAATGTCACAGTCACAAACAATACTTCAGGTTCTCTGACGCCTTTGTTGGTTGTGTTTTGCATGTGCCTTTATCATCAGTCAGACTTAGTCCATCTGGTACCAGTGCCCCTGCTAAGGTTTACATTATTGACAGTGGTATTACTAAATAAAACACCAGATTTAAGACTATATTCCCTGTTGGTTGGATGAAGGACTATTTGGCCCCATCACTTATCTGCCTTTACCATAGACATAGCTCTATTATATTCTGTGTGTATGTCAACTATCAGTGTTTTTGAGTTTCATCTATATTTAAGCCTGAAATAGCAGCAAATTCCGGTTTTAGGAAACAACCTCCATCCTGTTCCAGTGCTACAAGGACATTTCCACAAGGACATATATATTAGTAAATTATTAGTTTGTATTTAATGAAGGCGTTCAGTTTTACTTAAAGGGACAATCCACTGCCCGAATACAAAAATAAAATTCACAGTTTAGTAGATATAACTCCAACGAAAACATACATTTTATTGGTGGATAGGGTTGTATCTAAAGACAGCTTGCAAAAGCTGCAAATCTTGCAAGCCCCCACCTTCTTCAACAGCCCAGACATTCTGTGAATTTAGCTCCACTGTACTAACGAAACCAGGAAGTAACAGGACCAGTTGACTGTTTGACAGCCAGGGGGTGTAACCAGGTTAATTTAAAAAAAGTGACATTTCTATGGATGCCTGCACTTTTTGCAAAATTAAAAAAGAATAAAAAGGATACACTCTTCACACATAAAGCACTTTAGTAAACTGAAGCTCTTCAGGAGTCCGGAGTGTCCCTTTAAGACTTGCAGTCTTTTATTAGCTAAACATCGGTTTAGTGAATAACTATATCTACCATAAATGGTCAGCCTGAAACCCATAGCTTGCTGGTAAAACAGGTAGCATTCTCCCAGCATTACCCAAACCCAGAGTCATCCGTTAGACTGCCAGATAGTGATGCATGATTCGAAACCTAGAAAATGTTCTACTGCCTCTGGGTCCAGTCACAATAAGCTTTACCCTGATTCATTGTGTCTGCTACCAGATACAGTCTGGAACTCAGCAGTGACCAGTGTCATCATCTAGATGATTTTCTTCACATTATGTGTTTCATATTTTGGTCGTTTCTGTATATGATGTCACAGCTCAGCTGTTATTGCCCCTACATATTTACCCTTCCTAACAACAGCATCTTCAGCTGATTGGGGCTGCTTTAGAAAGGCTGACTAATTGGAAAGGTTCCATTAAATGGTAGTGCAACATGGCATTGAATCGTGTATAAAAAATTACATTGTTTTGCTGCAGTATAAATAAGCCCATATATAGGTTCTCCTGGACCTAAGCAGTTAATGACATAACTCAATTCTAATGCACACAGCAATAGCTGGACTCTGGCCAAGGAAGCAAACAAACTATGAAATCATCGAACAAAACGCCCCATGTCCACTGAGTCAATATTAAATCAATGAGTGCTTTGATGGTTTACTTTAGAATTTAAAGAGTGTAATTTGCAAACTGGAGATAGTTAAAAGCTGTTTTCAATGCCCTCTGTCTTCAGTACATACGTTAAAAATAGGTTTTAAATAGAACTTTATCACTGTTTAGATGTTCAAAGCGGAACATATTCTGGAATTGTCCCTTGGCATTGGTTTTCTCAGTCCTTTAGGTGAGGAAAAGCTATGTACAGATTGCCTACCTCTTAGAGATAGGTATACATTGGCAAAATGTCTTAGCCTGGTAGTCATACAGGCCAAAATATCATCGACCCAGTTTAACCAATTCCCTGACTTTGCTATATTAATGTCCCTACAAAGTATTGCCGGTTCTCTGTTAAAGTAAAGTTAATCTCTGAGTATTTTACAATTATAGTTCCAGTTAGTAGCTATACTTTGATAAATACCTTTTTAGAAGCTTATAATATGAATTTGCTTCTTGACCCCGATATTTTGGCTCAATCTACTCTGGTATTGTTTTCGTTTGAACACAGTTCACTTGGACGCAGTGGGGTTATGTACACAAAGTTACTTTGGGACAAGGTTCCAAACTTGAGTCAATAATCTTGGAAACAAACTGAAAGTACCTGCTGAACTATTTATATGCTATAGATTTGTTCTGTAGCATATAAAAATACACCGCCTTGCCAAAAAAAAAGTCACCACCTGGATTTAACTAAGCAAATAGGTAAGGGCCTCCTATTGGATAGTTACTGCATGGGCGATTATCTTTCAGCTGGCAACAAGTTATTTAACCCAAACTGATGCAATGAGTAGCTTCTCATTTTTTAAACAACCATGTCGAAAGACACATCCCGTGGTCATGGAAAAGATGTTAGTCTGTTTGAGAAGGGTCAAATCATTGGCATGCATCAAGCAGAGAAAACATCTAAGGAGATTGCAGAAACTACTAAAATTGGGTTAAGAAATGTCCAACGCATTATTAAAAACTGGAAGGATAGTGGGATACCATCTTCGAGGGAGAAATGTGGTTGGAACAAAATCAAATAATAGAAAAACAACAGTAGAACTCAGGGCTATGTTTAATAGTGAAAGTAAGAGCATTTCCACACGCACAACGCGAAGGGAACTCAAGGGATTGGGACTGAACAGCTGTGAAGCCTTAAGAAAACCACTAATCAGTGAGGCTAATTGGAAAAAAAATGCTTCAATTTGCTAGGGAGCATAAAGATTGGACTCATGAACAATGGAAGGAAGTCATGTGGTCTGATAAGTCCAGATTTACCCTGTTCCAGAGTGATGGGTGCATCAGGGTAAGAAGAGAGGCAGATGAAGTGATGCACCCATCATGCCTAGTGCCTACTGTACAAGCCTGTGGGGGAAGTGCTATGATCTGGGGTTGCTGCAGTTGGTCAGGTCTGGGTTCAGCAACATTATGTGCCAAAAGAACGAGGTCAGTTGACTACCTGAATATACTGAATTCCATCAATGGAGTTTTTCTTCCCTGATGGCACAGGCATATTCCAAGATGAAAATGCCAGGATTCATCGGGCTCAAATTGTGACATTGTGCCACCACAGAGTCCAGACCCTAACCCCATTGAGAATCTTTGGGATGCGCTGGAGAAGGTTTTGCAAAGTGGTCCGACTCTCTCATCATCAATACATCTTGGTGAAAAATTAATGCAACACTTGACGGAAATAAATCTTGTGACAAAGCTTATCGAAACAATGCCACAGTGAATGCGTTCCGTAATCAAAGCTAAAGGCGGTCCAACAAAATCTTAGAGTGTGTGACCTTTTCTTTTGGTAGTGACTTTTTTTTGGCCAGGCAGTGTATGTCGGGCAAAATATTCAGAAGACGTTTCTGCATGTGAAAGGATTTTAATTTGCACTTGGTAAAGCAGAACTGGAAGTAATCAATTTAAACATCTAAATTGCAGAACATGTAGTGAGACAATAATTAGATTGTTTCAGAAAATTGTCAATAAGTTACCAATAAAATCAGAACTGCCCATAGCCAGTTTATCACTAAGAAGGGGGTTAAGAGACACACAAAGTTTAAGTGGACGGGAGTTAAGAGACACACAGAGAGTTATACAAGCGGTAAGGGCAGTTTGGAGACACACAAGGGAGTAATTGGGGCTAAGAGACACACGAAAAGGGTAAGGGGTTCAGGAGAGGCACACAATAGGGAGTAAGAAGATACACACAAATGGATGAAAGAGGTGCAATTCTGGGAGTGCAAACACGCAATTCTGCCACACGTGCCCATGACATAACACATTATATATTACTTGGTACTGACCTTAGACCTATCACATTTTACAGGACGTTAATAAATGAAAGCATGTACCTGATAAAGAAAACTAATAAAGTAAACTAAATCACTGATTAGCTATAACAAAACAAAAACTTTGAAGGTTACTCAGAATGCCCGGTTAGTTTATGTTTCTGGATTTAATTATTTGCTCAAGATTAAGTTATCCCGGCTCGAAAGATAGAGAGATGAAATATTGTGAGTTAAACTATAAATAAACACAACCGCCTGAGCTACTTGGGCAGCCCCCAATTTAAACTGCCAAATCAAACAAGGAAGCAGCAGCTAAATGCAAGGGGGTGATAATTGCAAACACAGCACATACACATATGGCACTGGAATATAGTCATCTCACAAACAGGTAGAAAAAACATATTTTTGGATTCATCAAAACACTGAGTTTGATTGCAGAAGATAATTTCCAAATTTAGTCAGCTTGTTGTAAAGAAGCAATGGGACAGTTTCTGCTGCTGGCATATGTCCTTTGTCAGTGTCTCCATGCACACAGTGTATTGGTATAACTTGGTATATGGTGAAAGGGGGTCACCTGTCCCTGTGTCCCCACACACGTTGTATTATAAATGCAGCTGTAAGGTTATGGGTTATGGAGTAAGGAGGTCCCCTGTCCCTGTCTCCCCTCACACAGTGTATTATAACTGCAGCTATAATTTTATGGAGTAAGGAGGTCCCCTGTCCCTGTGTCCCCTCACACAGTGTATTATAACTGCAGCTATAAGGTTATGGTGTACGGAGGTCCCCTGTCTCCCCGCACATAGTGTATTATAACTGCAGCTATAAGGTTATGGTGTAAGGATGTCCCCTGTCTCCCCTCACACAGTGTATTATAACTGCAGCTATAATTTTATGGAGTAAGGAGGTCCCCTGTCCCTGTGTCCCCTCACACAGTGTATTATAACTGCAGCTATAAGGTTATGGTGTACGGAGGTCCCCTGTCTCCCCGCACATAGTGTATTATAACTGCAGCTATAAGGTTATGGTGTTAGGAGGTCCCCTGTCTCCCCGAACACAGTGTATTATAGACAGTTATAAGGTTATAGTGTAAGGAGATCCCCTGTCTCCCGTACATGGTGTATTATAGACAGTTATAAGGTTATAGTGTAAGGAGATCCCCTGTCTCCCCGTACATGGTGTATTATAGACAGTTATAAGGTTATGGTGTAAGGAGATCCCCTGTCTCCCCGCACAGTGTATTATAGACAGTTATAAGGTTATAGTGTAAGGAGATCCCCTATCTCCCTGCACACAGTGTATTATAGACAGCTATAAGGTTATGGTGTGAGGAGATACCCTGTCTCCCTACACAGTGTATTATAACTGCAGCTATAAGGTTATGGTGTAAGGAGGTCCCCTGTCTCCCCGCACACAGTGTATTATAGACAGTTATAAGGTTATAGTGTAAGGAGATCCCCTGTCTCCCTGTACATGGTGTATTATAGACAGTTTTAAGGTTATGGTTTAAGGAGATCCCCTGTCTCCCCATACATGGTGTATTATAGACAGTTATAATGTTATGGTGTAAGGAGATCCCCTGTCTCCCCACACAGTGTATTATAACTGCAGCTATAAGGTTATGGTGTAAGTAGATCCCCTGTCTCACCACACAGTGTATTATAACTGCAGCTATAAGGTTATAGTGTAAGGAGATACCCTGTCTCCCCCCACAGACAGTGTATTATAGACAGTTATAAGGTTATAGTGTAAGGAGATCCCCTGTCTCCCCGCAGACAGTGTATTATTGACAGTTATAAGGTTATAGTGTAAGGAGGTCCCCTGTCTCCCTATACACAGTGAATTATAGACAGTTATAAGGTTATAGTGTAAGGAGATCCCCTGTCTCCCCGTACATGGTGTATAATAGACAGTTATAAGGTTATGGTGTAAGGACATCCCCTGTCTCCCTGTACATGGTGTATTATAGACAGTTATAAGATTATAGTGTAAGGAGATCCCCTGTCTCCCTCACATGGTGTATTATAGACAGTTATAAGGTTATAGTGAAAGGAGATCCCCTGTCTCCCCGTACATGGTGTATTATAGACAGTTATAATGTTATGGTGTAAGGAGATCCCCTGTCTCCCCACACAGTGCATTATAACTGCAGCTATAAGGTTATGGTGTAAGGAGGTCCCCTGTCTCCCTGCACACAGTGTATTATAGACAGTTATAAGGTTATAGTGTAAGGAGATCCCCTGTCTCCCGTACATGGTGTATTATAGACAGTTATAAGGTTATAGTGAAAGGAGATCCCCTGTCTCCCTGTACATGGTGTATTATAGACAGTTATAAGGTTATGGTGTAAGGAGATCCCCTGTCTCCCCACACAGTGCATTATAACTGCAGCTATAAGGTTATGGTGTAAGGAGATCCCCTGTCTCCCCACACAGTGTATTATAACTGCAGCTATAAGGTTATGGTGTAAGGAGATCCCCCGTCTCCCCCTGCAGACATTGTATTATAGACAGTTATAAGGTTATAGTGTAAGGAGACCCCCTGTCTCCCCGTACATGGTGCATTATAGACAGTTAGAATGTTATAGTGTAAGGAGACCCCCTGTCTCCCCGTACATGGTGCATTATAGACAGTTAGAATGTTATAGTGTAAGGAGATCCCCTGTCTCCCAAACCGGTGTATTATAGACAGTTATAAGATTATGGTGTAAGGAGATCCCCTGTCTCCCCGCAGACAGTGTATTATAGACAGTTATAAGGTTATGGTGTTAGGAGGTCCCCTGTCTCCCCATACACAGTGTATTATAGACAGTTATAAGGTTATAGTGTAAGGAGATCCCCTGTCTCCCCGTACATGGTGTATTATAGACAGTTATAATGTTATAGTGTAAGGAGATCCCCTGTCTCCCCGCACATGGTGTATTATAGACAGTTATAAAGTTATGGTATAAGGAGATCCCCTGTCTCCCCGCACACAGTGTATTATAGACCGTTATAAGGTTATAGTGTAAGGAGGTCCTCTCCCTCTGTCTCTCTGCCATAGGTGTGTTTGACAGGGAGACAGAGGGGACCCTCAAACTTGGCACCATGAGGTTTAAGTAGTTTGCATTGCAGACTCTTGCTTTTCCAGAATATGGATTTAAAAAGTAACAACTGTTAAAACAAACACCCATTGGCAATTCAAAAGGCAAGTTTAATACAATAAATCGCCTCTGAGATTTAGTATTTTACAAAACAAGGTACTGGGAAAATTTAGGTCATAAAATACAATTGCAGCATAAATATTAAGGATTTTTAAAACATAATTATATAACCAATAACAATCCTATTACAGAGGCGCTGACTGATACAGAGAAGGTTTTGTGTTTATCTAATGGAAGAATTCTGTTCTTGTAGCAATCATGTGTGCTCAGACATCTCACAGAAAAGCAATACTGAAACTTACGCAACCACCTGCTCGTATTGCAGTGCAGAGGTTAATCTAATTTACATGGTATGCCATGACTGTGCCTAGAAATATAACACTTTTGTACAAGATAATATCTGTCTGAGGGTTATAACAACCAGAGCGACTGAGGCCTAGTAACGCTATCTTCCTCTGTGAATGGGAGAAACTGTCGATCTGCTGGCTTGTGGAGAGCCGAATATTGTGTCCACTGAGAGCCCCTTTATCTCCCCTCTAGACCGGTGAGTGTTCTCCGAGTCCCCACTACGGAAGCTTCACCTACCGCCTGTAAAGTACCTCATCCACAAGTTCACTGCGACATCGTGGTAGAAACAAGATGGCTACTACTTCACTGCACTTTTCAGCCTGGGAAATGGGAAGAATCCTTCTTAGTGAGGCCATCTGCGCAACCTTCTGACTCAAAGTCTCGGGCTGCAAAACCCAACTCACCCTTTCTGCTGTTGTGGGCGATGTCTCGGCCCCTTGCTCTCCCTCTGGGCAGGTAACCCAGACAGAAGGTATTCCAGACCACCACCATCAACCTGGAGAGGGTCTCTCCCAAGAGGAACTTTCACAGGATCACGGCATTAACACCATGCGTGGAGGGGTCAGTGGACTTCTGGTGTTGGTTTCAGCAAGAACTCTGGCTCGGAGAGATAGGGCTGCCGGGCACTGCTATGCCAGTCTGCCACAATTTCATCGAAGGATGACAGTCATCATAACAGAGCCAATGCAAGTGGATGTAAAGCAAGCTTTCAAATGTGGCCTATCTGTGGCACCGACTGAAGCTTGGTGCCTGCTGCCTGTTTGTTGCATTTCTTTACTCATTGCAATTACACTGCCTTTTGTATTCCTTTTATGTTTTTATTTGGTTCCTATGGGAGCCTCGTTGGAGCCTGTGATTCCAGCTTTTTTATACTTAGCTCGGTTCTCACCCTCAGGCTATTTAGTCATGATTAACTGTATTTAAATACATCCCCACAGGATAGAGATGTAGCCTATGTTTCCTGCCTAATATCTCACCATAGCCTGTGGACCCAGCGCAAGCATTGCTATGTTTGTAACACACACCATCACCTTTCACGTGTCTGTCTGTATAGCATCGGTATCGCCATAGAACAGGGCGGTGTGTAAAGTTAAGGTCTCATTTATCTCCATTGAGCCTTGCTTACCATCGTAACGTTTCATGCGTTACTATCTGATTTGTGCATATGTCTCAGCTACCTGTTATACTACATGCAACTGCTCATTAAGTCTTTTTTTTTTTGTCTTGTGTTTATAGTGATGTACTAACTCAGCCACAAAAATAAAAATGTACAAAAAAACAAATAATCACATGTATGATGGCATATTGATCAGTCTATATATCTACCTCATATACCTTCAATAATTTGTATTAAGTGCAATATTTTACTTTTATTATTACTATAATTATTATAGTGACGATGATGAGACTGACCTTATACTGATATGACATGTTTAATTTGTATTAAGTGCAATATTTTACTTTTATTATTACTATAATTATTATAGTGACGATGATGAGACTGACAATGAAGGCTTATACTGATATGACATGTTTAAAGGGACACTATAGTGCCAGGAAAACAATGTTTTTAAAACCTCTTCTGTCACCTACCTTAATGGCCGCACTAGCATTAGTATTTCTCCCATAGGATAACATATATAAGGCTTTTTTTATGGGGTTTTACATGACGCTGGATGTCCTTATGCATAGCCTCAGACATCCAGCGTTAGTTAGGCGAACAAAAGTCGCCTAATCACGCGGACGTCCCTCTAGTGGCTGTCTGGTAGACAGCCACTAGAGGTGGAATTAACCTTAAAGGTAATTATTGCTGTTTAATAAAAATTGCAATAATTACCATTGCAGGGTTAAGGGACCTGGGACTATGCACCCCGATCACATCAATGTGCTGAAGTGGTCTGGGTGCCTATAGAGTCCCTTTAATATGGTATACAAAAATTCTAAATCATTTTAGAAAGTTTTGAAATATTTTTGCAAATCCCCCCCACAAAAAAAACAAAAAAAACCCAGACACCCTCCCTAACTAAATTGCAATTTTATAAATGAAAAAAAAAAAAAGTATCCTTATAAAGCCATTGTCCTACACATTGCAGGGAGAAGTGAGTTATGGCGAATTTATAAAGGGTACGATTCTTGCTTAATCAATGTAACGAGACTTTGAGATCACCTGCCTGGCATGGGTTTTAACAAACTTATCAAGAGTCTTCAAGAGATACCTTGTTGATGAAAAATAAGACAGACATTTTGGAAAATAATTTGTGTGACTTTATGACTCATAACTTGCAGAATATTTAATTTATTAGTATAATTATTTTTAAAGCCCATTGAATGCAGACACACCCATAGAGAATCAATTCCAACTTCCCTATAATTAACTCTTGCCAAACCCCGATCTGTGCTACAGACAGTTAGACCTTGAGGCATTGCAATAATCAAAGGACGAGGACAGTGTTAAAAATGACTTTTGTTAAAGGGGCACACTAAGTACCATAACCACTACATAATGCCAACTAAATTGCCTTCACAGATATCACTAACGCGGAGGTTCCCAAGTCCACATCAGCGATATCAGTTCCATTCTTCCTAGAACTGAATTTATTGGCCAACAGTGTCAGCAGACACAATTCTGTCAAAATGCCGACGCATATTGATATTATTAATGTGGATGGGGTCTGCTTTACTGACATCTGCCAAGAGAGACTGGACTTCAGGAGTGTAAATACTCAAACAAGTATCAAACTGTTTAAAAATAGTTTGACTTTAGACACAATTTCTGGCACTATAACCACTACACATATTGTAGTGGCTGTGGTGCTTAGAGTGTAAGATTCTATATGGTTTCACTATTTAAATATGTTATTATATTCAAATGCCATCTCTACTTTTTGAGAATTCCCAGCCAGGACGTTTAACACAGACCAGCTGATATTCTACTTTAATTATAGTTATTGTATTAAACCCCATGTTCTGTGACTTCTTGATGTAAAAAGTGTGTCTTGTGCCAAATGTGAACTCGTGAAGTGCACAAGTGATTATGGACTGTATAGTCCTGTCTTCGGAGTACCCTGTGAAGTCAAGGTTAGAGGAACACTCCGGTCAACATAACAACTTAATTTAGATGAAGTTGTTATGGTAACCGGAGTGTCCCTTTAACTTATATTTATGCCCTCCTCTGCCAGATGAGACCAGATGGGAGGTCCAGATTTATGCAGTTGGTGTGTTATTGCCCCAGCGTATGTGTGGAAGCGTACTCCCTGGACAAAATCAAAAAATGGGGACTTTTCGCAAACCCAGAAAAATTAGTCTCAGGAGACCGCATTCAGATTCAGGTGGCCTTATTGCTTTGAGTTAAAAAGCGAATAAGACTTCCAGGAACACGCAGAATACACTATTTAGAATAGAGACATTCAATTCTCAGCTCAGAGAGGAGTTGTGAGCTGATTTTTCAAACATCTCTACTTGCTATTTCACAAAGCCATGTATGAATATTGTTGTTTGGATAAAGCTATACTGTAAAAAAAAAAAGAAGCGACATAGCCTTTTAAACCATTGGCAAGATGAGCATTGTAAAGATATTTGTTCTTGAGCATAAAGATTTAGGGAGCCACAAGTGGTGTAAACATCATGAAATATAGTAAAATAAGATTTTAATAAATAAGAGTCACACGTAGGAAGTCTCTCACGTTTATCATTTGATGTGGCCCCTACAGCTCAGTAGTGTCCCTGAACCAGTCATGGCTAATTTTGGCAGTACGAATGTTTGTTAAGCACACTACCCATTGTTCCATCCAGCCTAAATGCATGTATTACATATAATGGAGGCCATAGATAGCCAACAATGGGTTAAACAGCTGTTTCTGCAACTTGGTGGTTGCCCCATTGATCGTGGCTAACACACAGTAAACAGACACGGACATCAGCCATTAACATGGGCAACTGCACCACGGGGCATGAGTGGCAAATGCGTCTCTGGAGATTGCCCTTCCCTTTAAATTGTATCTGCACGGATTAGGATTTTGCCCCCCAGAATGTTTTCACTGGATACTCCTGGCCCCCGACTACTTGGTACCTCCACCTGTTGTACTACAACACTCATCATGCTGAACCAGTTATTTTGCAGATCAGGATGATGGGAGCTGTTATCCTGAAAGGCAGCAGTTGGCCGTCATTCAAGTACTGGCTCAAAAACTTTCCAATCTGTTCCCCTGCTCCACACATCACACACCATGCACACTGTACACTGCAACACACATCACACACACTGTGACACACATAACACACCATGCACACTGTACACTGCGACACACATCACACACCATGCACACTGTACACTGCGACACATTGTGCTCTTGCATTACAGACAGAGCAGCAGTCCCTAGATGGAATAATTCCACGTACCTGCTTTAAACACAATAATGTGCGCTTGTTCTTTCTGTTTCTGCTTCGTGCACAAATACTGCTCCTCCAACAGACTAATATCCATTTTACTAGGCTTCCTGGTTCTGTCAGCCGGATCCTTGTGAGAATGACTCACTGATAAAAACTCGCTCATAAACTGATACGCCTTTTCGGTGTATTCCCACAGTGAGCAGCCGCAGCAGCCAGACATCGCTCTGTCACTTTGCGAACAAAAGTGAAGTTCAAACACTGAGAACAATTACCTGTGAGCTGAGCGGAGAGGCAGAGTCTGGAGCGAGGAGTCTGCTCCCTCTGCCTTTATCTCATCATTTCGTACAAGTATTTCTGGTTGTCCTAGATGTATGGTTACAAAAGTAAATGATAAATACAGTAGGACACAGAGATTAGTATTGACTTAAGGTAGAACACGAACCGTAGCCAAGTTAATGAATTGGGGAAGCAGCTGGCAGGGTGAAAGCTAAATCGGAGAACTGTTCCAGTTCTCACATTAGGAATCCGGAGCGAGATCCAAACAGGAAAACAGTTAAATGTGTGCAGGAATCCCCCCCCCCTCCACCCCACATTATATGGAGTCAAACAATTTTAGAATGGCTTGGCTTTTTACATGGGGTGCACTAGGCTCCCTGCCTCCATTACCTCAGTCATTAATCCAGAAGCTGTCTGTCTGAGCTAAACCCTGCAGTGCAGGACAAAGCTCATTGGCTGAGATCAATCAGCTGTTTAGGTGCTTCCATTTCTCTGACTGAGGTAGTGGAGGCAGGGCGCTGTGCCCGACGGAACCCAGCTAAGAAATGAAGGCATTCTAAAATAGTTTGACTACTTACATGGAGGGGTTGTCAGGTTCCAAAATTTTATTAAAGTGCTAATTTTAATAGAAATTGGCACTTTTATAAATGAAAGCGGCAGTGCCACTGTCTAGGTTTGCAGAATTTACAGAAGACCCCCGATTGTGACATTGCTGCTGGGGGTGGGCAAGGAGAGGTGAGTTCTATTTACCTGTACCTGTCAGTCGCATGTGCCACCATCTTCCTCCGGCGGGCCTCTTCAGTCACCAGGAACTGGTGTCACTATTGTATTGTCGTGCATGTGCAAGAGTACAGCATTCAGGTCTATGTACAGAGATTATTCCCTGCAGCCATCACTAATGATGGCTATCGGGATTGACACGTAGCTCTGCTCAGTGTCTGAGAAAGTCAAGTGTAGACAAATTACATAAGACAAAGTAATCCCTACTGTGTCATATGTTGTTTTTAGTTAGAAATACCTGTAGTTAAATTAAAAAAAAAAAAAGAAAGATGGCGTGGCTAGCCGAGTTACAGAGCGGTCGAGGTTTTACTGAGCTCCCGCTCCAGAAGTGCAAAACTGCCTATTTTGCCACAAAAGAGAGCAAACTTTAACGTTGCCGACACCTGAGGGACCCCCCCAAGAGAGAGATGGGGCGCAAACACCGAAGATTGGCCCAAGCTGAGAGCAACAGTCACACAGATATCCGACTGTCCTGGAGTACAGGAGGAGGTCGGAGGCCTGAACCGCCGTGTGAGAGAAGTGGAGTGCAGGGAAGTGGAGAGGAGAAAGAGGCTGGATGATACCAGCTCCCGCCTAAATACACTCACCCAACAAGTACAGCGCCTCTCCCGCACAGTTACCTCCCTAGAGACACGGCACCGACGAAAAAACATCAGGATCCGTGGGGCCCCAGAGTCAATAGGCCAAGAAGCCCTGATCAGCTTTACCCACGAGGTCCTGAGAGAACTCGGAGTTCAGGCGGACGCAGAGCGACCGCCAATAGTGACAGCCTTCAGGGTCCAGAAGGCCCCCACAGCACCTGCGGACACACCCCGGGACATCATAGCCACCACCAGAGACACCAACGTGAAGTCCTCTATGATGGCACGTCCAGACAAAGACCAAGTCTGCTCATAGCCAACACGAAAATTACAGTATACGACGACTTACCTTTTGCAGTCTTACATCGCACCCACCACCCGGATCCTTCGAGACAAAGGCATTAGATACCGATGGGGACTTTAGGGAACACTGGTGGTACCACATGGGGACACAGTACATGTTCTTTCGGCCTCTGAGGACCACACGGAGTTCCTGAGAGGCCTTGATCTGCCGGCACCACCTCCAGCGACACGGCAAGCAGTGGCAGCCCAGTCGACCGCGAACCCCACAGGGAAAAAGAAGCTAGCCGCAGACACACAATCAATAGAGCGGAAAGACCCTCCATAGGACTCTCCAACCCAGGGGTAACCTAGCCGTGATGGCAGGGAGGGGAGGCCAACTACCGCCCACAAGGGCACACCCGGGACTGATCTCTTGGACTTCCATGCGGCAAATCCTTACCTGCACTAACTGAAGGCTAAACGAGTGCTCCTAATTGCTGATGTATTCTATTCTTTATTTTTATTTTAATGTTTTTGTAACGGCTACCCTGGTAGAGAGAGGGTATCGGCCGTTGGAGACGTCCTTTTCCCCTGCAAGTTGCTGTGGAGAAGTAAGCTGGTATAATCCCATTCACGATATCCAGAGTAAAAGTCAGGTTCAGCTGTAGCAGGAGCAGAATAACATTCCCAAATAATCCCCTTCCAAGAACGAGACAAGGCTACGTTTTGCAGGGTCAAGAAGATCTGAGGTCTGGGAGAACCAGCCTGCTTTTTATTAGGAACAAGTACACACAGGACACTCCCAGGGGGAGGATGAAAATAACCAATTACACACAGGGTAACACCCCCACGTCTCCTCCCCTCAGATAAACATATAACATAATTATAACGTACATAAATTTACCCACATTCTGGATGTACCCCAAAAACAGGGGGTACACCTTTAAGTCCAGCACCGCTTAATAGCTACCACTCAGGGGAATAACATATTCAAATTTCACGTCATTCGGTTGTGGGGTTCGGGAGTTATGGGTCTTTGAAGTTTTGACCGACCGCACAGGATTTTCAGCCGAAAAGAGTTCCACAAGTTTTGGCCTTGCGGTCGGTCCCCGTTCGTGAATAAAAACCCCACGAACCCCTTGCCCTCCACAGTAATCCTGCCGTTCGCCTGAATCCCCATGCATGCTTAAACAAAACTACCGAACGGCCGGTCGTTCGGTAGTTTCAGCACGAACTTACGAGCTCCTGGAGGTCTCAGCGGCGTTCGCCTGTTTGCGCATCCGTTTTTAGTTCCATGAGTTCACAGGCAAACACCGCCGTTCGTGCGTAAGATGGCCGCGAACACGTGTAAAGTCCCGAAATGGCGGCCACCTATTCTCAGACAAAGGGATTCGTCTGAACCAGGCGAACGGCTGTATTCTCCAGAAATGGTATTCCCTTGCAATAAGTTCGCCATTTTCACTGTTTTAGTCCACAGGGCTTTGGTGCTGGTGAAGTCCTGTTACAGTTTTTTTTTTCTCTCCTTCCTCCCTCTGGTTTATTCACATGTAATGCCGTGACTACTGTTATCAATGCTTTTACCCAGACTGGTTTTACTACTCGGACCCCCATCATGACTGAGTTTCACGGACAAGTAGAGACCCTTGGGACCATGTAGGTTTCACCAACACGCTTACAGTAAGGGGGGGAACATGGACAGACGCAGACCACACCCACTATGTCGCACACGAAGACCAACCCAGGGACATATAGCACCGACACTTAATTAGCCAGGCCCCCATTGGAGGACAAGATAAGGATATTAGCCCCAGCCACCAACACCAGACGGACACCCGACCAGCTACAAATGATACACCGGCAACCCAACCACCATCCCAGAAGGGGGAGACATACGATGTAACTGTTTCTACCAATAACCCCCTCCCCCCCTTTTTTTTTTCCTCTCATTACTTAACTTAATATTGTTTCTCTACCACACTACTAAAATGACTTCTGTATATGGCTATAAGTTATCGTACATATAGATCCTTCTTCGGACAGGACACATGTTATTCTGTCAAACAACGCTCATAACGGCGCAGCATAACACTTTGTGACCATGTGTAATACTCTGCCCGCAATCGCTGTTGTGGCGATGCGGGAATATGTGAATCACATTTAATGCGCTATGAAAATGAAAAATAAAGAATTAAAAAAAAAAAAAGAAAGAGTGGGAAAGAGGAAGACAAGAGGTAACGATTGGTAAAAGTTAAGAATGGCGTGAAAGTGCCGCTTTAACCTTGTTACACCCTCCTGGCTGTCAATCAGGCAAGCCGTCCTGTTACTTCCTGGTTGTTTAGCTCAGTAAAGCTAAACTAAATAGGCAGCAATTTCCCAGATAATCTACCTTGCAAAGACTTCTGATTGAACTGTAATACAACTGAATGAAAGTCTGTGCTGGGAAAAAGAGGAGGGCTTGCAGTAGCTACATTTACTCACCTTAAACACTTATGTCTCTCTTTATTAGTTGACTCTGTAAAACAGGGGTGCCCTAGAGGTAGATCCCCAGCTGTTGTAGAACTGGCCTTGATGCTTTGCATGCCTTTAGAATGCATTTAGAAAGACATTATGGAAGCTGTAGTTTTAAAACATCTGGGGATCTACCTTTGGGCACCCCTGCTGTAAAAGTTAGATACAAGTTTTTCTTCTAAAATTGTAAATGCTTCTAATTTACATTAGATGATTGGCTGCTTGGACCAACTTAGCTAATCTCCCTGCAGCGATGTATGCGATGTACATCTTTGCAAACGGCACAATGGGAAGGAATGCCTAAGCACACATGTTCTTGTACGGTGAGTAGATTTCTGAGTGTTCCCAAACCATCGTGGAGAGGTGATTTTGCCCTGAAGGCAAAAGAAAAGTCAAACCAATTGTATTTTTATTTACACGTGCCGCATTATTCAATCAGTAAATGCATCAATAAATATTTACTGTAGTAAGGGAACAAAGCACTATCCCAAGAAGTGACAAAACCAAATTATACCAAGTGCTGTACTCTATATGTTGATGTTGTGTCTGTATATTGAACATGCCATATGTGTTCTTCTGATATCAACCTCCCACATAGTAATATGTATGCAGACACTAATCAATATTTTCCCATAGCAGTTTATGTTATTCCGTAACTAGCTCCTTCACTGAAGCTAACTGTTTCCAATAACGATCATGTCTTTTAATGCATTATCACTTGTGCACGCGCCCACCCATTCTGTGTTGATGCGTTACCTAATGCCAGAGTTGGATAACCTCGAAACTGTAAATACTTCTATTTACTAATGTGTGGCATATACTATGTTCCTAGGCCTTGTACATGTGAATGATATGTACAAGATAACAAATAATCAACATTTTTAAGTAAAATAAATGAAAGCTACAGGAGACAAAAAAAAAAAAAAGGTAAGCAGCACCAAA